TGCTGAGTAACAGTGTATGATGGTCGCGATGCAGGTGTATTTCCTAAACACCTTGTTCTGATAGTGTGCAGTTGGTTGGTGAAGGCCTACCGAATTCATGATTCTATTTGTGCATGCAATACGCTGCAAGTATCGTGTACGTTATAAGAAATCAAAATCATAACATGCAGCTCGAAAGTTGCTTCATCTTCTTCCAAGACTAGCTACTGTTTCCGGGTATACATACATCGGTCGATGGTAAAAGGCTGTCGCAGTAAATCGAAGCACTATTTGATGAAATGCGATGCTGCGACGTTTCGTATGGTACTGCAAGGTAAAAGTAAAAGGATGTGTGGTGTGTAAGGAGTTTGGTCCGATTGGTATAGTAGCAATGATCAAAAGCTTCAATGTGTAGGTTTCAAGTGGAAGCTAAATGAGGACACACATGTTCAATGCAGAACAAGCACAAGTTTATCGTGGAATATGCAAGTGTGGCGAGACTAGAAGGGTTTACTGTAATCGTTGTACAGCAGGAGAGATCGAATGTCAATAATTACGTCACAGTGAAGCTTTGCCGTACACACTCGCTCGACGCTCGATGCGCTACGTGAGGACGGTTGTTCGCTCGCATGAGCCAGATGTATCAAACCAAGAAGAAGCAATAAGATACGGGAAGCGGAAAAGCCGTCCTCCCTAACGTCCATGATACGTCTCTGCATATTGCAGACTGGCATCGCCTTGTCAATCGCACATTGTTCGATGACAGATTCCCAAACATCCGGTTCTTCGTTTTCACGCTTGTGGGTTAATCAACACCCATACACATCAAGATCTCGATGAGCATCGGGAAAAGGAATACGACGAGAGTTTCCCATGATGTGATTGGGACGCCGGCGTCAAGGTCCGCGCGATGGCTGATACTTTGAGCCGATATAAGTAGAGGACATGTCGATCGGCGAAACATGGGTGAATCGAGGTCTGGAACGGGGCCGGCATCTGACAGGTCGAAGCCGTTGGCCGCTGTGTCGGCTCCAGTGCGTCAATAGCTTGTTTGCTTACCTGGGGGGAGGGGGACGGGGACGGGGGGTGTTGGGCGAGAGTCGCATACACGTGTCAACGGAAACTCAGTTGTCTTTTGATTGTGGGTTATCGCAAGGATGGGACGAGATGCAGAAATGCGGTGGGCGGAAATAGGCCAACAGTGAATTGAAGGCTGGTGTGATTGCACGGGACCAGTACCGGAAAGCGTCTCGTGGCAAGCGAGCCAAAAGGGGCTTCGAATCGGCGGTCCATGGGAGGCGGTGGGGCCTCGGCTGCAATGATTGGCTCTAGCGCCAGACTAGTCCCATGTAGCGGCAGGCTTTGATTACGAACCCAAGAAATCACGTTATGCGCTTGGCAAAGCTGCGTCACTCCCAGAAATTGCTCGCTCGTCCTGCCCTCTGACCTCATATGCGAACGCCTCACTGTCATCGTCACCACGAGCACAATCCCCGTCAACACCGGTTTTGAGCCTCATTGAGAAGCAGGAACATCCATCACGCGCAGCCACGGCCCCGGATTGCCCCTAAGAATCGTGCAGAGTCAGCGCGATTGTAAGTTGAGAGGTTACGAGCGTTACCCAGGGGCTTGACGTCACTATTGGATTTCGACAAGCAGACACCAGCATCGCGACCAGAGAGCCGGCGGTCAACAATATCGATATTCATCGGATTGAGACAGCCCTACCCCGCACCTGCCGCCCTTCGATTCCTTTTGCTGAGGTACGTAGTAGTTGTGTCTTTGCCGTTGCCGCCGCGCTGTTGTTATCGCTCGCTGCCGACTTTGCCACGTTCCCAGCGTCCTGCGACAGCCCTTTGCGCCCGCTGTTTGTCTGCACCCAGCCTGTCGCATCGAGTGCCTGCACTTTGAATTGCATGCGCTGACATATCCGCCCTCCAGTACCGGTGAATTGCTGTTCGAGTCGCCAGTGTGCGTCCATTCAACTACACGTATATCGAGACAAGCCAAATCGCGTGGGTGTGAGCGAACGAGCGAAGAGAGGTCAAGGCCCGAGTACCACAAGCGATCAACCAGGTTACCACCCCTACGTCACCACCCCAAAGAATGGCAGCCGCAACCCAAACCGCTCGAACCTCTCCCCCGTCCTCCAACATGTCCTCCCCCAAGGACACCAAAAGTAGCCTTCCTACCGTGACAAAAACTGAAGGTATGTATCCTCCCCTCACTGCTGTCGACTATATCCCTTACCGCTGCTACTTCACCATGTCTCCCCTTGACCTTCCTGCGTTGCGCGCGCGCATGCATTGTCGTCATCCTCCCCTTTGCATCGTCACTTCGCGCAAGCGTTACTAATCTCGACGCTGCAGCGGAGCCATTAAAGTCCGAGTCATCTCCCAAGGTACAGCGTAAGTAGCTCCGTCCACCGAGACTTGTCAACTGTCGTTGTGCATCTCGTCGTCCATCAAGCCACGATGCTAACCTACCGCCAGCTGCGACCACGGAAGCGGCCACCAACGCAGACGCTGCAAAACCCGCAACCTCAAATGCCCAGCCGTTGGCACCTCCACCAAAGCCAGCACCCGCGACAACTGGTGATACACCAGACTACTTCAACACCGTACACAACCCCTTCTCGCTCGAGCCAAACGTCTTTGAGCAGTCCTTTGGCGGCGAGTCTGGAACCTTACAGACGCCCGGAGGCCGTCCTATTCTTCCTCCCGTCGCGAACATTACGTCACCATCACCCCTACCGGGCATCACACCGGGTTGGCAGGGCTTACGCGCAGGACCCTTGAGCCCTGCTATGCTGAGCGGGCCGACTGGACAGACAGATTACTTTAGCGAGTCATTCCGAGGCTTCCCGACACCAAACGAATCCTCTCTCCGCACCGGTCTCACTCCTGGCGGCGGTGGTTCCATGTTCCCAGCCCCTAGCCCGAACACCCAAGCCATCTTCAACCTCCAGAGCGCTGGCGTGACACCTGGCACTGCAGACTTCCAGCAATCTGCTCTGCGCGCAGCTGCTCAACACCAAGCTAACAACAACAAGCCCACGTCGAACGCACCCACGTCGCAGCCCGAAGGCGTGGCATCAGGAATGGATCGCCCCAACAACAACTACCAGCAGGCGCAGCAGCCACAACAGCGCGCCCAGAACGATCCATATCCGAACCATGACGTCAGCAGTGCGGCTAACGACCTACTGTCTTTTGCCAGCCAAAACGGCGCTGCACGCAACAACCAGCCACCCTACTCGATGGCTCCCCAACAGCAATCGATGAACGCCGGGCACATGCCCGTCCAGCCCGTCAGCGCCAACCACGGTCGTCGTGACACCAAGGGTTCCATCAACAGCGTTCAATCTGCAGAGACCGGTGACTTCTCAGAGAGCGGCCAGAGTGAGCAAAACAAGACTGGTACACGGTCACGTGCGAAGAAGGGCGCCGCTAACGGCAAACAAGCTGCCGGAAACAAGCGCAAAGCTGAAGATGGCCCCAAGAACTCGAGAAAGAAGAGCAATGCCAACCAGTCCATGGGCGACGACATGGACGACGGCGACTCTGATGACGAGAACAACATCAAGGAAGAGGAATACGACAGCAAGGGCCGCAAGATGACCGACGAGGAGAAGCGCAAGAACTTCCTCGAGCGTAACAGGTATGTCTAGTCCCTCTCATTCATACTGCCCATCACTAACATGTACAAGGGTCGCTGCTCTCAAGTGCCGACAGCGCAAGAAGCAATGGTTGGCTAATCTCCAAGCTAAGGTCGAGCTGTTTAGTACGGAGAACGACGCGTTGTCTGCTACTGTCACTCAGCTTCGCGAAGAGATTGTCAACCTGAAGACTCTTCTTCTTGCTCACAAGGACTGCCCAGTGTCACAGGCTCAAGGCCTACATGGAGCAGCCATGAACAACTTCCTCGGCAGCGACATTAGCCATCAAAACCCATATGGTATCGCTCAACTGCAGCCCAACGGCGTCCACATGATGCCGATGCAGCAAGGCCAGATGATGAACCGGTTCGTGTACCAACCCCAAAGGAACCAGAGCCCTGATGAACAAGAAAACGGCCGGTATCCCTCGAAGTATTGAGACAGTCGCTCACTTGTTTCAGGTAACTGGGAGTAAACAAGCTGCCTGTCCATTTTACACGTGCACACCGCCATTGTCATGACTCTCCATCAAGGCAATGACGCAAAGCGTGGGCCGTCAGCAGCTCCGACGATCACGATGCGCTACCTCGTACGACCTTGTAATCTACACAACCTTCTCATTCCCCTCCTTCTCCTAGGACGCATCGTCGTCACTCTCAACAATGCATGGACGGCGCTCGGCGTTACGTCATTATTGCATCCTTCTCACATCAGGGAAAATGCAACATCCCGGATTACCAAAACATCATTTCACCATTTCCTTCTCGGGCCGCGGACGGCTGGAACGGCAGAGATCCATGGGGCTGGTTACGTTCCTCATGCACGCGAACACGAATCTTCCTCGTCGGTGATGACGACCGTCTTCATCTGTTTCCTTCAGTAATCTATCCATCGATGGCGTGTATATATGGATGCGTGCGCGGGTAACATTTCACTGGCGTTACCGAGGCGATTATACATCAGGTCGTCCCCTCTTCCTGTTTTTGATATTAGTGTAGCGCGCCAGTCTAGAGTTGCGCTCGGCGTTTGGGAATTTGTTGGCTTCTAGCCTTCCTTTCCTTATTGGTGGTGTATTCTGAAAGCAAGAGCTTTATCCCGACATTTGTTTCTCGAGTCTACGGTAACAATAGGGATCATGGCGTAGAGAAAGGAACGGGAATATTCGAAACGTTTGGCATACGCGTTGGTGCCTGGGCATGAAGCTATGTAGCCGGGAATGTATGTACACCGCGAGCAATTCAAGTCTCTTCAAATTCAAAATTGTCTGGTTCATTGCGCAGGATCGTATCAAGCTTAGACTTAATATACTAATAATTCACCTGTGGTCCTCTCTCCCGCCTCCCTCATTATGTTGCTAATCTTTTCAATTCAGAAGCTCTTCAATCTCCTTCCTGTGTCTCCTGACCAACTTCTCCGCCTCCTCCCGATGCCTCCTCACCACACGCATCAGTTCATCAACCCTCGTCTCTCGCGATGTAAGCTCTACCTCACGTCTTGCTAGTATCGTCTGCCGCATAGCCATAGCTTGCTCCCGTCGATTTAGGTTGCCTTCGCGGTGGTCGAGCTGCCGGCTGCGAATTGCCTCGCGAGCAGGAAGTGGTTGAATAGCAGGAAGTTCGGTGAGTTTGTCTGATGTCATGTCGATGTCTATAGGAGTCTCTGAGGTGTTTGAACTCGGGAGATGGGCATGCAGAGTGGTTGCTCGACTGGCACCTGGTTCGGAGGGATGCGGCGGGTTTGGCTCGATACTCGGCATATATGCTTGAACGTTTGCTTGCCGTTCCCTTGCATGCCTGCGCAGGTTCGCGAGTTGTCGGGTAGGAACAGGTTCTACTGCACGCTCGTGCTGATCCAGGAGGTATTTGACAAGAGCAGCTTCCGCTGAACCCTCGCGCTGTTGTTCTAGGGGGTTACCGGCAGGTCTAGGGGTTGCTGCAGCGTTGTTCTCAGAAGCAGGTCGGAAAGGGTTGAGAGTGCGGCGATTGTTCAGGAAGCGATTGAACGCGCTTGTACCGGGGGTACTAGAGCTTCCTCGAGCGTGAGTGTTCGTTCTCCTGAGACCAGGAGTAGCGGTAACGTTATCGCTGTTACTGCTCGAGACGGCACCCACGTCCGCATCGCCATTTTCATTCCTGTTGTTGCCAGTCCTTCCTATAACACGACGCCTCCTGCTACTCCTCGAGACATGTCTATATGGCGCCCGACTTCGTATATCAGCAATGTCTCTTCTAAAGTCTTCGAAGTCCTGGAGGTGCGCCTCGTAATCCGCGTCATCGGAATCGGAATCAATCACAATAGGACTGCGCTGTTGCTCCATCCTTGGGGCCCTCAGTACGTGAGGATCAGCCAAATTTCGGAGCTCGCGGTTGACTCGTCGGGCTTGTTGTTCTGGTGTATCGTTACCAAGCTGCCGGTTGGCGATATCCGCGCCGATTCCATTGAGACCTGCGAACATGGCTGCCATTCGTTGTGATGCACTTAGATTCTGTGCACGTGAAGGGAAGGGAAGTGGTCGCGCGGGGATCCAGACTGCGCGACACAGAGGACATCTTTTTTCTTCTTGGGAGTGGCTGTGGAGCATGTCATCAAGACATTTGGCGCCGATATGGTGGCTGCAATCTGGAATGTTAGTGATGCGCAGACATTGCTCGCTAGTGTAGTTGTCCAGACAAATTGGACATTCGTCTTGGTGTGGATGGTCGTTTTGTTGGGTGGTATGATCGCGGATGAAGGTTGCCGCGTTCATGGTGTGTGATTGCCAGATATAACGAGTAGATGTGGTGTAGTCTGTGAGCAGCAAGAGTGGAGAAGGCGTGAAGTACAAAGGCAAATGGCTTGGCTGGAAGCGTCTGCTCCTGTACCGTGGTTGAGTTCTCAGTAGATAAGGTCGAAGAGAAGAGTGAGAGCGGTTGGCGTATACTCTTATTTGGTGACGACATAGTGTACGATGGAGTGAAGGCAGTTGAAAATCGGCCTTGCAAATCGAGAGCGAGAGTTAGAGAAACATCTCGAGGGCATGCAAGCGAGTCTGTGTGAGCAGAATACGTCGTTGTAGGCAGATACATCGCTGTGGTGAATGTGAATCGGATACAGGTTCTAATTTGCATCGTGAAAGAGTGTGAGGAATGTGCTCTGATAAAATGCATGTTGTAAAATCCAGCGAGCTTCGCTAGAAGTGGATGTTGCACAGTTCGCAGTTTAGTATCCAGCTCTAGAAGCAAGTAAACAGATGCGATGTAGCCGACTCCAGCCAACGAAACGGCTCTTTTGAGAGCACTCACTAGTCATCTTCCACCGCCTGTTCAGTGATACCCGACCTTGTTCGTATCTCTAACTATCTATCGTGTCCAGCACTGTGTCTAGGAAATACACCTCCTCGAAGGCTTGCTGGGCTTCACTTCCCTGCAGGAAGCGCATCGAGCTATTCAGGGCCAATACCAATGCCACCAGTTATCCATCCGAGCGGAGACATATATAGTCTGCCATCTGTGATCAATCTCTGTTGAGCCATGACATCGTCGATACTCATGCGAGGTTGGGGCGGACGTGAAGGTGGTGTGTAGGCATTCGTATTTGACTGACAATTAACTGCGACGCAGAAAAATCGTTGAGGTTATCTGGTATTGCTCTGCACTGTCGTTCGTAGCGTTCGTAGCGCTCTTGGAGTGTAATGGTCGAGGTATAAGTATGGGCTGCAGAAGCACCGGTATTCTCTTCGATAAAGGAGGTGAGACCCGATACGTGCTGACGATCTATTTCTCCCCATATATTTTAGAAATCCGATCGAGTGGCAGAAGGTTCCGGAGACTCCCGCAGCCTAGGGAGCTCATCGTCTGAGATCCTGTCCTGTCCCCATCGCAGGTACTCGGCATACTGATCAGGGCTGATCAGATCTTCTGGAGGCGGAGACGGAGGTTCTCGGTTAATATCGAAGACACTGTTCGAAGACGTGTTGGTTCTCACTGGGCTTTCCTCCAGCGTTGAGAAGGTACGTGATACTGTAGTTCTACTATGATCCGTACCGCCAAGCTCGAGTGCATGTGTCTCAATCCAGCGTCTTCGTCCAAGACGATTGCCTTGACCAGAAGTGCGCAGATTTTGGCTTACATCCTGTCCATGTGTCCTTGCATTTGAAGGAGCCTGATAACCTCTGTTATCTTCATATGCTCCTCGGAGCTCTCGGTAAAGCCTTCGGGCGCGGCGCTCGACTGCTTGAAGACGCACGCGTGTATTTGCAGTTGAGGTAATTTGCTCGTCGCTAATATTCTGGATCAGATCAAGTCGCCGGAAGATCTCATCCAGATGACTAGTGATGAGACTGCTGTTCGTAGCTCGGTCGTATGCCAAAGTACGCTGCGATCGGTGAGCCCTCGCTCGTCGTTCGATTAGCCCTGGCTCTCGCGATAAACTGAAAGCTACCAAACTCTCCGTTATATTTATGTCCCTTGATGCCATCCAAGTAGCTTGTCGTATATACCATTCCCTCCGGCATTGAGGACATGTGTTGTTACGTGGACTGTCGCTGTTGAGATAGTCGTTGAGACATTCTTGACCAAAGCGATGGTAGCAGTCTTTGATGAGCACAGTGACAGCTTTGTGTGAAGGTCCGTATATATTTAAGCATATGCAGCATGTTTCGTCGTTTGATGCGGTTGGGAGAGGTACTATGTTCGATCGTTTGAGTGCTCGTAGGCTGACAACCGCATGGCTCGTGTTGCTACACGATGTCAGTGGTTTCCTTGACTATCGGGCTAGATGGAGACGTACTTTGACGAGGATAATACAGAGTTTGTTGGTATGCTTGTAGCTGATCAGCTTCTCAGTATCTACAGAGAAGTACCGCGTTATCGACGCGGAGAATCACCCAGTAGGGAACGCTCACTTTGCGGAGAGATGGTGCTCTCGTCACAGCTGCTAGGCTTCGCGTCATGACTATAGTTGCTGGTACTGCGAGTGAATCTTGTTTATTTACATATATAAATTGGTCATGGTTGGCGAGTGGCCCATAGAAGGCGTGATACCCACGAACCATGGAATTGATAGTCTCTCGATGCGTCTTAATCTCCGCAGAATCCATACGCGTGGTATGGATATGAGCCTGCGCAAGACGCTGAAAAACTGACTGGACTGTCGTGCACTGATCAGACACCATAGCATGCGATCTGTCGATTACAATCAGATGATTTCGAATAGAACATTCGACGACATGATTGTGACAAACATGACGGTGATGTTGTCGGGGTCACCAGTACCTAGGCAGTGGAAGGGGCGACGGAGAATACTTGCAGCTCCTTGGCTCAACTCAACCCTGAACCAAAATCCATGATCAAGTCTGACCATGCCCAGGCCCAGCAAGTCAAAACAGAAGCACCATACTCTAGATCTCTACACCGGGTTTGCATTGACGAACATTTCTTCACTCTTGATCAAACTCTGAGACGAGTACTCACCGCTGGTGTGCGTATACTCCGGCTTTGTACTGAATAATACATATTCTGTATGACCGTCAATTCTCCGGATATGAAAAACAGCTTTGATGCCGAATACTACCCGCGTGCGACTCGCAACATGGTGAATGCATGTTCTCGGGTGGAGATAAGACCGAAAATAGAAGGCCAACAGCAAAGACTCGCGCTTGAATCAATGCGTTGCTCGGCACGACGGATAACCGGATATCAGCGCCCTTAATCTCCTCCTTTCCGGGTGCCGGTGCCGGTGCCGTGTTCGGGCCTTAGATAGAATCCTTCAACGCGAAACGTTCGAGTCCGTTCTGGAAACAAACAGTGGCGCGGCCCGTGGCTGTGGAGGCGAGTGTGACGCTTACTCCACTTGGCGTGACTCTCATTGTGGCTTTATCTCAACGACGATATGGCTCTTGTTGGTTCTGAAGAAAGGAATGAGATGTTGCAGCTACGCATACTTGAGATTGAGGGTTGAAAAGAAGCGGGTGGAAATTATTGGTTCCCATTTTGACCCCTGCCAAAGCGCACACCTGCGCCACCTGCTGAGCCACTGCTACCATCATGCCATCACATTTCATGAATTCCCATGAACAGAGTGAGTGCGATTCAAATGGCCATTATCTGCATGAAGATTAAATCGCGGCGGAGGCGCTCCTCTCCAAGAATCTGTAATGTACCGCTGACTTGTACAGGGCGGAGTGACATAACGCTGATTCGTGGAATCGATCACACAAGTGTCTGCCATATTGTCCCGCAATCTTGTACACCAACTTTCTTATTCCCCACAGACGCCGTCTTTTCTCCGAAATCTGGGGCCTCGAAGCCGTTGCATTGCCGACGCACTCTGCATGCACGCCACCATGCACTCCATGATGTACCCCATATTGATGGATTTTCGACACTCCACCAGTCAAAGCATAGCTATAGCATGGCTTGAAAGGGAGATGGCCGGCTTGCTATGTTAGATGCTTTGCCAGATTCACGTGAAAATGTGCTTTCACGGTTGAGATGGCCGTTACAATGCTTTTGGTGTTCTGTGGCCAAGCAACGCATGAACCTCCTGGTCTCGGATCTCATCTATGTTTACTGATCAGTACCCGCAAGGCGAGAAATGCGATTCCATGATACCCATCCGAGTGCTACGCTTTCGTAAAACAATCCGCGCGCCCCAACTCCGCATCTTGGTATTTCACATCAAGTCACACCCTTGTGAGGTAGGCTTCGGACAATATCTCACACATCATGCCACATTCAAGAGACGCTGTCATTTCTGCGATATTGAACAGCGTATTTTTAATTTATTAAGAGCCGAGATCCTTATCGGTGTCTCCATAACTGACTCCTGGGACAGCCTTGTGCATACCGAGACATCGCTCTAGACGATAATCCCCAGTTTTCGCAAGGCCGCCCCAAGCGGTATGCCCACTGCTAATCCACTTCTATAGGCTGCATCGTATTGCGCCTCTTGGCGGAAAAGGTGCAAACCGGGTTGATAGTGTTATGACTTTTTTGGACGAGACGAGGTACTGTAGATACTGGTAGGATACACTGCCGTTTGCCTATCACAAGTATCCGACAAAGTCTATAGCGATCAGTCCCATCGGGGCTTAAGCGCGAAGACCAGAGAATCGTTGTTTGCTGGCATCGGCGACCAGGCGGTCTCCACATGATCTTCCAACCCTTTCTGTCGCCCCGCGCGCGACGTAGCCCTTCAACAACCGACGTCGTGTAGCGTTCTCCACTGTCGATACTATCCGGACATTCAAAGAGTAGGCATACAGAATAGACACCGGGGAAATACCGGTTGGCGGAAGCAATGGTCAAAGTGGAATGAGAGGAGGTTTGCAGCGCTAAGCCTTGCGCTAGAGCATGTCACTCCCCTAAACATGCAAGCGCTAACACACAGCGGAGGCTACTGGGCGTTTCACGTGTACTATCACCGTGCCAAAACCACATAGTACCGTCAGGTATTCGCCCTCAAGCGCATCCTTCCAGTACCAAGCTTTCACAGCAACTCTTGGCAATGCTGTGACTCGGGCGGAGAGACCGTCGCCAAGATCAATGTTGAAATCCGCGAATGAGAGTGGGACGAACAAGGAGAACGATCCTGATGCGGTAAGATGAAATGACTTGAGGGTGCGAGGCTAGCAGCGCAGAGGGATGGCAAAGATACATGAGCGTGTTAGGGAAGGAGGTAAGAGAGGATATTCAGGCCCCTATAAGTATGATAGAACATCCCACCGGTTGAGGTTCTATTTATCAACCAGGAGCATTCTGACCTTAAGCCGTCGATCACATTCTTTCTACCACCACTTCCGTTTCATCTTCCGCTTTCGATCACTATCTTCTCGACCCAAATATCATCCGTCAACATGAAGTTCGCTGGACTTTTCGCTGCCGCCACGGCCCTCCTTCCTACTGCTTTTGCATGCAACGGCTTCACCGGAGGTGTCCCTAAGGCTGTTGGTACCAAGACCAACAGCAAGGTCATCGAGGTCGCTGCTGGCCAGACCTATGATGGTCAGTGGTACAGATTTGACCGTGGTAGCGGCGCTTGCTCTGGTCAGTCTGAGGGAGGTGCTGCCGATGCCGTCTTTCTGCTCAAGGAGGGTGCTACCCTTCGTAACGTGATCATCGGCAAGAACCAGGTAAGCATCAGGTTTGAACAGTGGAAGAGACAAATACTAAAGGCATGCTAGGCCGAAGGTGTACACTGCCAAGGTCACTGCACTCTCGAGTTCGTCTGGTTCGAGGATGTCTGCGAGGACGCTATCTCTATCAAAGAGGACAAGGCCGGAAAGCAGTCCTGGATCATCGGTGGTGGTGCTTACCACGCATCGGACAAGGTCGTCCAGCACAATGGCTGCGGAACAGTCAACATCATTAACTTCTACGTTAACGACTACGGCAAGCTTTACCGCTCTTGCGGAAACGTAAGTAATCCCCATCATGACAGCCAGCTTTCCAGGATATTCACTTACAGACTCGGTAGTGCTCCAAGCAATGCGCGCGTAACGTCTACATCGAGGGTGTCACCGCTGTCAACGGTGGTGAGCTTGCTGGTATCAACAGCAACTTCAAGGACACTGCTACACTCAAGAACGTCTGTGCTGATGCGAAGACCAAGTGCCAGATGTACACTGGCTGCGCTGGTGGCTGCGAGCCCAAGAAGGCTGGTACCTGCTCCGGCTAAGCTGGTTCGTCTCCTTGGATAGTGGACCGACTTGATCCTAGATCTAAGAATTGATGATGGCTGGGAGGGGCGAAGGAAGATGGCGGGAGCGATGATGTTTTCTTGTAAATAACTTCTTTTGGATACTTCTGTACATAACTTCATTTCATCGTAAATATCTTCTCGCGTACTGCTTCATCGAGGCGCGCTTACTTGTGACTTGGCAAGCTGCCTGTACTTGAAGTGATTCTCCCATGGTGAACCAACCCAGCACTACTATCCAAAACCATGCGAGACCATGATGTCATCTCATATTCGCGCAAATGTTGGAGGTGAGTGCTTAGAGCGGCGCGTTCAGTGTACCGTGGACCCCTTCATGAAGCCTAACGACGGACGTATTCCATGCGCAAATCCATGCACCCATACGACATCGCCATACACAGTTGACCAAGTAGTTGATGTTATATCGGCATGGCAAAACGGAAGGTAACAGCCAAAGGAGGAAGTGACGGCGTGGGTTGTTTTGCATTGAGGTGTTAACCAGAATTAGAACGCACTAACCCTTTCGAGGCTCCCACGTCCTACTTCTCCTAAATGCGTTCCAACCCTTCACAAATGACTTTATCTAACGCATTGCTCTTCGAGTCTATTGATGCTGTCGCGACACCTGGACTACTCTCGTGACGATTCCTCATAGCATTGCTTTTTCTCCCTATCAGCTATCAATCATTTCAGGGATTTGTCTGGGTTATGCAGGAACGGAGCAAAAGCAATCAAATAGCAGGCAAAGGAGACACTGGCACTTCTGGGAAATAACAACGGATGGGGTGATGCCGCAGGCCCTAGCACGCTACGTATTGGCGAAAAGAGGAAAACTGAGAGTTCTCCGATGTCGATGCCTTACAAAGTTGGTAGGGGAGGAGAAGGCAGAGGGAGAGCGCGGGTCCCAAGCAGATGAGGCGTCTTTGGGCTCTGATTTCTTTTTGCATGGCAGTGCAATTGAAAAGTGCGCCGGTTGTATAGATACATTTTTTTTTCGTCTAGGTTTCTTGTTATCTGCTTTATATTCTCAGCATAAGTCAGCGTGTAGGTATGTAGCAGGAAAGTGTTTCGAAGATGTACAAATGTGAGTTATATTTCACACTCACAAAGGAGTGGTATTAGCTACTAAAGCTTCTCTAGTTCCCATACTAAGGGCGAAGGAATGTATATAACCATAAACAAGATAAGAAAAACACCAAAATCGCTATGCAAATATACCAAGGACCAAAGGAACGTGCTCGCAAACCATCAATATCCGTCTACCGCCCTTACATCACCTCCTCCTTCCTGTTCACCCATTGAGATGGCCGTTTACAACTGGCACTCGATAGTGAAGTAGGTTACGTCGATAGGCTTAGCAGCGTTGACGTTTCCATCGAGGTCGATGAAAGTGTTCCAAGCATTGAGCGCGATAGCCTGTCCAGGGTGGTTGGGGTCCTTAACCACGCACTGCACTTTGTTACCGCCGGCACCGGGGCTGACAGCCTGGAGCGAAGTGGCGAGGACTGGGGTGCCGAAGGCACTACCAAAGAGCTGGCCGAAGGTCACGGCAGCGTTGTTAACGATGACATTGGCGTTGGCGTTTTTGCCGCTCTGGTCGTTCGCGAGCTGGACGGTGAAGGCGAGGGGCGCATCACGGGCGATGGCTGGAGCCGCAAGGACGGAGGTGAAGAGAGCAGCAGCGGATGCGATGATCATTGAGGCCTTCATATTGAAAGTTGTTTGTGTGTTGGTGAAGATTGTTGGAGTGAGTGTTGGAAGGAGATGATGAAGTGAAGATTCAAAGTAGAAGATAGTAGAAAGTTATTGTTGTTTTGTTATTGTGTAATGAGATGATCCTCTGTTCAGCGAAGACAGGTCCCGCTCTTATACATCTGAACATCTTCCAGCCTTACCATGGTAGCTCGCAGTGCTCGTGATGGACGGCCTTCAGCAATGCCTCCACGTAGCATCGTAAGAGTGCCCTGACGTCTGTGAGACAGTAATACGCTCAGCTCACGTTGTTTTTTTCAAGTAATCTGGGAACAAAACTCCACTATTCTCTCGTAAGGTCTCACTTTAGTGGAGGCAGTTCGTCCGCCGAGAAGGAAAGGGATGGAAGCGCGGTCAGGCAAGCGTCCACGCGAACAGCCGATGCTACTGCGCAGAATAAGCACATCAACGTCGCACTCTACGATGTATCTCATTTCTCCAGCTTCTCGCTTACGCAGTGAACGCATAATGGAGGTAAGCATGCATCAGCCACCATCGCTAGCTGTCAGCCTGCCATTGATTCGTCAAAGAGCCGAAAACGTGTCGCTATTTTCGTCTCGATGCTGATGCACTCGTGATGCATCCATTAATTCCAACCTACAAGGTAGCTGTAGAGGCCGGTTTTGGGTAAGGCAGGACTGTAGTGAGATGTGGGGAAGGCAACGTGGAGGCTGAGTGCTCAGCCGCAGCTCTTCCGATGTGAGCATCTTCGTCGCATTTGGTATGGCTGCTATGAAATTTTGGTTCTCTTCCCACGAAGCGAATGTGTTCCGTACTGCTCGTATGATTACACAGCCTGTAAATGGCGTTGCTTCTAAGGTTACACAAAGATGGTATCTGCTGCTCGCTAATTTAGTATGTGCTGCGCACAGCGAGAGATTTTCCTAACCTTGTAGCCATCCTAGCAAAATGGCTTTGAGAGACGCTTCGACAGTTCCATCCTTATTAATCTTCGGGCTGATGCAGTGGGCTGAGGGTGTTGCGATCGTTGTTGAGGCTACCTAGGTAATTTGTATACCCAAAGATATCGGAAGCCGTGTAGTTCGCACTCAAGTAATTTGCGTGGGCATTATATCTGGTATGAGACGTATAGAACTAGAACGCTGCATGTCCGTTGAATATGTTGAGGCCTCAGCCTTGTCTCGCATGCCCGGGTCGCGTTTGACCCTGCGCTCTTGCCAACATCCTGGCGCAACCAGCCTTGCTTGATCTTACCTCTGCAACCCTTCTTCTTACTCGTATCATACTCTTGGTATCTCACACTACTTCCGTGTCTCATCGTTTCGATGCTGCAGAATGATTTATGATAACTCCGAATATGAGGGCCGACGATATTGTCAACTTCGCTCAGGAGACACCAGCGCAGCTCCGCAGCCCCGCTTTCACTACAAACCCCTCGAGCCCCGCTGTATTCGCATACTAAAACTCCAGCCCGGCCATCGATCAGAATTCTTCCAGGGCAAATTCATCGTGGGAAACGTTGACAGTCACTTCGAGTACGATGCGCTATCATATATGTGGGGTGATGCCACGCAGGCCGATCGTGTTGTCGTAGATGGCGCTGTCATACCGATAGCCTGGAATCTCACCAGGGCGTTAGAATATTTGCGCGACTTCAAAGGACTGGAACCACTGAGGATATGGATCGATGCTATTTGTATTGATCAGGGTAATTTCGATGAGCGCGCTGAACAAGTTGCTATGATGCGGTCTATCTACCGAAACGCAGACTGTGTGCGGATCTGGATCAATGAACCATCTCTCGATAAGCAGAGTGAGGCTGTAGCAGCTCTGAAAAGCTTTCAACGCGACCCAGAAGCGGAAAATAATGGACTGGGAGGCGACATCAGTTTTTGGGATTCTGTAATCCCAATATTTGAAAACGGCTATTGGAGTCGTGTATGGATGTAAGTGTAATCATGGTTCGCCAATCGAAAGAGTGATGGCTGATGCAGTCATCTGTATGTTGGTAGACAACAAGAGGTTCTGAATGCACGACGACTCATGTTGCACTGCATGGACGTTGCACTTGATGGCGTGACTGCCGCAAACTTTGCGGAAACTGTAGAGGACAGATTCAGAGAAGCGGCCTATATGGAATTCGACTACCAGTTTCACCTTACTCTTTATGATTTGATGGGAAACGTTCCCAGTCGTCTCTATTCGAAGATGTTTGCTGCTCGTGGTGAGCAAAGAGTAAGATATATGCTTCTCACGCTCCTGGATGCGTCCAGCAACATGCAAGTGTCCATGGGCCAAGACCGTCTGTATGCCATTATGCACCTAGCTAAGGATTACGAGGAAGGAAGTATCATAGTCGACTATAATAAAACCGAAGAACAAGTCATGGTCGATGCAGCAGCTTACCACATCAGCCAGCATCGGAACCTCGAGTTTCTGTACGAAAGCATGCAAAACGACATTCAAAGGGCAGCCAACTTTGAATCTAATGAGACCATTGGTCCTACTTGGATCCCAAATGAATGGATGGGTCGTAAAAACCAAGGATGGAGCATCCTCGAAGTAGATCGTTATCGCCCGATGATAATGAAGAGTCCGGGACTGATGACCACTAAATGCTCTCCACATTCTGTTGATATAAGAAACCTGCGATTACACGTTCGAGGTGTCAAGGTTGGTTGGTTGCGACAGTGCTTGGTCTTCAATCAAGATGTGGAGGAAATGACAGTGGCTCAGTTCTGGAGAAGTTCGATTGGCGAACACATACAACCATACTTGAGCGACGCCGGCACAAGCTTATTCGAATTCCTTCAAGTTGTAGATACTGATCTATGGAAACCAGAACAACATCATAAGGATATTCATCTCGGGTTATGTCATCTTCTGGATATCAGTAAAAACCCAGAGAATGCAGATAGGGTTCTGGGGTTTGGAGCTACCAAAATCTCCGACCTACTAGCACCCCTCGAAGGTACTGATCAAGGCGTTGTGTTCGCACTTCGAGCAATTCTGCGAAGTCTTAGGAGGAGATCGTGTATCTTAACAGAAAATAACAACTTCGGCCTGGTACCAGAATGCGACATAAGAAAAGGGGACGAGATTTGGCTGGTACTTGGATGTTCACGGCCACTTATCGTGCGAAGACAACCCAGCGGAAGATATTGGCATATCTGCACAGCAAAAATATCTGCTCTCGAAGAACACGAAGAACTCGCACGTTTCAAAAGCGATATCCGGCCTGGAGATAAGGTCGGCGAATGGACGGTTGAGGATATCGAGCTGGATTGATCAACATGCCCCTCACAGTGGCGAAATACAACAGACTATGAAGAGTACGTTTCATTCACCGCAAGAGTTTTCGGTATGTTTCATTCCAAGTATATACACAGCGGACATCATCTCATATTCTCATGGGATTTCATGTGCAATCCCACCCTCCCTGCTACCACAGCAATTGGAGTATCTAGGCTGGAGGACCGACGGGAGTAGGCGCAGGTGCTATAAGCCATCAGCATCACATCTTCCACTTAACGACCAGGTTATCTACTTACCGAAACCAGGTACGCTTCGAGTAGGCCTCGGTCGCGGACCACCACTGGGGAGGCCAGGGAAACCTCCAGTTGGGAGCGGAGGCGCGCCGCTTGGGAAGCCAGGGAAGCCACCGGTGGGGAATGGAGGTGCTCCGCTAGGAAAGCCTGGAAAACCACCAGTGGGCAACGGTGGTGCTCCAGATGGGAAGCCACCAGTGGGGAAGCCCGGGAAGCCTCCTGAGGGCGTTGGGAGGGGACCAGTGGGGAAGGGTGGGATGCCAACTGGAGGTGTGCCAGAGACTTGACGTTCGACGATGGGTGCGGCGAGGGCGCTGGAGCATGTTAGCTATATTGTTGATCAGGTGGTGTGGTTGGCATACCCAGCAGCCATGAGGAGGACAGCGGTGAACTTCATGGTGGACGATAGATGACGTGCGAGTGTAAGAGCTTGTCAGTGAGTAGAATGGATACAGTTTGTTGGTGTCGATTTAAACTTCTGACATGAGGTTCTCTTATACTTCTGATTGTCCAGGGTCCAGTATGTTGAAAGCATATGCGTACCTGGCTAACAGACGTCAGTGTAGATTACCCTGTAGTGCATCCCTCCAAACACAAGCCTACATAGATGAATTCCAATATCGCATGTAACAATTCAGCAACGGAATGATTACCCAGCTATCAAAGTCTAGAGTTCGGAGAATTCTTTCACTCGCGGAGCTTTGGGGCCGACACGTTGTTGAGGAGAGATGACGTTGCGTGGACGTTGCGCAAGGAGCGTTTTACCAGGTTGTTGTGGATAGTGAGCAATCTATCACGAGCTGTTGCCAGGTCCGCTGTCTAACTAAGCTTTCCTTTGACGGTGCAGACGATTTTGTACAATCACTGTGAGGGTATGGCTTGAAACGATTCATCTATACCATCCAATGGCAATGGTATAATCGAGCGTGTGGCCTGGAGTCTCCGATGATGTGATGAATCGGAGTTTCAGAAGGGTCGGCAGATATGGCTGCATATAAGTGACGGTACCCAAGGCCTGACTGATGATGCGTGGGATCAAATAAGGACGCAGTCCAGATCGTCCACTTTTGGTATCAAGATCGGGGACGCGTCAATCCTGAAGTGAGGCTACCGGGCTGTTTAGCCGACCATTCTTTTGCCCCGAACAACAAACAACACGGAATCTGATCTTTTGAGAGTTAGAGATTGGCGTTCACCGCGGCTCGGGTCTCCTCCGTGTCAGCCAGTGGTGAGCTCATGAAGTACTCAGCAGTATTTTTGTGGGTCTCGAGGCGTAAGCTCAGAACGCATCGGCAAGTCGACGCTTTCAATGTACGTGATGTGCGAGCTAACAACAACATTGTGTTTTGGGCAAGAAACAAAAATCTTTGCAAGGTCTGAAGGGGATAATTAAAATTCAACTCCAGGTAGATTGATATTTGAGGGGCAGCTTTGAGTCCCCGCATTCTCGCGTCTCATCGGAGCTCGAGTGCGGCAATGCTCTGAACATCCAGTTCTCTGGTTCCAGGAACTTCCATTGGCAGATGGAAAATGAAGTAAATGGCTTTTGTTGAGAGTAGATGAAGTGTGGTTACAATGAGCCAGACAAATGACGTTGTCAAGGTACTGCGATGGACAGCAGTTATGGTTGGTTGGAATGGGAAAAGCCGCGAACTTTACCGGGCCGCACCTGCATAATCCTCCTGTCGTACCGCCGATCACTGTATAGCAGCATGGCCTTGATTGCTGATGTTTGATGCGAATTAAGTGGGAGGTGCAAGGACCCGATGACGCCAGGCGCCAAGCAATTTGCGAGGAAGTCGCGACTATCGATCAGGAAGTTGCGAAAGGCAGATGGTGCTATGGCCATAGATATGAGGCGAAAGCTGTAAGGACTCTTTTTTGCGACGAGTGTCAGCACAGGATTAATGAACAAAACATGCCATCGCACCTTCTGATCGAAATGTGTAACGAGTATCTCCATCAGCTCTTGATGAAGCTTTGCTGAATTAAGATTACTACTCTGTCCGCCATGTAACCATTCTTTTGGTCTGCGTATACGTCTTTCAATCGTCGTCTTCTATGACTAACCCAATTTCTTCCGCATTCTTGACCTCTCCACCTTCGTTGTTTGTGTCCGCGTCCTCGTCAGTACTAGCCTTGGGCGCGTTCGCATTCGGCGCCAACTTCTTCTTCGTCTTGCCATCTTCCGCGACTGGTGTCCCATCCCTGTCGCTGCCCGTGACGCCCTTTCCACCCTTCTTAGCTTTCTCTTTCCTCTGTCGCGCCTTCTCTCTCTTCAGTCGGTTCTTCTCTGTCTTCTCTTTGTCTTTCTTCTCCAACTCTTCTTTCCGCTTCGCAAACTCTTTCTCGTCCTCCTCCTTTTTCACCTCTTCGTCCATCATCCTCAGCCTCTCATACTCGCGCCTCCGACTCGCCTTGTAGACGTGAAATTCGCCACTTCCCGCACCTGCACTGGATCCTTGTACATTGGCAACAATTTCTGGGGGTAGAGAGGATTTGGCTAGTGCGCTGGAGCCTGGGATGTGAATGTCGCGGTCGGGTTTTGCGAAGAGGGCCTCAACCTGTGAGGCTTGCGCTGAGCGGGGAGTGAGGGCGCGCTTCTTCGTTGGGCGCTGAGAGCGCGAGTCGGCGGATGTGGGTATTGACTCTGGGATGGGTTCAGACATTGTGGTGGTGAGCCCCCCAGGAGTAGATTCGTTGTTTACGTAGATGCGGTGCGCTGGCCACTAGACGAATTGGCCAAGGGCGGTGGTCTGTTTATCGGATCGTGTATAGTTGGGCGGGGTAACGCGACTTGAGAAAAATGGTTGCGGCAGGAGTAGTGAATGCGTGGTTGGTAGCGCAATGTAGAAAAGTTGTGAAGATTAGGAAGCAACCGCGAGGGATGACGCGCTAGGGTTTGCGGCGAACGCCTGCGGCTCGCTACGGCGGGCGAGACAAGCCATTCGCGCCAGCGAAGTCGCCATCCGCCGCTATCGTTGGGCTTGCAGCAACACATGAAACGCCCATGATCGCACTTTCCCTGCGCCTCTGTATATAATTCCTTTGCGCCTTGAGAACCTCTTTGTATCGTACCACAGCAGTAACTAGCCGTACATAAGCCTTCAAAACCTTCTCCGTCCAGACATCCTCCCCTCTTCAACATGGGGAAACCCCGCGTAGGTCCACTTTATTAATACCGGCAAGGTCAATGGCTGATTCCCATGTAGATGATCATATTGATTCGCCATGCCCAGTCTGAAGGAAACAAGAATCGCGATATCCATCAGTTCATCCCCGACCATAGGGTGAAACTAACCCAGCATGGCTGGACTCAAGTACGCTCATCGTCCCATGAAGCTTGAGATGAGACAAGACTAACCCAGGCCACTATAGGCGGAAGAAGCAGGACGACAACTGCGCTCTCTCCTCAAGCCAGATGACACACTCCAGTTCTATACTTCACCCTACCGTCGAACGCGTGAGACGACCGAAGGTATCCTCCGCACACTGACCTCGGACGACCCAACACCATCGCCCTTTCCCCGCAATAAGATAACTGTATTCGAAGAGCCACGGATACGAGAGCAGGACTTTGGCAACTTCCAGCCATGTTCCGCCGAGATGGAGCGCATGTGGCAGGAGAGAGCCGACTATGGACACTTCTTCTACCGCATACCTGATGGCGAGAGTGCGGCAGACGCGTACGATCGTGTCAGTGGCTTCAATGAGAGTCTGTGGAGATCTTTCCAAGACGACAACTTTCCAAGCGTGTGCGTTTTGGTCACACACGGGCTGATGTCGCGTGTCTTCCTCATGAAATGGTGAGCCGCATTGGAGCTGGAAGCATTAGTTCAGAACGTTAACACATTCAAGGTACCACTGGTCGGTTGAGTACTTCGAAGACCTTCGTAACGTTAACCACTGCGAGTTCATCATCATGAAGCGAAGCGAGAACAACGGCCGATACATTCTTCAGAACGAGTTGCGAACATGGTCGGAACTTAAACGCCGCGCTGCGAAGGAGAAGGAAGAGACAAAAAGCGCTACCTCGTCTACACCGAGCAGGGCCACACCCTTGACTGGACTAGGCCAAGGAGGAGCAACCTCGTCTCCTACCATACCCACGCGCCGATGGGGAGGATGCGTCAACGGGTGTGACCATGACAAGATCAACTACCCCCGCCGGCCGATGCGCAAGAACACCATGGAGTACTTGGGACATCAGTCGCAGCAGCTGCCTCCACCCGCAGTAACACACATGGAGCCAGTAGAAAGCGAACAGGAAGACCACCCAGTTGCAGCGCAGCAGACTGAACACGCTCCCATCATCAATGAACCATCACCTGCGAAGCTGTCGCGAAAACAGAGTACTAAGGGTGTTACCATCCCAGAAATGCCTCCGACGCCAGCATCTCCAAACGACGCCTCCAACGATGCTACGAGCAGTGAGGGAGAGGAAGCGGCATCATCCATGTCGCGTTCCGGCAGTCATGCGCAACCGAGAACTGCTGCCGTTCTTCGCCACCTACAGCCACCACACAAGACGCCAGGCGAAGGCTTCTCTGACGATTCGGATTATTTCCCGGGTATGCAACAAGTTCATCACCGCAAGTTCCTCCGAGCAAGCTCAACGCAGCGCAGGCAGTCAAAAGAACGCAAACTGCAACGCAGACAGACAGAGCAGAGTTGGAAGGAGGAATCAGGCATGGGCAACGGTGTTAGAACTGACAGACTAGGTGACGGCGATACCACCAGTGATGAGGTTGCGTTCGCGAAGGAGAAGGAAGGCGAACCGATTCTCGCGGAAGCGCTGAAAGGTAACATGATTGTTGAGAAGAGCGAGGAGGAGAGAGAGGCGAGTGACGAGTATGGTAATGCAGAGAAGAAGATTGGAGAAACGGAGATTGACAAGATGCAAGATGCAGAGAGAAAGGGCTTTGGTGAAGTATACTGAGGCTTCTTACTTGAATCGTGTGTCGAGTACGAACTCGATCGCAATGCTGCTGTAGTACTTCAGGTCCCATACGTTTCAAAAAGCGCTTCTCGAGTTCAGCGTTTAATCGAGCTGGCCTCGTAGATCTCTCACTCTTGCGACCGCTCTTTCCTCACTCATCATTCAGGATCAGGGGTATTTGGCATAACGTCTTCAGCTGTTCTCACACTAGTTCTTTTTCAACCCTTCTCTTTCTACCTCGCGGCTAATGTGACGGCGTCTTCTCTTTGGGACATTGTTGCAGATTGAGACACGCACACCATGCACGGTATTAAGGCCTCCTCTGAAGCAGCCGTCGCATCGGCGCCCGCTTTAGCGCGTGTCCTCGAAACGAAGACGAGAACGACTTCCGTCAAAACGACTTGTTCAATGTGCTCCTCAACACTCATGGCTACCCCGCTTGGAGCTTTTATCTAAGGATCGCTCTTTCCAAGATCAACTTTAGAAGTCACAAGGAGAAAGGTCTATACTCCTCAGTCGCGGTCAAGTGGCAATTTGCTTAATCCTGGGTGGGTCTTATGTACGGAAGCAAGGCTAAATATCATCGAGCGGCGATGTCGTGGAGTAAAGTTGTTGGACTCAACAGTAGTCACGGCACCTCCCGTCCTTTGCTCTACTGCTTTGGCTATATATTTCTTGAGCAAGGTGGAAAACCAGCGGAGCTGGACTGTTACTGAGGATATGGTCTGTGTGTAGACATGTAAGGGAATAATAGAGGGATTTAATGGAGGAAGATCTGCTCTCACGAAGCTAAAACGTATGTATCGGAGGGTTAAAGTTGTTTCCAACGCTGAGGGGTGAATTGGACGGCACTAGTAGCACTTGCGCCTGATGCCTCTCTTACGGGTATATTAGCTTAGTTTGTATACAAATGCGAGGCTGCGTATCCTCGTATCCGATTCAGCTTGCACTGAGGTTTACCCTAATGTAAAAGACTAATCTATCTTAGGGGGTAAGCCGTGGCTGTGCATGCTGTCACGTGTAACGGAGTCATACTCATGGATATGGCTAAGTCCAATCTTTACTACAAACGCCATCAAGATCCCTCCGCATCTACTGTCCAGTCATTTTGACCACGAATCGTGTCACCGCCGCCATTCGTAGATACTTCGGATGGTTGAACCCCAAACGAACAATGTCGCAACGTCGCCGACCAGCAAGATGAGTATAGTAAACCGCGTAGAACCCGATACACCCAGTACACTCAAGTACAACCACAAAGCCGGTTTCTTGGATCTACCAGGCGGTGTGTTCATCATCGCAACTCTTCGTAGCATCTTAACTCTCTGACACTCATTTTCAGAGCTCCGCAATGCCATCTACAACCTCGTAGCGACTTGCTCAAGAGATGGTCCATATCCGAATCCGCGCACAAAAGTCAAACTAAAGCACATCAAAGGCTTCCACAACAACTTACCATGGCACCGTCTCCAACGTCAAGACCTAGGCCTTACACAAACCTGTCGCCAGATACGTTCAGAGTACCTACCAATATACTCAACACACACGAGTCTATACATATACATGCGCACCTTCGCCCTCGCTGCCGAAGACCTAAACATAACGAAATACAATGTCGGCATGCCAGCCGGTGACGCAGTGATTGGCGTACGAAACTGGGACGGTGATAATTCATGGCGAGAACATCGCTCATGCGTCGACATAGCGCCGCTTCTCGCTCTCCACCTTCGTCAACCCGAGCTTCTATTCAGGTTTGATGACGCTGAGTGCATGCGCGAGAAACTCAGGCGCAATAAGCAATTGGATACGAGTACCTATTTCACCACCCTCTTTTCTTTACATACGAATCCACTTTGGCGCTCCTTCTTTACCACGGCTGTAAGAGAGGTGTTCGTGTATCCTGATTTAGATTGGATTTGCGCGAAACATGTCAAGGTGCATATTGAGATCGAGAAGGAGTTTGGTGAGATTTGGATGCGGAGCCGGAAGGCTAGGCAGAACGGGAGGCGGGGAAAGATGAACGAGTGGTTGGTGACGGTTGGACTGGAGGGATTGGTGAGGTGGGATGGTTTGAGGATTTATTGGGCGACAGGGTGGTTTGAGGGGTTGTTTGGGAAGTAGGGCCGCGGATGTGTAGAAGCACAGTTGAAAACCTGGATAAAAATGTTAGGAAACGAATACAAAGAGCTTTGAAGAGTTTGTAGACATTCGACACAGCATGTCGGTATTCGTTGGGTTGCTTGGCATATTTGCTCATCTTCGAGAAGCATTTTATCGCTTCCGCAGCAGGCCTTCTGGTCGGCGAGGTAGCTGCGGCCTGCAGATCCAATCACGGAGAATAATACAACAAGCGGATCGCACGTGCGGGCTGACGTGCAGCGGTGTGAAGAACTTCGAAGAAGCATATCCAAGGTATTCTCTGGAAGATGAGTAGTACATCTTGTAGAAAGAAAGCCACTCGCAGCTGTGGTGAACGTCATCGATGGAAACCGCGCCAGTGGCTGTCACCCGGCAGCCACTTCTGTCCGTCGCACGAAGTCCTTCTGGAAACCATCTAGACACCGACCGGTATTTGGCGGACCATGTTAATATTGCAGTCCGTATAGCAGTGACTCCATGGTATTTCCGATGTTGCAGGCTGCGAAGACGAAGTCGCCGACCATCTTCAAGACCCCGACCCCAGAGACAATTTCCACTCACGACCGCGACGTAGAAATCATACGACATCCCACATCGTGAAACGCCTCGACAACCGGACCATGTGTTGTCCGCAGAGCCACCAGCCTTACCGTGCGGTTGTACAAGCCCAAGCCCGCGTAATATTCCCTTCTACTACCCTTAGGGTCCTTTCTCGTCGCCGAAGACCCATGCACCGGCCACGCGCGAGCCACGTTTAAAGCCCACGCTAGGCGGTTTAGGGGTGTTTGCATATCTGCTGCCGGCGCCACCACTCTGTCCGCCACAACATGTCCATCGTCGGGATGGCCACATTTCGGTTAAGTCCACAATTGTAACTTGAGGTCGCCGACTAGGAGAATGTTTACACGGCGATTGGCACATGGGCCGTTTTTGGCCGTTAGCGAGGAAGATCTCGCGCTGATTAGAATCTAGGGGTTCGTAATGAGGTGTCTACGAACGGCTTGTTTGCCTGTATTGGAATTGGCTTTCTTTGATTTTGCTACTTTCGTTCTGTTGCACCGTACATTAGGGAAATTCCTTAGTGAGAGTCGAGTCTTGAAAGGAGGGAGCATCGTCGAGACGGCAATACCTCATCAAGAGAATGTTCACGCCTATCGAGACTACCATCGGCGCCTTGCTGTTACATCAAGCAACTAGCAACCTTCTCTATCAGAATGGCGATATTCTGGGCGCCAGCGGCTATCTACGCAGATTGTTCTCTGCGCCTACGAAAGAACTGCTCGCCTTCTTCACTGGCATGGCTGCCAGCTACGTGCCACTGAAGGCACTAGCGCCACAATTGATTACCGAATATCCTGCTGTACAGATCAGCCCACAAACTGCTGTTGTGACAGTAGCGATCGGTGCTCTGGTAGGATGGGGGACTAAGGTGAGAGACTTTTGACGCGAGGATCTTACAACACTAACGTGGACAACCAGATGTCAAATGGATGTACTTCTGGACACATGCTGTGCGGTCTCTCCAGACTGAGTGGTCGCTCAGCAATCGCTGTCGCTACGTTCTTCCCCACGGCGGTCATAACCCGTCATCTCGCTCACCCAAGCCTATCGACCTCGGTATGCTCCGGCAGTGCACCATGCTACACACCCGTATACCCATCCCCGGAGACAACGGTGTCCCTTTTCGTGCTTGCTGTGTTCAGCACACTTGCTGCCCGAACGATACCTGGACTTGTGGCCCAGGCCACAGTTTCGCCCACCACCAAAGACACCAAACAACAGCCCACTGACACGCACACTGCTGCTCGCCTTGTCACACAAGCCTTCTCGGGTCTTCTCTTTGCTCTCGGTCTCCACGTCTCGCAGATGGCGCATCCCGACAAAGTTGCAGCTTTCCTCGCTTTCCCGAACTTGCAACACTGGGATCCGTCGCTTGCTCTAGTCATACTCTTCGGCGTCTTGCCTAATCTGATTGAGAACCAGATGAAAGGCTTTGACAGCTCACCATCGTTTGCCGACAAGTTCTCGCTGCCTACGAAGACGTTAAAAGATGTTGACAAAAGATTCGTCATGGGGGCTGCGGCTTTTGGTATTGGCTGGGGCTTGACGGGAACGTGTCCTGGTCCGGCGGTGCTTCGAGTTTTCTTCCAGCCGGTTTGGGGAGTCCTGTGGATCGGTGGGTTCTGGCTTGGAGGCAAACTGAGCATATAATTCAGTTGTTCCTTGTACTTCTAATGGGTGGCTCTTTGCGTCGCATGATACCCCACATAGATCTCTGTTTCGTCAATGGCCGTTGAGGTAAGACGGTGGTTGTGGATAATAATAATGACCAGGCATAAAATGTCAGTATAATGATTACGAAGATACGCCTGCAAGATGAATGGAAAGATGCCAAAATGCTCGTGAGCTTTGATTAAAATGCCACCTGATGTGTTGCTCCCTCGATGCTGAGCATGCCCTTCGAACCGACAGGAGATCTCTCCACGTCATCGACAGGCATTCTGTTCTTCGTGAGATTTCAAGGCTTAGCGGTATGTATCCCCTTGTTTTGTGAATGAGTTCTAGCAGGCTAGAGTGAAAGAAGAGACGCTTCCAAGGTTGTGGACCCTGAGTGAAGTTCAGCCCTACCAAAAAAGTCAGCCCCGCCACATCATATCATCCCACCGGACCCCCGCGACGCGCTCAACCACGAAACACACACAATGGAGGACGATAGAGCTGCGACCAATCTGGGTCCCGATGCGGACCAGGGTATGCCAGAAGAGGCGGTACCCGTGCAAAAACAGCCGAAAAGACGCTTCGTAGGCAGGAAGACGGCGGAGAAGGCGGGCGAGCAGCAAGCGGACCCCAATGCCAATATCGAAGATTCAAGCGCGATACAAGGTGTGAGGAACCCACAGACAGGCTATGAGATTTATGGAGGAACTAACTAGCACCAAAGTCGCCCAGCCTCGACGTACAGCTCGTGTCTTGAACGCGATTCCCGACGATATCCTCCACGACCAGGAAATCAACGATGCGATCGCCCTCCTACCCCCAAACTACAATTTCGAGATCCACAAATGCATACATCGCATACGGACATCAGGCGCCAAGTCGATAGCTTTGCAGTTTCCCGAGGGGCTGCTGCTGTTCGCAACAACCATATCCGACATTCTGACGCGATTCTGCCCCGGTACTTCGACATTGATAATGGGTGATGTCACGTATGGCGCGTGCTGCATAGACGACTACACTGCGCGAGCGCTAGGATGCGATCTTTTAATACACTACGCACACAGCTGTCTGATACCGGTAGCAGTGACAAAGATTGCGACGCTGTACATCTTCGTCTCCATCAGTATCGATACACAACACTTGATCAATACCATTACCGACAACTTCGCCGTGGGAAAGACTATCGCGTTAGTTGGTACCATTCAGTTTAACGCTACAATACACGGCATCGTGCCGATACTACGGAAGGAAGGCTACAACCCTTTCGTCCCACAGATTGCACCTCTATCCAAGGGCGAGATTCTCGGCTGTACGTCACCATCGATGGCGATCAAGCCAGGTCAGCTCAATGCGAGGGGCAAAGAGGAAGAAGTACCCGACATGATACTGTATCTCGGTGACGGACGCTTCCACCTTGAGAGCGCTATGATCGCCAATCCTCAATTACCCGCATACCGCTACGACCCATACTCGCGGCGGCTTACACATGAAACTTATGAACACGATTCGCTCTACGATTTGAGACGCACTGCCATCCTTACAGCCCGGAAAGCACGCACTTGGGGCGTTATTCTTGGCTCGCTAGGCCGACAGGGAAACCCACATACGTTGACACTCATTGAGAACGAGCTGGCGCGACAGGGTATCAAATGTGTCAACTTGCTCATGTCTGAGATTTTCCCTGGAAAGTTGGCAATGATGTCCGACGTAGAGGCTTGGGTACAGATTGCATGTCCTAGGTTGAGCATCGACTGGGGCTACGCATTTCCAAGGCCGCTGTTGAGTCCTTACGAGGCACTTGTTACGCTCGGCGTAAGAGACGCGCCATGGCTGGAGGAAGACGACACCGTGAGGAGAGCTGAAGCGAAGGAGAGAAAGAACCTCTACCCTATGGACTTCTACGCAAAAGAGGGCCTAGGACGGACCACTATAGATCACGTGAAGGCCGCGGAGGTGCCAGTTGGAGCGTGAAGAGTTGTGAATTATGCATCAAAATCGCGTTCTTTTCTGCTCATATGGGTAGCATCTACGTTATTGCCCGGCGTCAATAGGTTTTGCGATTCTCTAGGACTTTGTCACTTCTTCAGCTCCGGCTTTGCAGGTCGCCTTGGTGAGAAATTGGCGCAGGGACATAGTGGCCCCAAGCAGACGTCTCTTGACCCAGAGTGATCGACTTAGAATAAAATACAATGATTGTTGCTTGCTCTGACCTTTCATCGCGATATCATCAAAGAAATACCTTTCGCTAGTGGTATCAGCAAGCACGGACATATACGAAGTCACCACTCGGCATCCACCTTGTTCGATAGCTCTCTACAACACAGTCAACGTTTGTTCCCATATTTCTCCATGAATCTCGAGCCGCTGACCCAACTCCATCTACTGCTGAACCACGAAAATGTCATCTGCAACAGCGCTCCCTATCATCCCCCAGATTGAGATCACAGCACCGGATATGAATCCAATAACACCTGCCGCTACTCCTGAGGAGCGGAAGCGATCACTGACTTTCCATAGTGCCGCCCAACGCTCTCCAAAGATAGCGCGATTGGATTCCCTTGTACCTCACGTAGATGAGTCTCTTTGTTCTACCATTCACTACGGCGTCTACATGCACGATCTTCTCAAAAGATCAGGCAACGCCGCCCTGCAACTCATCACTACATCTACAGACTTCGATAGTGTCTATGAAGTCATGCGTAAGCATGCTGCGGGACAGATTGAAGCAAACGTACATTGGGGCGCCACAAAAGAGCTAAACACTAACAACCTCTACGAGATCCTGGATGGTAGAAACCGGATCCTCCTCCGTTATGAGCTGGATGCAGTCTCCCCTAATGGTGAAGATACGGACGGTATCCAGATCTGGAACCGCGCTAGCGCATCACCGGCTCTACTTGTGCACTACGGCATGTATATCGGCCTGCACTGTGATACCAGAGATAGAACAGAGCACTTTTTCGTTGGTGGCTTCAAGAGCCTTGGTGAAGCCAGCTATGCCATGAAGCAATCGGCGGCTACATATCTCCAAGGTCATAGCGAAGCCAAGCTGTATGAGAAGAGCATTGAGGTGGTGAACAAAAAGGGTCAACTTCAGCAGCGCTTCACGATTGAGAAAGGTAGGCAGAATGAGAATGGAAGCTTCGTCAAGGAAGCGGATTGGCACTTGGAGCAGGACAGTACTGATTCGAAGGTACCAGTCACCCGTCTCCCCACACCCGGGACATCGAAGTCATCTAAACTGCCAACTGCCCAAACGAATGTTCCGCAAATCGTAACTGAAATTGTCAGAGAAGCCAAACCACACGCTGTACTGCAAGTTCCCGCTCATGTGGTATCGGAACCGCAAGCTGTCCGTGACACACGCCGCTACTCTCAACGGCTCCAATCCCACATTGAACCTTCCAATGACAAAGTGGGAGAAGAGCAGCCTAAGATCAAACCTCAAGCAAAGCAAAAGGCTCCAGTTAAGTCTAGGACCCTAGCTAAGCCAAAATTCCAAGTCCAGGCTCCACATGACTTCACTCCTCATTGTACGTGTCGCCTCCCTGACGACGGCAGTCTCATGATTGGCTGCGACAACGAGAAATGCCCAATCGGCTGGTATCATGGTCGTTGCATCAATGTTCACCAGGCGATGCCGGAGAACGAGGTGTGGTATTGCGAGATGTGTACGCGGGAACGGGAGAATAAGAAAGCTCGAGGTATGGATACGCTCGCTGTGAACATATCTGGGAAGACGCCTGTGAAAAAAGGGGAATGTAGTGGTGGAAAGACACAGGGGAAGGCGAAGAAGAGGAAGTTGAGCTAAATCGAGGCAATGGAGGAAGATGTCGTGCGCTGGCCTCCATAGTCGTTCTAGGTGTGTCAGGTTGTTTACTTGATAGTATCACACGAGGTACCTGGACGGTCTTACTGTCTAGACGTCAACTCCCGTAACTTTATGCTTCACCGAATAGTTCCTACTTCTATCTATGTCGTTATATCTTCAGTACTGTATTCCGCCGATGCTACTCTCGGTCTCTCGTACTGCGCCGGTGTCTTGATAACGCGGTGAAGTAAGACATGGCCAAAGTACGAGCTAATAACAAAGAAGATGATGATGCCGATGGTAGAGTTGTCCATATTTCCTTGATAAATTGAGTAGAAATTCAACTCAGATGATTGCAGATAGTAGAATGTCACACTTCGTACGCAGATATATGGCTTGGCAAAGCGAGCGAGCAGTGGTATCGCGGTGTTGAAAAACTGTAGACGATAGGAAAGAGGTTCATGTTCGAGGATCAGAGGTGGATGGGTATCACGAGGCGGCAGTAAAGCATGGATGTTGCTGTCAGCAAACGCCCTTCGCTTGCGAATGGGTAAGCTAGGTTGAGGGGAGATGTCAGACAGCTGGGACCGTTGCTCGTGTGTCGCATATGAGAACATCTAGAAACAATCCGTCTTCATTTGGCGATTGATCGCTTAGTGCACGAAAAGCAGGATTTGCGCGCATAAGAGTTGAGCAGATTCACCGTTCAGGTCTAGTTGGTAGGGGATGAAGCGCGTAATGGGTATCGTATTCGCTATGCAAGATTCTAAAACAATGCTGAGTATACGCAACTGATTCCTCAATTCAACGCTATCCAGAAACTGCGCTCAATCAATCTCTGGCATTAATTCGTCGTCTTCGATGAGGTCGGGATCTACCTTGCTACCCAGATCGGTGTCTTCGAGGAATGAGCGACCCCGGAGTGCTTCGGGCAAGTACTCCTGCTTTACCTTGCCGTCTAGGTAATCTGGGTTGTATTTGTATCCATCGCCGTACCCCATATCCTTCATCAGCTTGGTCGGCGCGTTGCGTATGTGATGTGGTATGGGTAGTGCGGCAACTCCTGGTTCCTTCAACGCATCCATGGCATTGTGCAAGCCCCGGTATACGCGCGTCGACTTTGGTGAAAGAGATAGGGCGGTGACGGCGTGGGCGAGGTTGATGCGACACTCGGGCATGCCAATCTTCTCACAGGCAGAGTATGTGGCTGTCACTAGGGACAGCATTGTGTTGTCTGCCAGTCCAACGTCTTCGGATGCGACAACGATTAGGCGGCGGGCTATGTAGCGTGGGTCTTCGCCAGACTCAAGCATACGTGCTAAGTAGTACAACGCCGCGTCAGGGTCGGAGCCTCGTATTGACTTGTGCAGTGCGGATATGGTGTCGTAGTGTTGGTCGCCGGCGCGGTCGTATACGAGGGTTTTGGTGAGGCTCTGTTGTATCTTCTCTTTGGTCATGTCAGGTTGCTTCGCTAGGTTGATAGCTAGTTCGAGAAGATTGAGGGCTGTTCTGGCGTCGCCGTCGGAGAAGCGAGCAAAGTACTCCAACATGGACTTGTCAAGGATGGGAGATGTGTAGTTGTCCGAGGCCATTGCGCGTTCCAGTATTCGCACCAAGTGGTCTTCTTTGAGGTCGTCGAGCGTAAAGGTCCGACATCTTGAAAGCAATGCTGAAATGACTTTGAAAGATGGATTCTCAGTCGTTGCGGCTATGAGTGTTATAGTGCCTGACTCTACAGGTCCAAGGAAGGCATCTTGCTGGGTCTTGGAGAAGCGATGCAGCTCGTCACAGAAGACGATGGTCCTTCGACCTGTCAGCTGCAGCTCCCTGAAGGCCTCTGTGAATATCTTGCGCACTTCCTCCAACTTTGTACTTGTGCTGTTAATTTCAACGAAGCGTGAGCCCGATGTGTTGGCGATAAGTCTTGCAATCGTGGTTTTGCCTTTTCAAGAAGTTAGTTTCAAGTCGAAAGTGGAGGATACATGGGGGGGTCATTACCAGTTCCTGGCCGTCCCCAAAGCACCATTGATGGCAGTCTGCCCTCGTCGACCATGCCTCGAAGCACGCCGCCCGGTCCTACCAGCTCTTGACCATATACATCATCTAATGACATGGGCCTCATACGCTCCGCCAGCGGCATGGCATCTGTGACTGCCTTGAGTTTCCGCGCCCGCTTTGGAGCTGATGGCGAGTGCGGCTCGCCATTTGTCGGTGCATCCGCCGCCTCATCAAAGGTTCGTTTCGTGGCCGCTGGTGGCGTCTTGGACCGCTCTACAAGCTGCGTTGCTGTCGGTGGTGCCGGCGGTGATGAGGTTGGATGCCCATTCTTCTGTGTCGCGCCTGGCAGTTTGCGTGCGCCTGGCGTAAAGAAGCTATACGCCTTTCCCAAATTCGGCGTACCCTGTGGTTCTGCTTCAAGAAGAAAGTCTGTGCATGCACTGTCAATGTGTTCGTTGATTCGGGCGTCTTTGACGGCTTTGGCGCAGATTGGGCAATCGACCATGTTCGAAGATGAGTGGCTCGACACACGCGACGCGAAATATTCTGGGGTAACGCGACGAGCGAAGTCGGCGCTATCTCGGAAATGTCCCCGCTTGATGACGGCAGACGACGGACTGGAGCACGCAATACTTCGTACAAGCCAGCCCTTTCGTACCAGACGCTGCAATTCATGAATCTTCTGGGAATCCTTGTGCGCCGATGATACTGCCATGCGAAGTATCGTGACTCCAGCTATAAGATCTATCCGAACCTCGACAAAGAGACCGTTTGCACCTTCCAAGTGCCCCACCAGCTGCCCTCTTCCACAAGCCATGTCAACGACAACAAGAAGGGAAGACCCCTTCAAGCCCGCGAAGAGAGTCGCTGGGCAGAAGCAGGATGTCTGGTATGTCTTGCAGTTCTAGCATGCGACAACAGCTAACAGTGACAGGTCTATCGTCAATGAAGCTGCGGCAGCTTCGCCTGTGCAGCCCATCGTGAACATGGGCCAGGGCTTCTTTGGCTACAACCCTCCCAAATTCGTCCTCGACGCCGCCAAGGCTGCTCTCGACCAAGTAGACTGCAATCAGTATTCGCCCACCAAAGGCCGCCCGCGGTTGAAGAAGGCTATTGCTAAGGCCTACTCTCCTTTCTTCGGTCGCGAGATAGATCCCGAGAAGGAAGTCACAATCACAACAGGCGCAAATGAAGGCATGCTCAGCGCTTTCATGGGCTTCCTGGAAGAAGGAGATGAGGTCATTGTGTTTGAACCTTTCTTCGACCAGTACATAAGCAACATTGAGATGCCAGGTGGAAAGGTTGTCTACGTGCCCCTGCATCCTCCCAAGGACGGCGCGACCAAGACAACGTCTGCAGCCGAATGGAGTCTGGACTTGAAAGAGCTGGAAGCTGCTATTACACCCAAGACCCGCATGATTGTCATCAACTCTCCCCACAACCCCATTGGCAAGGTCTTCTCCAAGGAGGAGCTGCAGGCCATTGGAGATCTATGCGTAAAACACAACATCATAATTCTTTCGGACGAAGTCTACGATCGCTTATACTATGTTCCCTTCACCCGCGTCGCTACTCTGTCACCAGAGATCGCCAAACTTACATTAACAGTCGGTTCCGGAGGCAAGAACTTTTACGCTACAGGTTGGAGAGTTGGCTGGCTGATCGGACCTGAGCATCTGATCAAATACGTCAGTGCAGCGCATACACGAATCTGCTACAGCAGTGTCTCGCCGCTTCAAGAAGCAACAGCAATCGGTTTCGAGCAAGCCGACGCCCACAATTTCTGGGAGGAGTCGAAGAAGGAAATGAAGGCCAAGATCGATAAGTTCACCGCTGTCTTTGATGAGCTCAACTTGCCCTACTCAGAGCCAGAAGGCGGATACTTCGTTCTGGTGAATATGTCCAAGGTCAAACTACCAAGTGATTACGAGTTCCCCCCTCATGTGGCGGAAAGGCCAAGAGACTTCCAGCTCAGTTGGTTCCTGATCAAAGAAGTCGGCGTGGCGGCTATCCCCCCGACTGAGTTCTTCACTCCAGGCAATGCGCACATCGTTGAAGACTGGCTACGGTTTGCCGTATGCAAGAACGATGACGTACTAGAGAGCGCCATGGAAAGGCTTAGGAGTCTTAAGAAGTATATCCAGGAATGAACGCCAGTTCGGATGTCAAGTACAACCAAATAAAGATGTTAAGATTCCAACGATGCATATATTGAGGGCGCGTGTTGAGACTGTCCCCATTGCCGTTCACCATGCAAGTGCGCTTAGACAACAGAATGGAGCCGGATGCAGACTTTGCGGGGCGCCCTTAACACTGTCACGTCGACATCATTCACTTTGGCAGTATTTTCACCTTCATCAGGAACATCTCCACCTCAATCACTATAACTAGGACGGTGACGCCCTTCTAGGTCATAAGGTGGCAGCAAACGCTCCTTACTTCTATCAAGATGATGCCTCACATTCCAGTCTTTCATCTTTGTCGCTTATGGAACAATATCACCGCACTTACATTCCAGTCTTAGTTTCACCTTCACTCCCTTTAGTGTTTGTCATCAAGCGCTACTTACGCAGCGTAAATATGATAAGTGTTGCTTGTTTCAAATTTGACTTACTATCCACTCACTTACTACACCGTCACTCAAACACCGACGATAATTGCACAACGCAATGCTCGCATGTATCCTTTGGTTCGCTATCCTCGCTTTAGCTTTGCCGCAAGCCCAAGTCGAGACAGTGACCCAAAGCCTCCCAACACCGACACCGCCGAAGAAGACACCCGGCCTTAGGCCCGGTTACATCGTTCGACCCTTTCCCAAGTCCATGCCACCGGCGTGGGGAAGCTGGCTTCAGCACCTATCTAGCATTCTAATTCCTGGTCTGACGCCGACACCCATGCCCATGCCCACAACCAGTGTAGTTGGGGAACCGCCAGCGTCTATGCTGATCATTACAGTAACGCCAGGTGGTGGGGTAACTACTGTCACTTCACTCATAACGAGTGTAGTGATAGCTTCACCGCCGCCCTCGACTGTCACTAAATGGGTACCACCAAGCAACGTTGCGAAGCGTGAGGAGCAGCTTCCAGAGGAAGAAGGCGAGGACGCACCCTTCACCCCTACCATCACCCATCTACCTGAGGCAGCCCCGGAGTCTGAACAAGAAAAGGAAGACGACTATGACATGGTGGGAGTCCGCTAGAGGGCGACGATGAGAAGCCTGCAGTTGGAGAGTCGTAGTGAAGGTCGGTAACATGTTTCAAGGCAGGAATGGGTGGAGTCGATAGCATTTTGTACATTACTTTTTCTCTTCCAACATTCACTCCTCCCGATCAGCTTCTCAGTACTTGCACTTGCTTTCAGAACGAGTTGGTTAATTGGGAGAAGGCACTGAGATGTCATGGTATCATGTATTCATAGCTTCATTACTTTAATGGTAATTCGTTACTCGTCATCATCATATACTTCACGGTCTTGGAAGATCAAGAATTCGCCCCCATCGTCGCCCACAATCTTCTGCCACACCTCTCTAACGTTTTCAAGCACCATGTCATCGAATGCGAGATCCATAGAAGGAGGTGGGAAGCGAACGATACGATCGGTATCAGACGGCAAAGTCTCCGATCCGGAAGAAGCCTGCTGTTGATACTCCACAGACCATAGTATTGTTGGCGATGGCTGGACATCTTGAGCAGAGAGCAATGACTCTACAGCTTTCCGGAGCAGTGCAAACCCATCTCGATCGTTTATCGATGTCGAAGCATACAGTACACCTGGGAAATAGTCAGCAACATGAAGCTAGACGAACATGCGTTGAAAGTGTAGATGATGTGCCGTTGTATCAGGTTGTCAGAGTTATTGTCTTCAATGGTGTTCAGACAATGTAGATAAGTATTCGTAAGGTTTGTTCATCATAACAGCAGGGAATAAAAAGAGGGAGATGGTACTTACATTGACCGGGAGGACATTCACCAGTATCGCTCGAATGCACGAAGACGTGCACTGGCGGAAGCTCTTCAGCTTGCGAGTCCAGCGTCAAGGAGCCGGATGGAAAGACGACAACAGCAGCGGCTGGTGCTGGTGCTTCCTCCGCGATGGGCGGGAACAGGTGTGACAAGGAGGACGACACAATGGTTATCGACCTGCAGTGTGTGTCTTCAGAAGCGGTTGACGAGTTCCCCCCTACAATCCACTTCGCGGTGACGACTTCGCCATCTCTCAGGCGAAGCTTTGTACCATTCTCGGTTGTCTTCGCGTTGTCTTCGGTGGGTGGAGCTATGCCTTTTCCAAGAACATAGACACCACCGCCTACAGCACAAGCGCGGCACGACACTTGACTGATCTCCGACAAGCCGCCCCATTTCGGGATGACGGCCCCGAAGCCAGCGCCGAACACGCCGATCGAACGTAGATGCCTCGCGATTCTCGGTAGAGCATAATCGGTGGGAGTTTGATCTGGTCCGGCAGGCGATAGCGTCAAAGCCATCAAGGGTCCTTGCAGACTTGCTGGAACCTTGAATTGCTCAGTCAAGAAGCTCGAGAACGGTTGCTGACGATGCTCTTCCCACAACTCGGTCTGCTCTTCATATTCGCTGATGAAGCGCAAGAACTTCATCAAAGCGCGTTTGGCCTTGAAGTCGAGGTCGTGATCCTGGAAGACGTCCTCTCGGCCGTTTGGAACCTTGAGTAACCTTCCATGCGATGACGAGCTTTCGCTCTGTGCACTTGCAGAGTACACCCACCAGGTACCGACAGCAAGAAATTCAAGCTGACGATAGACCCTCGACGAAACGAGATAACCGAGAAGGGAGGAGCGCGCGTAGATAACCTGGGGGCTTAGGGATAGGCTGTATGCCCTTGAGAAGGACAGAGCAGGAGCTGCCGCTGTAGCCTCGGGTTTAGTGATTGTGACGTGGGAGAAGCCAGCATTTACTGTTTCTTGGATACGTTAGCGACAGCAAAACCTCTCGAAAGTATCCCTACTTACCATCACTCATCCGCTGCGCCCACTCTTCAGCTTCTTGTAAGCTAAAGGCAGCCTCGGCACCACCATAGAAGTCATTCTCGTCGACATGGAGGATCTTCTTGTCTGAGCGCGACAGAGCTCTTCAAGCGCTGCGTCAGTCAGATCGCGTCCACTCTCGCCTACAAGCAAGACACATACAAAGCGAGAAGAGATTGCTGCAGGCCAGTGCCTACAATGAGCACGTCCCACTCGGTGTTGTCGAGAGTTTCCATGTTGGAGCTGTAGGAAGAGATTGAAATGTCGGGAGAAGATGGTAGCGCCATTTTAGCGTGGGTGACTAAGCGGGTCCTGGTGACAAAATCTGTCGAGCGCTGCCGAGGAGCTTTCCTTCATCATCGCGCACGCTCAGGACATCCCGGCATTATGTATGGTATGTCCGAACAGCATCCTGATCTTCACTGATCTGGCCTTGTGCGCGTGAGAAGAATATCTCGTCCGGTATCTACTGCTTTGGATTTCACCTGAATTAGCGGCTCGAATGTGGCGATACATTACTTTGAGACCATCTGGAGCTTTCGCTTTAATTGCACAAAGCACTAGTGCTCCCTCATCAATTTTTTTTGTGAGAGATTGCCCTTCGTTAAAGAGGGTTGGTCTCGTATTTACAGATTTCTGTCGCTTCATGCAGTTGGCCTTCCTGAACCCAGATGTACGGCGTCTAGGAAAATTGAGATTAACGCCATCGATTTTGAACTTGCATTGTTGCGTCAGGGTATCATCTAGTTCCTCCTATAACCTCGTAGTAACCCGCCGTGACACGCTTAAGTCAAAGTGGCATTGCGACGCAATTGGGATCTACTCCCGCCTTGTCCCCTCATATAACCCAGGGATATAATGAAGAAACTTGAGTACATCCTCCCAATCGTGGTCCAGCCCTGGATGAATCTCAACGACATTTACCTCGTCCCGCTTCATCGCAGCTACAATGTTGCCAATGGAGTCCTCATGTTCAACAAATCTCTTCTCAAAGACATCTCCCGCTCTACCGCGACTCAGAAACCGCTGTCGAGCTACCGCCTGATCAACACAAAGCAGCAGTGCCCAGGTGCTACTATTGGGCTTCCAAATGTCCTTCACGATGTCCTTGAACGTCTCCCACCGATCTACTCCCCTAGGAAATCCATCGATCAGAATTCGTAGGTTTGGTGTTACCACACCATCGGGAAAGACCCGCTCCTTGACGTACTTGGGTGTAACATTTGAAGGCGCTAATGTTCCTGCTTTGACGTTCGTTGCGAAGTCCTCCAGCTCAGCAACGGATAACTTGTTCTTGATACGTGCAGCATGGCCAGTTGAATTTTGAGAAATTAGATTGCGGAGTTCATCGCCGATGGAGAAATGGTCTAGTTTGAACTGCTTGACGAGGGTGGTGCATAGCGTCGACTTACCCGCGCAGGGAGGGCCGAGGACGAATACTATAAGGTGTGGGGATTGCTCGCTAGGTTCAAGTGCCGTAGCTTGCACCGACGAATGGGCGTCCTTATCGCTGTTCATATTTATGGCCTGTGCGTACAACAGGGCTAGAAGGGTAAATCTGCCTGTGCGTCAGGTATTAAGTATGTAGTGAATATGCTTCACATGTCCCTTGACTTCACGCCACCGTTCCTTGACAAGGCGAGCCCTTAATTCACATAGCATTCAAGTCTCTCCACAATCCTGACACCCATCTCATTGCTCAGCACCATGTTATGAAAAAATCTTGGCTTGAACACCGTCATTAGAAGTCAGTATCAACCTCTCGCTTCACCGTCATCTTCATGCGCTCGAATATCCTCCTCCTTATCCCACACCTTATGCCCGGCCACCCACGTCTGAAGCACCTCACCTTGCTCATTCAATACAGTCAAGTCTGCTCTCCTGCCTTCCTTTAGTATACCCCGTCCGCCTTCTCCATCAACGTCCATGAAAGCAGCAACATTCTCAGTGACCGTGCCTACAGCCTCTGCAATTCCACAGCCAGACCAATTCATCAAGTTTCTTACACTCCGTTGGAGTGGAATGCATCCCCCAATCAAAGTATCAGTACCCACAATTGTCGCTCGTGTTCCATTCTTGACCTGTTCATAAGGGATCTGAGAGTGGCCGGGATACGTCCCGTCTTTGAGAGACGCAAGTTCAATACTGTCAGTGATCAGAATTGACCGCTTTGGGTTGGAGCGATGAAGCAAAGACACGGTGTTTGGGTGCAAATGCTCTCCATCTGCAATGATTGTGTACCACGGTGGTGCAACTTTCCCTGTTTCCGACAGCGATACCAGTCCAGCTAACCCAGGCGCTCTTGATCCCCAAGCTGGCATCGCATTTAATGTATGCGTCAACCCGCTTGCTCCAGCCTTCAACCCAGTCAATCCGTCCTCATATGTTGCCGTCGAATGGCCCATTGCTACCTTGATACCTTGCGATGTCAGTGTTTTGATAAGTGCCGCTGAGTCAGGGAGCTCCGGCGCGACGGTAACAAGCTTGACCGTGGATTGCAAGTTCGAGGATCCGTAGATGGTCGAGGGGGATGTTGAGCAGGAGTGGAAAAGAGAGCTGTTATGTGCGCCCTTCTTGGAAGGGTGTAGGTATGGGCCTTCTGTGTGAGCCCCAAGGAGAGATGCAGAAGAGGAAATCTGGCGAGGCTTCAAGGAGGGGAGAATCTGGAGAGGTGTTAGTAGGCTGCACATGGTGTGCACTTGATGGTGTTTAAAGTGCACGACGAAGACATCTCGGCGTATCATATCTGCCTTACCTTCTGGAATTCATCGCTCTTTACTGTGGGTATAGTTGCCCAGAATCCCGTGACACCCTGAGTCGTGTAGTATTTCGCAATATCGTCTATCTTTGTCGCATACGTTTGCTCGTCCTCGTAGTGCGTGAAGTGGAAACCATTCGCTCCATTAGTGTGCAGTTCCAGGAAGCCCGGAGCTATGATACTGTCTTCCAAGTCGATGGCTTCGCCCCCAATGTAGCCTTCTCTTTTCAAGATGAGTCCGGTCTCATCGGAGATGACAAGATGGTCCTCGACAAGCTCGCCATTGAGGATGTAGCGACAGTTGGTGAACAAGGTGAACCAGCCCGACATATTGCGGACCTGGCCAATAAATGTGCTGGAAACTGGTAGCGGGTAACTCCCGTTACCAAAGCGTGAGTAGGGAGATCATGAGTCGTCCCAAGGTGGAGGGGATGATCGGCCCCGCTACACGCTGATTGGCCAATGATGCCATGCCATGCATATCGACGTCATCAGCCGATCATAGCGGGAACTCACGATGCGACGGCCAGGATGTTTATCAGAATTTCAGCCACAGTGGAGATTTTGACAGCTTCTTGTCGTGGCACAAGCGGAGGCTGAGTACGCGTCGTGCGCAACAGGTAACGCGGCAGCTCCTGTTCTAGCATCGGTCCTGCTTGCTTTACGTCATTGACTTCAACCTGTAGCCTTAGCCCCGCGTGCGGGATCTCTTTCATGGTTCTGCTTTGCTTGTTCCTTGCTTTCGCTTCTCTTAAGCGGGGAGATCTTCGCTAGGCTCAACTTCTTCCTAATCTATCCCATCAACCCTTACGATCCTCCCGCAACAGTCGCAATTGCTGGGTGAGTTTCGTCGCGCGTCCATACCCTCGACCTGGGCGGTCATACAGAAGGAGAGATACACAAAATGGAGCAACAGCAGCAGCAACATGCTCCAGGAGGACATTACTCGGGACACAACCCAATCCCTACTGTCAAGCAGTTCGTGGAGAACTTGGACAAGGACAAGGCGGCCCGAGATAGGAAGTTAGACGAACAAGCCAAACAACAAAATCTGCAACAGTCGCAACCACACAAGCAGCAGGAAAGACAAGTAAAGGGCACAGAGAAGACAGTCACAGACCCTACAACCGGTAGGGAAGTTACCATTGCCGATGTCAGCAAAGACATGATAGACGAGGTCGAGAACCCGCATTTGGTTGTGCCCAATGCGAATCTGAACAAGTCAACAGTATGTTAACCTTTTTGTCCATATACCTCTCCACTAACACCTTCAAGCCCATAAAGACCGACCCCTCCCAGTCGCTCGAAGATTACAAATACAATCAAGATGTCACAGCACCACCAGATCCAGTCGCCGAAGGCACCACGACCGACGTACCTATCCATGGCGAGAAGACGAACGTTCTCTTCCATCCCACACCCTCAGTCAGCTATGAGCCCATGTTTGCCGCCCTTGAGACGCGCGCCAACTACTTATGCGCGGGAATACTCATCGGAACGGTTGTCGTTGGCAAGATGTTTGGCGGTGCGCTCAAGGGCCTTATACCGCTTGGCATGTGCCTGGCGTCTGGTGTATATCTCTGGATGAAGGAGGTTGTGCGTAGCGGAAGGGAAGTCGAATGGGACAGTGAGCAAGTCCGCGGCCAGATGGTATGTGCCTGCGGAAGCCCCCTTGTCAGGATCAGCTAACCGTTGTATAGGCCTCTTTGAATTTGTTGCCCGAGTCCGTCGAGTGGATGAACACACTGCTTGCCATTGTATGGGGCCTCATCAACCCCGACATGTTCTCGGGTGTCGCCGACATGCTTGAGGATGTTATGCAGGCTTCCGTACCTGGTGTCATTGAAAACGTCCGCGTGGCCGAAATCAACCAGGGAAGCAACCCGTTACGCATCCTCAGCTTGCGAGCACTTCCCGACTCCCACATGGGCGACATGAAGAAATCAATCCACGAAGAGAACAAGAAGACAAAAGATCCTCAAGAAGCAGCAGCAGATGAAGAGGGCGGCGACTACTACAACTTGGAAGTCTCTTTCGCATACCACGCCAGTCCCAGCGGAAAGCGGGTATCCGAGAGAGCAAGGAACATGCACATGCAACTGGTATTCTACTTGGGGATTAAGGGTCTCTTCGGTGTTCCGCTGCCCATCTTCGTCGAACTGCAAGGCCTCGTCGGCACAGTCCGCTTGCGATTGAACATGACCCCCGAACCTCCCTTCCTCAAAACCTTAACTTTCACCTTGATGGGCGCGCCGCAGGTAACTGCTGGGTGCACGCCTATGGTAGAAAAGGGCGTAAACATCCTCAACCTCCCCCTGATCAGCAACTTCGTCAACTATGCCATTAAAGCAGCGGCTAGCATGTATGTCGCGCCAAAATCCATGTCTATTGACATGCGAGCCATTCTTCAAGGCGACTCTGTTCAGAAAGATACCGAAGCCCTGGGTGTACTTTGGATTCGTATTCACCGTGCTGTCGGCCTGAGCAAACAAGATCGACGTGGATCAAAGCATGGTGGCAGCGACCCTTACATCACGATCGCGTTCTCGAAATACGGCAAGCCCATGTACTGTACCCGAGTCATTACTGACGACCTGAACCCGATCTGGGAAGAGACGGCAGCTGTTCTCGTTGGTCCAGAACTGATCAAGGCCAACGAGAACTTGAGCGTAGAACTCTGGGACTCTGACCGGCACACCGCCGATGACATTGTTGGAAAGGTCGAGATTTCCATGCAGAAGATGATCCAGCACCCAGGCAAAATGTACCCACAGACTTCGAAGCTGGCCGGTATGGACGCTGACAGTGAGATGCCCGGAGAACTCCACTGGGAAGTCGGTTATTTCACCAAGCCAAAGTTCAGGAAGGAGATGCGAACAGACGGCAAGAACAAATCTCTTCCAGACGAGTTGAAGGACAAGCCTGAATTACAAGATGACAAGGGTGTCATCAACTCTGACGAGGATGATGCCGTCATGCACACTCCACCGGACCCTCTCTGGCCTAGCGGTATCTGCAGTGTGATTTGTCACCAGATTGTGAATTTAGAGCTTGAGAACGTAAAGGGCAGTACCAACCCCAAGGGACGCGAATACGAGCCTGCGAAGCCTTACGGTGAGGGCAAAGAAGAGACTGGTGGAGATCTTCCAAACAGCTACTGCACGATCCTGTTCAACGACGAGCTAGTCTACCGAACCCGTGCAAAGGCTGTCTCGTCCCAGCCAATCTTCAACGCAGGTACAGAACGATTCATTCGTGATTGGCGATCAGCCATTATCACGGTTACAGTGCGCGATCAAAGGCATAGGGAGCATGACCCTATTTTGGGCGTAGTCCCACTGAAACTGTCTGACATTCTCGAGACATCCTCCCAAGTCACACGCTGGTATCCGCTCGATGGCGGTATCGGGTTTGGTCGTATACGAATTTCTCTCTTGTTCCGCAGCATTGAAACCCGTCTACCCCCTCAGATGCTTGGTTGGGATGTTGGCACCTTTGAATTCCGGTCTCAGCGTATCCTGGCTCTGGGTTACAATCATCACCCCAAGATCAAATTGCGAACTGGTGGAAGTACTGGCAAGTTGAGTCGCACCGCTGCTCACAAGCTCCAAGAAGGCGATGGCTACTACTGGGACCTAGAGGAGGGCAATGGAAAGTACAACGTCCGGCTACCAGTAAAGCACCGTTATAGGTCACCAATCGTTTTTGAGTTCCACATCAGCAATCATCGCAAGGCGGATGCGTACGCAGTCATTTGGCTTCAGCACTTCATCGACAACGAAGACGCAGACATCAATATCCCGATCTGGAAGACTGCTGCTCCTGCTCGACTTACGCAGAACTACATCACTGAAGAAAACTGCCACAAGGAACCAGGTCTCGACGATCTTCAGGAAGTTGGTCGTCTACAGTTCCGTGCGCGCTTCAAGGCTGGAACGGACGAATCGCACGCTGCTTTCATCACCGATAATGATACACGCGAGACTTTCGAAACTTGGGAGTCATGTGTTACGGAGGGCGTGCGAAACCACAAGGTAGAGAAGGAGATACCCGATCGTGTGCAAGAACTACATGAGCAATCATTGACCACCGGTCGTGATATTCTGAAGAATGCGAGCGAAGAAGAGAAGCGTAGGTGGCTCGCAAAGGACGGACAGGACTGGTCCGGTGCTTTCGGAGATAATCCCAAAGCCTACATGAACACGAGACGTCAGAAGAGACGCGAACCGGGCGTCGATGAACCCTTACACGACCGTCATCATCCATCCGACAACGAGGATAATGATGACTCTGACGACGACTACGGCGAAGACTCTTCGTCATCCGACATTGGTGTCGAAGATGCCGATACCGTTGGCAGCGCAAAACAGATGAGTGGCGGCATGGGCGGAGGTGACCAGAGCAAAACCAATGGCCAGCTGAAGTCACAGAAGACCGATCTATCACCCACGGATGATCACCACCCTCGCCAGTCAATGTCTACAGTCCAAACGAGCACCACGTCTGAGACGGATGATACCTCATCGAGTAAGGATGTCAACAAGCAGAACAAGAGAACTGAAGAGAGGAAACATCGTGGACTGATGCAGTGGAAGCCCGCGCGGAACGCAAAGTTCGCGAAGGATGAAGCTAAGATCGGGCTGGCTAAGCTTAAGAAGAAGGTTACTGGAGGTTTAGATGGAAGGCAACCTGGTGTTGAGACTGGTGAGTTATACGGAACAGTAGCGGATAAGAAACATGCACTAACAAGTCAACAGAAACTGGATGAGTATGCGCGCGAGCATGATACCAATTCAACGAGTTTGGGAACTGTCCACGTGGAAGTAGTGATTGCGATATCACACAGGGACATGATATAATCCTGAGGGAGTACGGAGTTCTTTGTAGGACAGAACGCTACTGGCCGGGAGTTCAAGATATCACGAAGTGAATGAAGCAATGCTAGCAACCATAATAACTAATCAAATCTTGGTTCTAAGTTTGCTCGTCAGTTATGTCGCCATCACATTGAGAGACACCAAAAGTGGCGATCGCACACGATACGATGAGCTCGGCTAGGATACGTCAGGATTGTCGTCACGACTAGTGCAACAATATTTGACGACCATATCAACGACGTGAGCACGACCCCAAGACAAGCGGGAGTCCAAAAAGCACAGATACTGTAGTCATGAAACAATGATGAGGTGTATCCGAGGTACCTGCGCGCATTGCGAAAGTTGCCGGATTATACACGTCTGCCTTGCCCAGCACCATTGCTGGCCTGAAAAGAACCACGGCACTATGCTATTCTAGTACACTGGCTCGTTGGTTAGCAATTGACCCATTGATTTTGGCCCTCATTCCAGGATAGCGGTCGGTCGTGTCGTTGTTCAAGGCATGATCGGCCCATTTCGCTTCAACCCCATTTACGCGCCGGCGCTTGCAGAGGCGCGGTAAGCCACATGATTTCTTAACAATTGCTTACTAGGACTAGATGTGATTTGGGGAAGTCTAGCGTTGATCAAACTGGGTCCAGGACCAATTTCTCGGCTGTGCCACATGGCGGGCGCTTAGAGGAAGGATGACGGACGGGACGCTTTGTTTTTTTACGCCTTGCTCACCTGCCCGATTTGCGTGCTTTGGGAGTTGGGTGTTTAGAAGTGAGACAAATGAGTAAACTTCATATCGTGATCTGACTAGATTGTGGTGGGTTGTGAGTAGTGCCGGTCGTTTTGCGGCTTCCTTCAGTGGGACGGCCTCCGCACATGGCTGTCTTAGACACTGCAAGTCATGGTAAGGCTGCATGGGAATACCGATGATAAACGCTTGGAGTTCTGTATCGTCGCAGCTGTGCGGTCCGTGGAATGCCTAAGCCCTCCAGGCTCAACACCACCAGGGCACTGGCTGGGTCAGGGTCACTGTCAGCCGGGTTACACTAGAAAGCAAAGCGGAAGAAATGTTGTAGATTTGCTGTTGAGTGTTGTGTATCAACTCGGATCGATGAGACGAGATTGAAGATCGTGTTGGTCGCGTCAAATATGCGTTTACTCGGTTAACCTGCATATGCATGCCCAGTTGTCAGGAAGGAAGTGACCGTTTTTCTTGCACCTGCATGCATACAGCTGCGGTCACATGTTTCTAGCACATACCTCACACTTCAGGAGAAATTGTCTCATTAGCTGAGGTGAATTAGTCCACAGCTACCGATGTTGGAATGTTCCACCCAGTGGCTCTTTGTCCTGTAGCGCCGGCCGTAGTATACGCCATACCCATGATATCGGACATGATGACCAACTTGTCATCGAATTTGGCCCCTACAATACACCCGAGATACGTCTACGCAACTGTTAAGGTTCTGCGCTCGAACTACCGACGGCACAGGCGCTTGAAAAGTCGAGCCGTGTGTGACGTGAAGGTATTTTCCTATTCGCCGCCTTGCGAAAAAGTGGCTCGAAAGATGATCAGGGTGCCTCTTGATGTGTGCGTAAGGCTCAGTGTGGCCGCAGAAGAGGTCGACGCGGTAGAACAACATGCATGGACCTTGCTGTAGCCCAGACATTCAACAAACGTCGGGTCCAGTTTATGCTTTTCTTTATGCTTATCACCGTATCCGCGATAGTGTAATTATCGCTTGAAAGAAAGCCAACGGCATGTGTGTTGTAAAGGCCTGACATGTGTCAACTAAACTATTCTTGACAATTGGTTTGCGCAATGTCCCAATCACTGCTTCGACTACCCTTTTGAAGTGCTGAAATCTGATGCAAACGTTAAACTCTCGTTATCTCGATAGTGTGAGACTTAGTACTGTAGATCCCATCAGTACGACGTCACTGCCTGGACACTTGGAGAGTAATCATACACTGCACATCATCAGTTGTGAGTACCGGATAAACCTGATAGCCGTTGGAAAACAATTGCGCTAATGACTCGATAAGAGTGGCATTTCGAGATGCGGGGACTTGGAATCCATGGGGTCTTCTATGAGCTAGGAGACCCACTGTGCGTTACCAATGGTCCGGCATGCCACGTTTCTGCGCGCTTAATGTCGTCTGCCTGAGATCGGTGTCGATCTTGAGTCTCTCTTTTGCCGTCCCCTAAACTACTGTTTCTCGGTTCAGTGCTCGACGATAGGCTTCTTGATGATACCCAACCAGAGCAAATAAGGGATCATTTGCCTAAAGTGACCTAGGATCTGGGCGTGAAACAAGGCTAGCTCACGACATTGGCGTCTTTGTCATGGCCCTGCGCTACGGAATGTGGCAAGCCCTTCCGGGTTCTTCGGAGTAAGCCCATGATTCGTTGAAGTATCAGCTATCCAACATGAATACGACGAATCATGCGCTGGTCCTTCGTCGAGACCCACCTTCCCTGCAGCAATGTGAACGTGCTGGCATAGAATTGGCACATTTCATCATCAGTAGTTGTTGGCAATCGACCAAGGAGATGACTGCGTCTTAGCTGTCACTTGTGTACGCTGGTAGCACATTGAGCAGATCATTCTGAACATGAAGACGAATCTGAAAAGCGCTGGAGACCCGGACTTACCACGATGTATGCGCGGAGCTGAGACATTCGTTCATGCTTTTAACGCGGCTCAGTATCAGTATATGATCTTCTAATCATGGCCAGCACTGAAGATAGTGACGATTATCCGGCTTCTTCGGGTCCTCAACTTACTCGTTTCGAGTTTCTAGCTAGAGTGATTGGACGCCCCTTCCGTTGCAGTGGTGTAGTCCTAACAAAGAGAGCGGGCTTCCTTCAGTTACTGCCCCACCTGATCATGCTCCAATTATCGTCGATCAATCACGGCTGATCAGGGACCGGCTAAGGCGCTGATTAATATGGATGTTGGTGTTGGGGGTCCACCTGTTGAGAATTCTTGCGCCATCTGTCGTTTCCAGGAGTGGGCACCCGCATAGATTTTCAGCCATGTGTGTTTAGGCTCGGTCCGTTGTATTGCGAGGCGTGGGTGGTTGAAGCGAGAGAAGAAGGCAGTCGCAACGTCCCTAAGCAGTAGGGTACGGCTACCGCTTTGACGTCAGATCCTTCCACCACAACCGACTCCTTCTTCGCATGGAAGAAAAACGTGGATATGCGGGGCTACTCACGTAAGTGATGGCTTGAAGCAGGTCTTCTGCAATACAATGAGTCCATTCAGAGCGATTAGGTGAAGACTGTCACAAACATGCAAAATGGGGAAGAGCAACATGCGCAACCAGCTTCTATTCAATTAAAATTTGCCTCAACTCAAGTATTGCTGTGCATATGAAAACGTCGCAGCTTGAACCAAGGAATACCGTAGTAAATCCCGACCATTACCCAACAAAGAACTTCAATGTGCCCTCCAAAAGGGACCAAAACAGGCGTAGACTCAAATTCCAAAGCCCATGGGCACTGGTGTCCCAAGATGCTTTCCTTTTAACGCCGGCGGGGTGCGCACTGATGGAATAGTTAGCGCAGTAACGAACCGTGGGACTGACAGACTGACCATGCAATGAGCGCATAATCGATCCTTTTGATCGACGAAGTTGTAATTCTGTGGATGGCCTTCCTGTTGCCAGTTCATGCATGGATATCTGTTGTAACCACCGCCTGTTGCACCGGTAGGCCTGCCGCCAGTAGAAGATTGCTGAGATTGGTTCTGGGAAGAAGACATTGTAGTGACTAGATAGAGAATGTAGAGACGATTGGAGAATGTTGTGGAGCTTGTTTGCTCGTAAGATGCAGGTATGAGGAGATGGTGGCTGCTCTGTGGTTATATACTTCACGTTGAAGATACTGTGCACTTTATAGTTGCACAAGATATCTTCTTCATCGAATCTTTCTATGCGGTTTCCGCGCCTCAATCAAAGATCACTAGACAGAGCAACATTAGCTAGGTATATTTCGCCCCTACCGAGAGCGGTCACATTGCATTGTTGTTCGGGCCCGGGAGGTGGCCGTCAGGCAGTCTTGTGAGAACAGCGAATACGCCACACGGCACGATCAACGCCTCACTAGAACGGCGTGTCGGAAGGTAACCACCTCAACTGTGCCTCCACCACACTAGTACGCAACTCCCGGAGCCGCTCTGACAACATTAATTTTCCCGCAATACCTATCGTGCGATACCTTTTCCGCTCTGCCCTTTAACTCGGCTGTGCCGAGCCGGCCCTATTGGCAAGCGCCGCACACACCCATTACATATTGCAACAACATCGGACAGCCTGAGGCATCGAATTTCGGGTCCACATCAGTAGCTCTACAAGAAAAAGGTTACGTATTTCGCTCCGAGCGGTCGTCGCATGTCTTACAACAGACCCACACATATAGCCTCCCCTGGAAGCAGCAGTACTACTTGTCAAGTGCTTGTCGTCCAACAAGGCGCTAATGTTAAGTGGTTAGCTTCTACGGAGCCCTCAACATCTGTATAAGCCGCTGATCGATATCGCTACATCACAGGACGTTCAACCGATGCCAGGCATCAACCCGAACTTTCCATAACCGGCGCGTCTTTGCACCCACATCCTGCCAATGACTCTGCAGCGGGTCCACGGCTTTTCACATACAACACAGTATACGGGCCGATATTAAGGATGAGACATACATGCTAGCTCACCGGGAAAAGTTGAGGACAGGTGCCACATTGTCAGACATGAGGTTAGTCGTATAACTGTACCATTATCCTCAAGCAGTACGTGCGTCGAGAGCTTAGTGAGTTGTTGTAGAATCCCCACGGAGGTACTGATCATGGTTTCTTCAGTGGTACCTTGAATGCTCCAGCAACCGTTGTACATTCGCTTCCCGGTCAAGCAACAAACAGCCCAAGCAATATGGACGTTGAACCGATCAGTGGAACACCACTTTGGTCGCTTTTAGATCAAGAACATAAATACCCAACCACTACTACCAAGTCTGCATACAATGTACTGGAAGGGAAACATGTAAATGGCGTGAAAGTAGACCTCTTGGGGAGCAAGTTTCCAAGCCGTTGACATCAAACTTTGAGTACACATAGCAAAGAGATCATACCATCTTTCTAATCTCAACAACGCAGACTCGCTCCCTCAGGTATCCTAATGGAGCATGTCCGAGTCAGTGGAACTGCAAATCAAACCAGGTAGTTCCAGCGCTCGAAGCCGCGATGCTGATCCGATTGCTTGCGCCATCATCAAATTGACTAAAAAAACGTATCAACCAGCTCTATCACATGGAGTAGCATTACGTCAAGTACTCCATACGACTGATCCCGTCTAGTTTCGTTTTCTGGACGTACATCTAACGCATAAGCGCGCTTCAAGCATTCCCTCCACAATTGTGCTGCAGAGCGAGCTCGCTGCGACAACTGCAATCGCCAGCCCCGCCGTTCCCTTATCACAAAACTATCGAAAAGCGACGTAGACATGGTTTTACAAAAGACAGCATACTCAGGCGGGCAGAAATGGAGTGCTGAGAGCTACGAGAAGTGGAGGATGGGATTGAAGCAGTATAATTATACTCGGAAACACAAGCAAGAATCTTTCTGGAGATTTGTACGAATGGAAGACTGGCAAAAGTCATACTAACGTGTGTGATAGGCGTAAGCCGTCTGCTTGAGGTTACAGTTGTAGCACTTTCACAAGGAGTAAATCCGCAAATATTTCCTTTTCAGCACATTGCCACACTAATCAGCAAAAATGTGCAGAACCCAGGGAGTTATCATCGTTGCTAAGAAAGCACTAGTATTGGGCAGACGCAGTTAATTAACGCCTCAAATGACAACCCTCATCTTTCATTGGGTGATTCAGAAGGGGTCAGCCATCACCATGTGACCGAAAGATGTTCTGGGAACACTGCCTCACCGCACGAGCGCCCAAAACGATACCAAAATAGCAGGAGCCGTAGGCATACATTGACATCGAAGATGATCGGTGTGGAGGTACGTAGCAGAGCACAGCCCACCCGAAGCAGTGGCAGATACGGGAATGCGATCACCTTCTCCTCTCATCGTCATTTGTTAGGCTAAGGCATTCTGCTCACATTTTTCATCAAAACTATCCTTGGCTGTCTCAGAATCCTTGGAATTGGGAAGTCTAGATAGCGTCATCGCTGGACAGCGCCGTCTTCCTAGGTTACAGGCCGTCACTCGTTCACTGATCTTCCAGCGTGAGCCCATTTGTACTCGCGAACACATCCTCCAGCATGATTCCACCGCCGTCCTCAGCATCGAAAAATTCGTCATCCTCATCATTTTCGTCAGTTTCCAGAGGCACGTCATCAGTAGCTCCGCCTTCGAGCAGCGCGATAACCTTCCAGGCAGCGATAGTCTCAGTCTGTAACCTCTTGACTCCCTCGACCACGCCTCCAACATCCTTTCCGCCAATGCGAACCTGCACCTTGTACCCTTTCTCGGAGCCGTTCGCCCCGTTTTTATCACCTTCTCGGTCGCTCGTGATGCGAACATACTTGATACCCTGATCGGCCGCAAGGGTGTTGATTCGCTCTTTCGGATGCCAACAGTCTACACCATCACGTAGGATACGTTCGAGGCAGGGCAAAATACCGAGACGACGGACGAAGTCTTCACAGACGGGGATGGAGCCATGAGAATCAATGTACAGGGCGCCGATAACGCTTTCTACTATATCAGAAAGAAACTTCGGCGGGTCAGTGAGTGAAAGCGCGTGCCACGGAAAGCGATTGTCCTGCCTTAGGGCCATTGCGATCGAATCCCGTGTTTCGGCATGTTGTCGTAAAGCTACAGTTCGTGCAGCGATAAGTTCCGGGCTCGACGATCGGAGGAACTGCCATAAAGCTCTTTGATTTACCTCTGGCTCAAGGGTTGCCTTGTTTGTCAACTCCTCGGCTATCGTAGTCTCGAACATACAATATGCCAAGAATGCCGCGTTGACCATTGCCGTGCGGACACCATGCATTTTCCAATGTGGGAGATTTGACTCGTGAGCATAGAGCCGCTTTGAAATGATATAGTCGAGAACCGCGTCACCCAAGAACTCGAACCGTTCGTATGAGCAATGGATGTTGGGACCACGGAACGTGGGGTGCGTGAGTGCCTCAAGTAGGAGCTCTTTCTTGTTGAACGTGTGACCAAGTAGTTTCTCAAGCAACACCAAGTTCGATCCCGTGTCTTCAGAAGGAGCGGCGTTATAGAGTATCTCGTTTGCTTCCGGGATAGACGTCCATTTCTCTAGCGGTAGGAGAGCCTGCATACACCCAAAAGCTTTTGAGAAACCCCCGACAAGGTACGAGGCGCCAATGAGCGACTCTATAACGTCAGCGATCAATTTCGATGACTTCTCTTGCTTGATTGGTGGCGCCGTGTCAGTGAGTGTCTGACCAATGTATCTTGGCTTCCACTTTGCGCCTGTGAAGCGCTTGTAAAAGATGAATTTGTCGAGACCTGCAGCTAGTGTGGCTCGTGCCAGATATCCATTACTGACAAGCTTACCTTTCTTCCCTGTCAGCATACCCTCTGGCATGAGGAGATTTGCGGCCATCAGGTGGAGAGAAGCCACAAACTTCAAGATACAGTCCCCCAGGAATTCCATTCTCTGGTAATTGTTGTGTCCATCGACAGCGGATGAAGTAAGTGCTGTGACGATGACGGGAAGGTCTAATACCTCAAACTTGGCTGGCTTGAGAAGCGTCGTTCGAAGTGTATCTGCGATCATATATACTTCAAGCTTGTGCAAAATCGATGGAAACAACAAAGCGAGGATAGCATATCTGGCGGGAAGATTGTCGACGATACATCCTGAGGCTAAAAGACTCTCGACTTTAGTGTATGCGTCGTTCTTATTTGCATCTTGGTATACTGGATGTAGGAAGTCTCTACGCTTAGGCAATCGTACAGCTTGTATCAGGGTTTCATTCACCCCCGAGCAACCCGGAGAACCTGAGGATTCGATGGCCATAGGCATAAATTTCCGAGCGTCTCCTTGCTGTATAGTCAGACCCCAGCTCGTTGTGTCAAGGTTCCCTTGCACCAGAAGTTCGGATGCTGATTGTTGGCCCTCTGTCGTCGCATGCCATTCGCGAAGTCCATTCTCGGTCATCATATAACCTGATGAGTCACACGGAGCAAGTAGGCAGAGAAAGTCGTCAACTCCTTCTTTGATATGGACTCCAAAGACTGAGTGCAAAATCTTCCAGGTGATAGAGCGCAGCAGGTTCGTGTCGATATCGGCCAGTGATCTACCATACAGATAGGAGCTCGTAACTGTGTACCTTTTTGATTCATTCCAGTGTAGCAGTATATCAGAAACGTCGTGCATGACGACTGGAGTCAGTAGTATCATACGCATCGGCTCCTCTCCCGGCGCCTTCGCCTCAATCAAGGTACGGTACCATATATCAGGTTCGTGTTGATAAGACTGCGCGACAGTAGACCAAGGATCGAGGGTTGGGGAAACGGGCACAAGAGATGGGCGATCGTCCGGGATCTGATATTGTGCTGCCTCGTCTTTCTCATCTTGTACAGGGAGGAGATTCTCGTTTACCAATCCATACGAGTACAAAGCCTTGTATGCCTCAAAGGCAGCATCTTTTTGAGCCATGCGCTCTGTTCTCCACGTCTCCAAGCTTTTGGCTTTCCTCACTTTGGGGTTAACAGAAAGTGGCAATGTGATCTCGGCGGTGATTTGGCCGTAGTTGTTTGTGAATTCAAGCTCTGGTCGTGTATCGACGTAAGCACTGTTTCCTAGACGAGCGCAGAAGTGGTGGAGATGTTGAGAAGCGTTATCTAGGGTCAATAAGGCACTAGTCTTGTTAGTATATAGGGAACAGGGTGAGTTGGGATCTAGTAGCGAGATACGGGAGCAAACGCCGATCGGAAAGGATTCCCACTCACCCAGTGCTTGGAACCCTGAAGTAGCGCTCTCCGACCTCATTTATCTGCTCTGCTTCTTGCGCTACCTGAACTCGACGCTTATCGTCTTCGTACGCTCTCCTCATCTCGGTCTCAAGCGACTGCCAGGACGCCGTCGACCGTGTATCCCCAGTGTCTGGCACGAAGATGAGATAACGCGATTTCTGTTGCCTTGCTCTTCCGCGTCGTTGAACGAAGCTTTTCAGGTTCTTGGGCCTTTCGAAACATACAACGAGATGGCAGCTGGATACATCGATACCTTCCTCCAGTACAGTTGTGGCTAGAACGAGATTGATGACACCAGCGCGAAAGTCATCGAGCGTGGTTTGCTGGTTTTTTGGTTCTGCCAAAGCGCATATGTTTGCCTTACGCTTGGTTGACTGCGATGTACCAACGAATGTGCCTACCCGTAACAGATCCTTAGTTCGCGGATGGCACGCTAGGATCTCGGCGAGCGATGCTACCCAGACCCGCTGCTCAATGAACACAAGGCCGGTAAAGCCCGGGGTACCATTGGCTTCCGCGAGCAAAGTGTCGATAAGCTTGTTGACTTTGTGAGACGACTTCTCGATGATGGTAGCAGGTATAGGCATAGGGTCCTGGAGGGGAAGACTCTGGAATATGTTCAAGAGATACTGCTTCTCGCTGATAGTTAGATCCAGTAGCTGCTGCTCTGAGCCGCGGGTCATCTTCTCGAACTTGATTATGCATTGGTGTAGGTAATACTCCATAGCAGAGATTCCAAGCTCTTCTGCCATTGTTTCAGCTTTGGACACTAGCTGTTTCAATTGATCGTGGCAATAGGTCTTCTGACTGTTCCATAACTTGGTCAGTTGGCGAGAGACATCGAAGCCATTCCTTTGTTGCTCCAACAATGCGATCACGTATGGATCTTTTGCAAGATCATAGGTGCGGTATACATGCTGCAATGCAAGGAGCAGATGAGAGTGTTCCTGGCTCGGGGCGTTCGGAGAGTAGGTGATTTGCAGTAGCTCTGGTCTATGCGCGTGCCGTATAAGTTCGGACCTGTGCAGTTTTGGTGTTTTTACGGTCGCGTTTAGGTTCTGTTCAATTTGCCTACAGACATCAGGAAAACAAATGTCTTCAAGCAAGCTGAACTTACTGAAGGCCTTGCGCACTAGCCGATGCTTTCATGACCGGGCTCGCACTCAAGCCAAGGATTTTAGGTAATAGTTTGTCACCATTCCTTACTTGAGGCATATAGAAATCAGACATTATCCTAGGATTGTTAGGTATTCCGGCCCTCTACTCTTCTATGTCAACTGGAAAATCTCACAGATTGGCTGGGTGCTTCAACGTGCAATGGTGCGCTGAAGGATATCAGTGAGGGGAATGTTTCTCCGCTGACGCGACAAACTGACCTTCGTCAAAAATTAGCAAAGCCAGCTTTCTCAGGCTGACGAAGCCATGCGTGAGTGCATCAAGTAGTATTCTGAGCACGTATAAGCGGACGCCTGTGGAGTCTGTTGCGCTCAGGCTGGGGCTTACGCGTGTGTTGAGATAACTATGCGAACGTTGAAGAGTACTCGGTCCCACTCTGCCTGGGTTGTCCAGAGCTCAACATCGTCCCTCCCACAAAGAAGCTGGTACCCGAACCCGGGTAGATTAGACTGGAAAACTTCATATTGCTGCTCACAGAGTGCAACTGTGGGTGCTAGAAACCAGACAATCTAAGAGGAGCGTGAGATGAAGTCTAGTGTGGGGACCTAGCGGTAGCTATCCGTACATTGTCGGGTTCGCACGTCTCCAACTCCGCTCGTGTTCGTTCGATGGCTCTGCAAACTTGTTACTATGATTCGGTCATGGTAGTATATGTGTGTCTACATATGCGTCTTTCCCGAGCCCGTGTCCATGACGACTATGACATTGTCTTTCATGCTCTCTGCAACCATCTCAGCCTGGTAGCCTCGCAGCTGGAACGTGTCGCTGGGAACCGCAGGAAGGGCATCGACGTCGGTATCATCTTGCATCGATGAATTCATTTGTAATCCCAAAACTGAATGCGGTGCAGTCAAAGAAATGCTGAAAGTTGTACTCTTTCGGTGTTGGATCTCAAGACTCAAAGGTGACAGGGTGCTATCCTAGCCGTGTTGGCTGACGGCGGACATGCAGAAGAGCAGAACCAGTCACGCATTCCTATCTGATATCCTCACTGCACGCGTAATCCCATTGTATTTGATTCCACACCACTCGGTCAAAACCAATACGAATTCAGGCATTAGGCATTTCAAGACATCATTTTCGTAAATGCTACATAAGTCGCTTCATGCCTCTAGCGCTGAATCCATCTATACGGATTCAGAGCAGGATGGTGCTGCGTCGTGACCCTCTACAAGTTGGTGAGGTAGTCCTCCACTTCGGACGGGCTCAGCTTCCTGAACCGTGGTCCAACGGCACCTTCAACACCCTCGGTGCCAAGGAGCCTCTCCTCCGGCGGGCCAACGATGCCAATCTCAACGGTCTCGCCGTTCATCTCTCCTTCTATGGTCTCCTTGAGAGTGAGGAGAGCGATATGGATGGCGTCCTCGAGCTCGAGACCGTCGGTGTACCGCTTCTCTAGGAAGGTCTTGGCGCTTGTCGCGCTCTTTCCTATCGCCGTCGCCTTCCAAGGGAAATAACTGCCGCTGGGGTCGACTTGGTAGAGACTGGGTCCTCCCTTGAGGATGCCACCGGTCTTGCCGCTAACCTTCTTCTTTTCCTCACTCGTCTGCTCGTCGCTCTTGCTTTCGGCCTCAGGCTCGATACCGTCATCCCATCCAGCAATCAACAAACTAACACCGTACGGTCGAACACCACCAGACTGTGTAGCCTCCTGCATCACTCGCGCCACATCCTGGACTAATATCCTCGTAGGTGGGTATTCATTGTAGACACGCTTGTAGCCAGTATGTGAGACCTTGCGGGCCTTGTCGACGAGAACGCGGTAGTCAGGGCCCATACCAGAGTAGACCATACCGATGTTGGGTGTTATGAGGCTGATCTTCGATGACGATTGCGAGTCGATGAGCGGGGATGACGATTTCTTCTCAGTTGCGAGGACAATGCCGTTGGTCGCTGTAGACTCTAGTCAGCGCTGTTGGAAGTCAATGAGCGAAGTAGCGTACCCTTGATTCCTAGTGAGGTAACACCCTGATTGACGGCGTTCAAAGCATACTCTATGGGTGCGTTAGATACTATCTGCTACAACTGGTCGGGACTCGTAAGATCCCCGAGGCGCATACCGATCTGTACCAGCTTTCCGCTATACAAATGTTAGCAAACATGTCATGTGTAATCGATAGCGCAATGTTTACCTGGGAGAGAAAGTGGTGAGGGAGAATGAGTATCTGTCCGCCATGACGACTACTTGACAGAATCGAGAGGTAGTATGTGAGAAGGGGTGTAGTCGGCGGCAGGGAGAGGTTCAGTGGGGTTGATAGACGACGCGGGTACTGGAGGCGATCTGCTAGAGCTCCAGGCTACCCAGAGCTTCGTCGCCGACAGCGCCAAGACCGGCGCTCGGCATAACTGCGCCTCCGGTTTGCTCCCAGGAAGCTGCAACTTTGAATTCTTCGACCTTCCAGAACTGCTCCTCTAAATCACCACCACGTCTACAACACCTGCATCCTGCCACCGTGTCCCTAGTGTCATACAGCAAAGGCGGCTGTGGCGGAACATGATCCGCACTACCGAGACACTTAAGTTGGCGAATGTCTTCCCCGCGACTTCCTGATTGATCGCCTTGTCATCTCGTGCTTACCCACATACTTCTTTACTGGTAAGAGCTGCATTAACTTCCACCTTGTACCTTTACAGCTTTGCAAACCGCCATGTCTTCATCTTCCGGATACCAAGCTATGCCAGGGTGGTACTGGCCAGATGACGCGCCCAAGACAGAACCCTCTCACGCGACATCCTCGTCCACAGGTTCTCCGTCCCAGCCACCACCTTCAGGCACCTCCGGTACCAGCGGGAACACTTCATCGCAGTCGCGCAGCTCTAGACGCACCCACTGGCCGCCTAGACAATGCAGGATATGTCTCGAAACGGTTCAGCCTACATTCAATGTTCCCTCACAAAGTCTTCCTGGCTTCTTACAGTCTTCCAATGTGGTTTACGAAGATGAGAGCGGTCGTTTGATTCGTCCATGCATGTGTAAGGGGTCGTCCAAGTATGTTCACGAAGCTTGTCTGCAAGCTTGGAGGCATGCAGACCCTGGCTACGGACGTAGAAACTACTGGCAGTGCCCTACTTGTGGCTTCAAGTACCGACTTGCGCGTCTAGGAGTTGGGCGTTTCATAGGTAGCATTGGTATGTCTTGCTATCATCGCTTCAGTATCTAGAGAAGCTAACAGACTGTAGGTGCTCAGGTTGGTTTAACTGCCATTATATTGATTTCCATCATCTTCGTACTTGGGTTCGTCGCCGATCCTATTATAAACCTGTATCTGGATCCATGGAGCTTCTTGTCCCCTTTCTCTTCAGGATCTGACTACGCATACTACTACGAGGACGAAGAGTCAGCTACCTGGTACGAGCACTTTGCAAAAGGCTTCGCCAGCATGGGTGTACTCGGGTTTCTGAAAGTACTCATCGCTAGCCCGCTGTCTTACTTCAGAATCGGAGGCGGTCGAGGTCGAACGACTGGTCGAGACCGGTATGAGCAGGTTAGCTGGATCATCATCCTCATAGGTGTTGGCACTTTTCTAGCGGTATGTGCAGAAGCTACTTGCATTGTACGCAAACACTGATAGCAACCAGGCAATCTATAAGGGAGTCCGTGTGTGGAGTCGCCGAACGCTTGAGAAAGCTGGCGAACGAGTCATGGATGTCCAAGGCGATAATGATGACGATGACGAATAGTTGCGACTGAATGCATGCAAACAGTTCATCGAGCAGTTGCTTCTCAGTACATCTTCACTCAATGATTGGTTTCCTGAAGTCCGCACTTTCTTAAATTGCCACAAGTTATTCCTCAATACTGTGTCGATTAGTCTACGTGCGAAGATCAAATCAGCCCATGACCTCCATATCGGCATTGCGCGTTTTGTGCTCGCCGGCTTTTTGGAACGTGGCGCTACCCGCCTCTGGCACTCATTTTGTTCTATCTTGCCCGCTCTACCCTTGTGGGGTTCCTTTAGTTTCTTCCTTCAAAAGAAGAAACAGACAGGAACCTGGAGCACCCTTCTGTGGCTTGAACGACATCAGGCCTCTGGCACATCTTTATTCAGCACTCGTGAACGTAGGAAAGTAAACAATTGCGTGATTGTTCGTAAAGGATTATTATTGGGAATCACAAACGAGATTATACGCCCCCTTGGTCACTCACTAGTGACACTGCCATAAATCCCAGATAACGCCGCGGGTATGTACCTCCGCAAAGAAATGCTGCGAAGCTTGTCCGTCTAGAATGACGTCGCTTGCTTCACGATACCGTATGCCCAACCGAATCCGACCAACCCAAGAACAAACGAAAACCGTACAATACAATATATATAGGCCCAGGGTATCACTGTAGAATATTAAAAGCCACCTCTTCTTCTTCTTTTTCTTCTCCTTCTCACCTAGTGATCAGGCTTACCACCCTTCATAAAGACCCTCTTCGTGGCACCAACCTTGCCTAGGTCGCCAAACTCCGACTTCTTTCCACCCACAGCGCTACCCGGGCGACTATCACCCCTGCTATCGGTCCGCTCAAATGGTGGATGGCTTGAAGTGATGACGTTACTGCTCACGGTGCGAGCTTGCTTCATCATGCCCTCAATCCACTCTAGCTTCTCGCCACTAAGATCCAGCTTCTTCGCTTTCGGACCCGCAAGTCCGACTTCCTTGCCTTGCCAAGAGCTGCGAGAAGAGGCCGACGAAGGCATAGTCGGGTCTTCAGCAGCGCCAGGTGTTCCGGTGATGAAGCTGGGCATGGGCGGAGGCGCTTCATCGCTTGTGAAGTAGCTTAGACCAGATGACTTCACAGGTGTTGTGTTAGGGCTGGCCAAAGGAAAGCCGACGCTAATTCGCCTCTCCATTTTGCTCGCCCTACTGTCTGGTCGGGTGGGAGAACTATCGGGGTTCTTCACCTCAAGGCCTAGGACCTCAAACTTGCCTTCGCTTGCTGTCCTGCGACCATGGTGCTCAGCATACTGGCGCAAGTACTCGCCCAAATCAGACCAACCGCCGCCGACGCGGACCATGACACGCTCACCATTTTCACCAACGCGGCGGATGAAGAGCTTGATAGGTTGTTCTTTGCCAGGTTGTGTGAGATGATACAACTTGATGTCGTTATCGCCTCTTGCGGCTGCTGCGGACCTCCGTCCGGATGCAGTGTTGTTCAAGTCGAATTCGCTCTTCGCAGGCGACAAGGTGAGCTCGGGAGACTTGAGGCCACTAACCGAGCGAGCTGCGCGCAGGTATCCGCGGCTTCCTTTTGCCAGAAGGCCACGAGCTGGCTTGACTTCAGGTGCATCGGGACCCGGACCCGATCTGAGTCTAATGCGGCCAGGAATCGTTGTCAAAATGTCAGAAATCTTTCGCTCCAGCTCTTCGGCGCTGCTGGTAGATTTCTGAGCGAAATGTGTTGGTGGCCATGGTGCGCTCGCTGTATCATCCGTGGTGGTGGTGGTAGTACTCTGTACAGGTCGACGCTTGGCCATAGCTGCATTGAGCTCGGGACGCGGTGCTCTCATAGAACGGTTGGTTGCGTTGCGAACTGAAGGAGACTCCTCCACGGTACTAGGCGGGCTTGAGTCTGGTGAGATATCCGTTGACAGCGAACTCAAACTACCTCTCCACGAACGTGGTGTTTGTGGTGGCTCCATAGTGGGACTATCCTGACCATCGTTTTTAATGATAGTGGGGTTGCCAAAAAGCGCCAGAGGGTTGGGTCTGTTCTGTATAGATGTCTGCGATGACTGCTCCACTTCGGTTTGGGCTGATAGAAATGCTTCAGATACTGAGTGAGCCGCAACCTCGTCCAGGCTTTCATCAAGTTCGTATTGTACAACGGTATCGCCCTCCTCAAACTCTGAGTCTTCGTCAACAGATGGCTGTTCTGATTCGAAACTCATATTCTTTGGAAGCGTGGTTGCAACAGAATCCGAAGCAGTTGAGGTCCTTGATGGTGGCGCAATGCTTTGTCGCAGCTCAAATTCTGTAGCATCAGTCTCTCCAGACACTTGCCGTGTATTGTTGGAGCCGGTCGAGGTGTGAAGTGTTGAGTTGCTGCTACCAGATGCGTTGAGGCCATAGTCTCCAGAGAACATTTGACGAACAGGTGCACTGCCAAAGTAGTCATACGAAATGGCTTGACGGCTGTTCTGTGAAGCAGCTTCCTCTGGCGATGCTTCAAGAGCAGACGCGACGGAGTCAATTCGAGCACTGGTAGCATCTGGTCTGGCACTAGCGGACTGTACACCATTGTTGCCGGGATTGACTGATGAAGATGCTGTTATCGATGCTCGTTCACCGCTCGTATACGCAGTCGTTTTGGTGTCGCGCTCTGGAGTCAGCCCAAGTTCAGGGGCGAGGTCGGAGGAATGTGATGTCTCCTGTGTACCGCCCTTGTTGATGACGCCAAAACCATCGGCTCGCCTTCGCACTTCGAGATCGATTACCCTCCTTCTTGATTCATGCTTCCAGCGCCCATAGTCAGCCTCTGTAGATTCAAAGACGTCTATCCAATTCTCGGGTAGGCAGTCCTCTTGCCCTTCGAGAGTATCGAGCATCTTGTCTAGTTGCCTCCCCAAGTCGCTGACTTTCTGATGAAGCACCCGAGATATAGTGTCTACCGCATTCTTCCACTGCTCAAAGGCGGCATCGGAATTATCTGCTGGCGGCTCGATGGCGTCCCAGCCTAGCCGCATAGCTTTTTGCGCTGTGTCGAGCTCGCCGGTGTAGCGGGGTGCTTCGCGGAGGATGGAGACGCGGGCCGTCCAGGTGCTTAGGCGGGCTTTCAGCTGGGCGTGGTGCGGTAGGGCGGATAGGAGGGTTTGGGTGATGAGAAAGGAGAAGTCGTCCATGACCTTGTAGTGTTGGCGATTGGCCTCGTAGCCAGCAGAGGATGGTCTTGACCTGCCTGCCGGATGCATATCCAGCACATGCTCCTTCAGCTCTTCGACGTCCAGCTTCAGCATCTCGTCGGCGATGTCGTCTAGCCTCGCATCGTGTTGCTCTACCTCGACCGACAGCATCGACCCCCAGTATTCTAATGGCGGCATGGCATCGGCGGTGTCAGATTCAGCGACGTGCTCCCTAATACGCATCTCGATGCTTTTCCTCCTCTGTTCGCAGAACTCGGCGCTGGGCTGCTCGAAGCTGCCCGACCATCCCCATTGCTCAATCTCGGCACACCATATCTTCAGTCGTTGCGCTGCCTTTGCGACGCGCGAGCCCAAGTCTCTTTCGGCGGCGGTAAGGGTTTCGATGCAAGAGAATATCTTGTATTCGTCGCGTGTTGTGTCGAAGGGCATGGGCTTCTGGGTGAAGGCGCGGAGAGTGGTTTCGGGCGACAAATCGCGGAGGCGGCTCTCTTCCGAGCTACCATATGCCCGGCCCCTTCTGCCTGCGGGCGACATGGCTGGTGATGGAACGCGACGAGGTGTTAGAGGCGGAATCATCCGCAGGGGCGAGGAAAAGACGTCCATGGCGATGTTTGTGGTTGGGATGAAAGAGCGACTGGTGACTGTTGCGACAAGGAAGGTACAAAGGAGACGAGTCTCAGACAGAGCAAGTCGTGAGTGGGTATACGACTGTAGATGCGACAGTCATTGATTAGTATCCTCTGTCTCCCTCCCGTTGCCGTAGTGTTTGCGCTGCCGGCAGCCCGAATGTTTGTTGACTGACGCAGTCTTCGCCGAGCATCTTGCGCCGTGCACTCTTGCATCGTTCACCCACATGTTACTAAGCCAAAAGCACTTTAGCCGTAGATCCCAATCGGATTCGACGCCCACGCCCTCACCAACATTGCGCGTTGTCGCGTCAAAACGGCACCTTGATGGACTGTAATGCTATATAAGGGAGAATCTCCCAGTGTCTTCATAAATCACGCCCAAGCATCGTCTTTGCACTTCTTACACTGCCAAGCGCACCGCGGAACAAGGCAAACCTCTCCGCGCTCCCCCGCATTCAACTTCAACCGGCCATCTTGTGCTCTGTGCCGTCTACGCAGGATCATCTCAAAGTAATTACTACTGTTCCTTTTCTTCGGACGGCTTTCGGGTCAGCCTCTGGCGACGTGTGCGGAACGGCACCGTCGGCATGCGCGACTTTCCGATCTGCTATCTGACCGTCAGATTCTGACCGCAGAAGATACGGGCAACTCTGCCTACTCTCCTCCTCAACCCAGACGCTACCCCACCACGTATATCGTCATCCTTCCCTGCCAAGCACATTAATACCTGCCCCGCGTCTCTATCTCACTGACCTTCCGGAGTGCGTTAGCGAGTTGCCTGTATACATCGTGGTTACGCAGTGCTTGCATCTAGCTACAGTTATCCGATGTCAAAATACGACGCACGCAAGAGCAGGGAAGTCGGCACGTTCAATTGCCCTCGAGTAGCTATCCTCTGAATGGAAAGATTGACGTTATCATACCGAACCTCGAGCGAGCTGCCTGGAAGTATTTAAGGTACCATGCGTCCTACAGTTATGAGGTACCATTCTGCCTCTGTGAAGTGCGCATTTGTCAGTCAATATGAAGGCAACACTTTTGGCACTCGCTGCCATCGGCGCGCAAGCCTGCCAGCGTGAACGTGCATTCCAACATCACCCCCATAAGCATGTAAAGCGGCAATCCGTTTTTCCTCCAGCCTTGACACCCAATGAAGAGATATTGCTGAACTCCTTTGATTCCGTATCGATATCGGAATGGTCATACTACTATAGTATAGCTCACTAAAGCTCAATGAAAAGGACGTATACTAATGAACTGTAGCTCATGGCCAGCATTTAGCTGGTCAGAACGAGTCGATGGGTATTCGAGACGTCTTTCCGACTGACAAGGATGACAACTAATCATGACCATAGCACAGTGGACCGCCGACAAATGGTCCGAATACGGCTTCACGTCAAGACTCGACGAATACTGTACGCATGCGTTACCCGGAACTTCACCAGTGTTCCTTACGAATGATCAAGATAAACACTAACAATGCTTAGATGTTTTCCTCAACTATCCTATATCGAACTCGCTGCAGCTCACATACTCCAATGGTAGCACATACACCCCTACCCTTCTGGAAGATGTACTGGAAGAGGATGAGACAACCAGCTATCCCAACAGCGTTCCGGTCTTCCATGGCTATAGTTTCACTGGCAACGCATCTGCAGAATACGTTTACGTCGGAAGAGGCCAGCAAGTCGATTTTGATCGCCTCGAGGCTCTTGGTGTCGAGCTTGAGGGCAAGATCGCACTGGCAAAGTATGGTGGCCCATTCCGTGGTCTTAAGGTTAAGAATGCGCAGGATCATGGTATGATCGGTGCTGTGATCTTCACTGACCCTGGCGATGACGGGAACATGACTGAAGGTGAGCTCAGTTCATCTCTTGCTAGGCATGTCGACTAACAGTCTCTAGCAAAGGGAGTGGCTCCATACCCTCATGGCGGTGCGAGGAACCCTTCAACTGTCCAACGTGGATCCGTCCAGTTCTTGTCTACTTATCCCGGAGATCCAACTACTCCTGGTTACGTTTCCAAGCCCGATTCTCCGCGCGCAGATCGTACCGACATCACTCCACAGATTCCGTCTCTACCTATTTCTTGGATTGAAGCACAGCCCCTTCTACAGGCACTTAACGGTTTTGGAACCAATGGCACCGAAGTCAATAGGACGCGTTGGATTGGGGCTATTCCCGGAGTTGACTACTTCACAGGTGAGGGATCTGGTGCATCCCTATCAATGAGCAATGTGATGAACGACACCTACGGCACCATCTGGAATGCCGTTGGTATCATCAACGGTACGCTCGAAGACGAAGTCGTGATTGTGGGTAACCATCGCGACGCTTGGATCGTTGGTGGTGCTGCTGATCCCAACTCTGGATCTGCTGTACTGATCGAGTTAGCCAAGGCATTTGGCGCCCTTTCTGAGACAGGTTGGAAGCCGCTGCGAACAATTGTCCTCTGCAGTTGGGACGCCGAGGAATACGGTCTCGTCGGAAGTACTGAGTGGATGGAGGAGTACATCCCCTGGCTCAAGAACGCCGCGGTATCCTACCTCAACATCGATGTCGCTGTCAGTGGGCCCATCCCGGACGTCTCAGCGACCCCAGACCTACACGCTATCGCTACCAGTTTGATGAAGAAGGTCGTGTACCCTTACCGCAATAACACTGGCCTTACCATGTTCGATGTCTGGTCGCACGAGAGCGGCGAAGTCGGTGTACTAGGTAGTGGAAGTGACTATACCGCCTTCCTCCACCGCGGTATCGCGTCCATCGACATGGGTGCTGGTGGTGGTCCAGACGACCCAGTTTATCCCTATCACAGCAACTACGATTCTTACCATTGGATGGCGACGTTCGGTGACCCTGGCTTCATCACTCACAAGGCTATGGGTCAGTTCCTCACCCTACTCTTGTACCACATGGTATCCGACCCCGTCGTGCCCCTCGAGCCAGCGGACTACGTCTCAGAGTTCAACACGTATCTTGAAGATCTCGAGACGGAGATCAGCAGCAGTAACTTCACTGTCGACCTTACGAATCTCACCGCCGCTATTGCCCAGTTTGAAACGTCAGCCCAGGAGTTTGTTGACTTGAGGGCTCAAGCTGTTGCTGCGAATGATACTGAGCTCATCACTGTACAGAACCACAAGGCGCGGGATTTCTCCAGGGGCTTTACTTCGCAGGGTGGTTTGCCCACCAGGGAGTTTTACCAGCACACCATATTTGCCCCTGGCCGCGATACGGGATATGCGCCTGTGACCTTCCCGGGTATCACAGAGAGCATCACTTTTGATCAGGATGCAGAGTTGGCCCAGGAGTGGGTGCAGAAGACTAGCAGCGCGATTCTGGTTGCTGCCAGCATCTTGAAAACGTAAAGGCGTGTCAAGCCAAGGAAAAGAGGACGTAGTGACCAGTCTTGGGGTAGAACAACTACTCCAGTGACGATGTTGGTGGTGAAGAGATAAGTCATTAGTAGGGTAGAAAGAGTAATGATAATGTATGCTGGAGAGTATCTCGCCTTCGCTCTCATAGAGCGATCTGCATCCCACCCACTCATTTCACAACAGCGAGCAAGAATCCATCATAAGACTTCTCACCAACCGTCTGCAGCACCACTCCATCTAACCTATCGTCCTTCCCCACATTCTCCACCACCCTCCTTGCTCCCGCGATCCTCGGATCATCCGTCTCCTCCGCCAACTGCCCCTTCCTCACCACATTATCCACAATAACACACGCACCCGATTCACACATCTCCAGCGCTAAGTCAACGTAGTTCCAGTTATTCTCCTTATCGGCATCGATGAAGACAAAGTCGAATTTCGCCCTCTTACCCTCCTTGACCTGCTGAACAAGGTCTGGCAGGACATCCATACCAGCCCCAAGTCTAACCTCCACGCTATCTCCCAACCCAGCATTGTGGATATTTGCTCGCGCGACCTCGGCATGGTGGTTATCAACTTCGATACTCGTCACTTTCACGTTGGGGCTAGACGTCGCGAGCCAGATGGTGCTGTATCCGCCTAAAGTGCCTACTTCGAGGATGTTGTTTGCGCGTGCAAGGCGAGCAGTGAGCTGGAGGTATTTACCCTGCGAGGGCGAGACAGCAATGTCGGGTAGACCGGCTTCCTGGGAGGCGTCGAGAGCGTGTTGGAGGGTGGATGGGGAGGGGGCTGTGCGCGTGGCTGGGTGGAGGTGCGAGAGGGAGTAGGCGTCTACGGCTGTCCACCGGGGATCTTTTTCGTGGGATTGGCCTGGGCGTGACATGATGGATTTGAGCTTCAAGTTTGAGGAGCCGAAGAGTTTGAAGATTAGTTACTGGTTAGCTACGCGTTCTCGAAACGCGGACCAACGCGTCTTTTATAAACAAGGCTACGTGTGTGGGGTCGGACATATCGCATGCTATACACATCTCGTGATGTAGCTGCCTGGCGGTGCCCATGTTGCGATTATTGGACCACGCTGTTGAGGGGTCGTGGATGAGTGTTCAGCCAGCTCAGGGATGCCTACTATGATGCCATCTGATAAGCCTAAACCCGAGCTACGATCTCCGATATCGCCGAGCTTACGAAAACGCAGTCCAACACAGGAAGCAAAAACACGGAACAACGAACTCGAATAAGGGGACGACGCTATCAAGATCGATACTCAATACGCCCTTTCCATTTCATTTACGTACTCATGAACCACATTTCGAATAGCTACTTTCCTCACAGCAGCAGCAACTTCCTTCAACGTTCCCTTTGAAGCCTGGTGCGCGAGTCGTCGTGCTTCAGGAGGCAATGGTGGAAGCTCTTTGTTTACATCCAGTGATTTGACTCGAGTAAAGTGCTTCAGAGGACTGGGCTTGTAGGGGCGGTGCACTGAGTGGATACCGTGCGGGGCAACCTTGGTAGAGTGGGTGCTACTGGAGGGTCTCGATTTGGTAAGCATGGCAGGGCTGTTGCGGCTACCTCTTTGGGATTTAGTGGTGTTGTTCGCCATACTTTGGCTTGCGCGAGGGCTGTTGAGGGGGTTCATTGCGCTGAAGATGTGGGACGAGGTAGAGAAATCTGACTGGACATTTGGGGCAGCGGTCTGCTTTCTGTGTGCCAGGTGACAGTGGCTGTCGCGATTGACATATCCCTCACTCACGCGGGAAGCTCGCAACGAGGAATGTTCGATCTTGGAGAGTTTGGCTTGCAGCTTCCGGTCCACCTCGTCCTTTGGATTCGTGTTCAGCAAGTGATTCGACGTCTTTTTGCTTATCCTCTTCCAGAGTCCGACTGGATATTCTTGAAAATTGGGAATGCTCGCAGCCCTTGTGACTTCATGGATTTCATCGTACTTCCTTTTTGGCCTCCACCAGGACAATGCAGTCGGTCTTGTTCTGGCTGCTGTAACATCGACTTCCGGTTTCGAAAAGTCGGTGGAATCAATCGACGAATCAGAAGAGAAGCATGATTGAGACGCGTCCGGCTCATTGCTGTAACATTCGTGATGAGACTGGTCCAAATATCCGGAACCTCTCACCCTGATGGCTAGCTGTTCCATCTCGCCGGTCTGTCCGTCTCCAGGAAGATTCTGTGTCTCGTCTGGCTCATGGTAAAATGGTTCAATGCCGATTGAACTCTGGTTTTCTGCTCCGCAGCTTGTCTCCCCGGTTGTACTTCCGCTATTTCTAACACTTAGTGTTGACGCCTGACTGTCTCCATGACCAGAGGAAACGTCCCATTCGGTAACTCCTGGTTGACGTACAGACGACCACGATGTACTGTTACGTACGTTTGGCTGATGGTCGACCGAGAGGCTATGTTGCGCGATATCGTTCAGAAGGAGGTCGCCATCGTCAAGCGAATATCGCGATACGAGCTCCGTGATATCGTCGAAATTTAGTTGGTTGTTGCGGAGCAAGTACGAGAACCTGAGCCAGTCTAGATCGCTATGCGGGCCAATAGTGAACACTGTTGGCGTGCGCGGGACCTCGAGATATACATCTTGTAAGTATTCTTTTCGAGCACCTGCTCGCCTAAGTGTATGCACGCCGTTTTTGAAACTCGGGTCTTCGTTCTGGTTGATTTCGGAAGCGCTGTCCTTTCGCTGTCGCCGACGCTCTTCCATAAAGACTGCGGAATTCACCAAGGCGTAGCTGTCTCTAACATTTCCACCACCTCGAAGAGGCCATGGATCATCAAAACAGCGTGCAAATGGCGAAGGCGAAGACGCTGGTGAATCCATCTTGCGACGTCCACCAAGAAAACTCACCACCCTGACAGAATCATCGTCGCCCCCAACCACCTCCCTCGTCAATGGACACTCTTCTTCTTCCTCTTCTCCGCCACAACAACTGACGCGGCCTAGTTGTTTTAGCACAGTTTTGAACCCTGACCTGGCTTCCCGAAGCAATGCCCGATCAAGGCGTATCCCCTCCCCATGAAAAGCAGCTATCGGTCTCATTCTTTCTTCTCTTCCACTCTCTAGCATGATTTACTATGTTCGCGTAACCTGACTGCGCACGACAGGCACCACCCTAACCTATATTTGAGCACCCTGTGGACCTGAATCTCCTTCTCAACCTGATCTGGTCTCAAAACTGTTTGTATTACTTCCTCCTGGTTAGCCGACTTTAAGACCTTGATGAATTCAGGAACGTGGCTGCAGGTGTAGGAGCGAAGATAAACGTATGGATATACTGGGAGTCCGGATTTGCGAGTTATCGCAAGCTCAGTCTGCACTGCTGCTACTAGTGGAGTCTTATCAGCCGTAATCTTTCTTCGTAAGTGGCAAGGGCGGTCCGATTGCGGTGCTACGCAGGAATTAAGAGATGCTAGAATGACACATACAGTTGGATGTTGGTGTTGTGGCTTGCTGGCCACCCAGTCTCTATATTGGGGGCTGATACAACACGATTGTGCCACCTCAGCAGGAACTGCGAACCTCGTATCGCTGTCACATGTCACTTGTTTTGAAGAACATCTTTTGAAAGCTCGAGAAGAGTGCGAGATCGGTGATCTTTGTGAGGTGTTGACGTTGCACCGCAGATCTCTGTCCGTCGATCTAGCGTCGTGAATGAGAGCGATGACTAGGGCTAAGCAAGGGTTGAAAGGTTTTCATTCAAGATATTGAACTTGGCCGCCACCTAGTCCATTATTACCCTGTAACAGATAACACCATATGATGATGCCCATCTTTGTCCCGCACCCGTCTTCGGATATTGTGCGTGTAAGGCATGTCTTGCCAAACAATAACGCCGCGCTTGCTAAAATGATCAAGTATCAGGAAAGGTCCAGATCTACACCATCCTCATCGATCCCCTACGCGCCATAGTTCTGTTCCGTGCTCACAGGAGCATATCCAGTTGGGGCATGGCCCATATATCCCTGATTGGCCACCGGATCGTGCCCCGACATTGGGGGGCTCATAAGCGGCGGGCTCGTGAGAGGCTCCATGGCGTAGCTTTGATGCGGCGAGTTGTACTCCGTGCTTTGAGTTGTGAGTGGCCTCATGTCTTCGGGTTGCGAGCTCCACCGTGCTGTTTTGCGCATCTCTTCTAACCCCGCGTCATGAGGCACATGCTCGTGTAGCACACCCGTCTCGTGTACGGGTCCGTGTGGAATATTTCCGTGGCCATGGTACCCATGCTCTTCGTACTCCAACGCATATGGCTTCCCGCTCTTTTGGAGTCGCCAGTTGCAATATATCGAGCTAAGTTTGTCGATGACTAGGATGAGGAATAAGAGGACAACGCAGATGGGTAAGAGCGCAGGTGATTCGATCACAGAGTGCAGCCGCTTTGTATCGGCCATTAGAGCCAACATTGCGCCGCCGACGCCCAGGGCAAGGAAGCGCGATATAATGGACGTGAAGTCGAAAAGATCGGCTTTGTGACGGCGAATCAAGAAGAGAAATATGATCAGGCAGATGAGAAGGAGGCAGAAAGACGACCAGTAGTAAAGGTAGACGAGCTCGAATCCTTTGAGACCGACTTCGAGGGGACTGTAATCTTCGAGTTTGTCGACTGGAATCTTCATGCCGAGACCGGTATACATTCCGTTGCTGAGAAGGTGAGATACGTTCTTAAGCGCCCCAGGCCAGGTACCATCGTCATCGTCTTCACCCATGTTGTACTCTGTAGTGTTCTGCGGCGAGCAGATGCCCGTAGCGTTCCCGACAATCCAGATAGCCGACTCAGCCTGGTTGTAAAAGCTTTTGGTTTCAAACTTGCTGTCTAGCTCGAAATATTCCAAAAGATACTGTAGCTTGTCTTGTAATTTCTGGCCGTCAAGGTGGTCGTCCTGACAGTATTGAAGGATGGATGTGGTAACTTTCCTGGTATTTTTGGCGACATATCGAGCCAAGGCAACTTGCTGAGAACCCTCGACTACACCAACAATGGCAAGTTGGAAGGGAAAATGTAGTAGAGACCATATTTGTTGCCGGATGGTCCCGTAATGACCGTGGGGGAAGTTGTCAAAGTAGCTAGGGTTTTGTTAGCTTTGGGAACTCATAGTTTCTGTACCTGCGTATACTCACAGAGCCCATATCAGCACAAGTACGACAATGATACACATGATCAAGAAGCATCCTTCGACTTCCAGTCCGTGCTTTCCCATCATCCTACTCACTGTCTTCGTGACGCCGATTGCACCCTCGCCAATAACAATAATCGTCAACAAGCTCATGCGCTCCATCAGATGGGTCTTTTTGAAGCTCATCATGCGCCAGATGCACGATATAGCAACGACTCCGACGCCTTCAAGTATCATAACGACGTACCACACGAGGTAAACGAGCCGCCTGCTATTGTCGCCTTCGGTTTGGAAAGCGGGTGTCATAGCGGCGAATGCACCCATGCTGACTGCATAGATGGCGAACATGAGAATGAGTGGGAGGTAGATCTTTCCATATTTCGCTCTCCAAGTGAAGTAAAGGACGACCAGATATTGGATGGCGAGGAGACCACGGCTGATGACTAGTGTGTAACACAGGATACGGAAGTTCTGCATAACTCAGTATAATTTGCTCGAGGTGCGGATATCAAACTTACCGTATTGTTCCCCTTGCCATTCGAGTTTGCTGGGTTGAATTGGCTTCCAACCAACGCCAAACCGACAAATACGATGAATTGGATCGTCTTGCACACGCGCTCATAGAGCGAGTCTCGTGCAAATCGTACATCATGGAGTGTGATCTGAAACCAACACGACCATAATATGCCAAAGAAACCGATGTATGCCAGCAGATAGTCTATGTCAGTAATAGAGTGATAGGCTGTGAAGGTTGCCAGATTAGCAACGAAGAACAAGTCGAAGAAGAGTTCCACGCTATTGGCTTCATGTCGTTGAGAGAACACCAAATGTTCGTGATCGGCGCCAACTAGCGGGGACTCGATAAATGGTGTTGTCTTGTGCAGCCGTTTGAGATGCTTTTCCGCATCGACATCTCGCTTGTGGCCGTGGAAACTCCAACCCATACTGCCAATCTTCTATGTAGTCAACAATAAGGGAACGACTACAACGGTCGAGAAAAGGAGTAAAAAGGTTTAGACAATGATAGACGGATGTGCATACCAAGACAAACAACACGAGCTCGATTCGGCCCTGCCGAGATTCTTATGCAAATCCTATTTCGCATGCTACACGCGACACGAGATAGTCCCGCGAGCTATGGCCCATGTTCTATCTTGGGGCTGGAAGCCCAGGCCAGCAACTACGGAACCGCCTCCAGTCCGCTAGCAACGATGCCAATGGCACTGCATAGTGGCTTGTTACACAATCTCGCTGGCTGGTCACCCAGGAGGGCTAGAAGATGCTAAGCTGGAGGAAGCTTTGAGAATCAAGCCTGTGCGGGTCGGGCTCAGCAGCGCGCCAGCACAGCAATGCTGACAGCGCCATCGTGTATCGGGAAAGCACAGAGGATGAGATTCAAGACGGCAGCATGCCTAAACCCAATCATTTCCTGCACGTGAGGCTTGGCACGCTGCTGTAGACGGGCCGTTAGCGGAATAAGCGTCTTGTTTGCGGCGGAGGACCATCGCCAGCTAGCCTCATCGTTAGACGAAGTCATTCTTGCAGCATTGAAACAGATCTCTCTCATGTGCATTGGCAGAGGTGCTGCAGTAATACTCATACACAGCCCAGCATCATTCGTCGGCGGCGGTCAGCTCGGCGTTGTGGGTTGCCTAACCTAGCACCCATCTGCACTCACAAACACTTCTCTTCAACCGTCAACCCTTACCCAGCCCGCGTTGCGCAAACATTACTCTCTTCCTGCTCCCGATGTTGCATGCTTTCCCCCTCCTCGAGCATGCTCGCAATGCCGGGTCGTACACAAAAATACCCGGAAGGTCTGGAAGCGCATTTTCATGCACCTCGCACTTCATCTCTGACAGCTCGCCTAAGGTAACTAGATGAAGGCCTGCTATTTGTGGACGGGAGGAACCGCAAGCAATATCACTGCTGCCGTCTTATGAATATCATCACGCCAAGCTTCCACCGCGGTAAGACAATCTCTCGGGTCATCATCTGCCCTTGTTGTGAAAGGGCCTCCCGTCAATTTGTTATAATAACCGAGACTGTGGTGAATGTTCAGATAACGTTTCATATCGGAATTAGTTATTGGCCAAAACCTCTGCCAGATGAATGTATTCTAGATCCGCCATACGAACGCCGCGCTGAGAGACAAGATTTAGAGGCCTAAGCCATGCAAATATGCTGTGATATATACTGAGTTTCGCGCACCTCTTATTTCCGTATCAGTCCTGTGCGTTCATTTACTCCCTCGCCAATCTCTTCCTCTTCATCTTCATCTTCCTCGTCTTCATCACTGAATCCTTCGGCTTCCAGTCCCTCTCCACGAATCCCGAAGCTCAAAATGAACCCAATAAGTGCGATACCAGCGAAAGTACCGAAAGGCAAAGCTTCGCCTTTGGGCTTCAACTTGGTGGCAGCTGTAAAAAGCGAACCCGAAAGGAAAGGACCAGCCGCGCGACCGGCGGCGGAGAGCGTCTGAGCGAGACCATTGAGCGTACCGAGCACGTTGTGATTGGGTGCAGAGTTGGTGATCTGTACAAAGTCAGCATCTGTAGGTCACGATATAATGGAAACACAGTAACTTACCATAAGGAGCGCAGCTGTCAGACCACCGACACCTGCAATCGTCTTAATTACCAGCACGACACCAAGCTCAAACCACAACCAGCCAGCACCGGAGCCGATACCCTTGTACCCCTTACTCTCTTTATAGCCTACCCAGGGCATGAGACCGAAGGCTGCGATGAACAATCCTAAACTGATTCTGTATGCCATCTTATTGCCGAGCTTGCCTCGGAGCCTGCCAAATACACCTATCTGGAATAGTATTGTTATGGCGCCAGCGAAAGACAAGGATAACCCGACAGCTTCAGGTTTCAACCCGCGTCCAGTAGGTGGTTGCTCTTCCGCAAAGATGGGATAAAGGGAGTTGTACGAGATGTTCGCGAGTTGGAATATGAAGTATGTTACGAGAAGCAGGACAGTATCCCGGTTCAAAATCTCCTTGCGCGTGAGTTCGTCACCGCTGCTATGCGGGAAGAGCGTAGGTGCAGACTCTCCAGAAGCGTCGGAAGCATCGTCTTCGTCTACATCGTCTTGTGTGCCGTCCAGCGAACTGTGATTCTTGTGGTTGCCTAACAGGCGTCGTACGTAGGTCGGTCGTGTCGAGCTTGTAAACTGCCACATCCATGAGAACAGGTTACCTAGTCTCTTTCCGAGAGGAGGTAAATTCTTAGCTTCCTCCAAACTCTCTTCTAGGAAGAGCATGCACACTATCAGATCTATCGCGAGGATGAGGGCCGAAAAGAGGTTCGGAAGAAGATACGGATAAGGATTCGACTGGCTCTTGTTGAACGGGTTTTGGTAGAGCACCAAAAGCCCTCCCACGATCGGTCCTGTTATGCCACCGATACCGTAAATGACGGGCAGGTAGGTAAAGGCGCGCGACTGGTTGCTTCGATCCGTAATCTCACCCAAACATGTCGACACAACGCCATTGTTTCCGTTGACAAAGCCCATCAAGGCCTGGACAAGTATAGCCTGCCATAGTTCTCTACAGAACCCAAAAGCCAGGAAACAACACATGGTCAAAAAAGTGCCCATGATGATGACTGGCTTTCGTCCGATCTTATCAGATAGCCAACCCCAAAAGAAGTTTGTTGTGAATTGCGCCAACGCAAAAGACGATGCGATGAGCCCGACGTATAAGCCTGTCTGTCCATCCTTGACTTGGGGGAAAGATTTTGTCATCTCTGGTAGATATGGGCTTATCGAGTTGAGGGCTGTTTGCTCGGCGAGAGCTATGACAGCTAGTACGATAAGCTGCCTCGTCGGCAAAGGCGACTCGTGGTGGTTGTTGCTGCCATCTTCGGAGCGGTTGCCATCTTGGCCGGACGGGGAGTCAGACGGTGGTCGACCGCGAGACTTGGGGGGAATAGTTGGGAAGGTAGTATAATCTGTGTGCCGGTATACAATGTCAGCATATCTCCTCCTGGCGATTCGCATAAGGATTTTGCCTACGGAGCGTTGACCGGCGCGCATCAAGGGCTGGCCGACTGGAGGGCATTGTCACCGAATGTGCTACCTCTGTGAGGCCGAGTTATCACAGCAAGCTTTCGCATGCATCGATGCGCGGGTATGTTGTTGTTGATGTTGTGTACGTGTCGATGCTAACACGGGGCAATACAACACTGTAGGGTAACTATATAGCGGCGCGATTGGAGAATGGTGTACTTGGATGCAGGAGGCTGAAAGATGCGCTTTGCTGTGAAGATTTCAGGCTGGGATCTCGCGCGGCTGAAGGTACGTCATTATCGCAGGAACCCGCTTACTTGGCGCGGGATCTCGATGCTGTCTCACGATCGCGCACTCGACTAACAACTTTCTTGTTCGCCTTTTCAAACAATGTTCATTTTTCAATTCCACTTGGACACGTATGATTGAAGAACGTTGTGCTGTCTGCAACCACTCACTAGCCTACCCTATGGCTTTGCGAACAGAGAGATCATGACTTAGTTCTATCTCCATGAACATCAAACCATGTTCGCATCATGCGAACAGGCTAGACAAAGCTTGGAGAACGCGAGCGCGGCACGGACAGATCGCATTGCCGGTTACCTTGGTACCAGCGGAGGCTGGTCAAACTTGACACGAGGAGCCGAAGACAGTCAAAGCTCGACTGTCAAAAGAAAGCATTAGCGCAATAACCACTGATAGCTTTAGGAGCAGATCTCTATTACTGGTATCTAAAAATATAAATGCATGCTGCAGTGCAAGCACATGCTCGATTATCTGTTCAAACGCAGAGCGAACAGACACATGAAATACCCAAAGACCAGGACACAAGCACATGTTACCAAAAGCGGCATTCTGGGCTTGCTGCCATACGCATGAAGCATGTTTCCCCCACAATTTGTTTAATTACCCCAAGGATTGACCCCTCAACCTCAATCTATTACGCCCCGTCGGTTCGCCAATGCCACACGAGAACACCAAAAGCTGTCTGAAGAGATACGAGTCATCGGTGGAGGCAAGCTCTCGAGGTCATCACCAGTCGCTTAGATCCCAGCGGACTTATAGAGTCATAGTCCCCAGAAGTCGCTCAAACCTTCTCATACATCAGGAACGCGCTGCTATGCTGGTTGTTCTCGACATTGGGGGTGCAGGATATCGCACAACCGACTGATCCGCCCGTGCCTCCTATCGCTTCGATATCCATTTGTTTCGAGTCACTTGACAGGTGTCCTGTGCCTCAATCACTGCTCTGCAATGCTGATGAGCACATTAGGACCAATACATTCAAACGACTTAGATTACTGTGACGCCAAAATGCTGTTTCTGGACTCCACTGTGGAGATTTCAGGCATACACTGTTCGCAGGAGTCGTGAGTACAAAAAGTCGAATTGGTCCTTCACAGAAGGGCCAAGATACAGTGGTCTTTGTTTGAAGGCCCCTTGCTCCATATTCTAATTCAACTACCTTCCATCGCCTCGTTCTCATCAAAAAAAATTCCATCACTCTCTCTTGTCACCCAAAATCTTTGTGTATACATTTTCAAACATGCAATACTACACCTTGCTTCTAGCCCTGGCGGCCTTCGGCTCAACTTTTGCGAGACCGACACAACCACAAATCACCAACACCACAACTTTACCCACTCACTTCGGTCTGGTTGTGTTCCCACACTACCAGGCTCTCGACATCTTCGGTCCTATGGACCTTCTCAACACACTCTTCATGTACTATCAAAACTCTACCCTCGTGCCGCAGTTCTCAGTCCTCAGCAAGACCATGGATCCGGTAACCTCAGCCATGATGACTGGAGGCTTTGGTCAAGAGATCATGCCAACCACAACCTTCTCAGATTACTTGGCAAGCCGCGGACAAGGTGTGGCTAATCACACGGTCGTTGCGAAGAACAAGCGTCAAGGCCATGGTGATATGCACATGCCTCCTGCGACCGACAAGGGTGATATCGACGTTCTCATCGTCCCTGGCGGTGGTGGTACCCGCAGGAATATGACTGAAGAGATCAATTTTGTCAAGCAAACTTATCCAAAAGTACAACACACTCTCCCCATCTATCCTTCCACTTCCACTAACTAACCATCCTACAGCTCAAATACATAGTCTCTGTCTGCACCGGCGCAACTATCCTCTCCCGCGCAGGTATACTCGACGGCCGTAAAGCAACAACGAACAAGGCAGCCTGGCCATGGGCTGTCGCGCAGGGTCCTAACGTAGACTGGGTACCGACCGCGCGTTGGGTCGAAGACGGCAACATCATCTCAACTAGTGGGGTTTCGGCAGGCATCGATGGCATGTATGCGTTTGTTAGTAAGGTGTATGGTGAGGACGTTGCCCATTTCTTGAGTTTGGGTTTGGAGTACAATCGTGAGATAGATGCTCACCATGATCCTTTTGGTAAGATTTGGGACGTTCCGAATGCTAGTTAGATTGTTCTATTTGTAAGAAGGATAGAGTGGTAGTGGTAGTGGGTTAGGATTCAGTGACGTATGTATAACCCCAATGAGGTAGCACAGTCGCACCGCATCTGCATCTACATCTGCGTTGTCCCTGCACAGACCTGTTTACTCTCAGCTTATCTTACAATCATAGTTTACTTCTCCTCCTCTATCTTCTCCTTATACCTCATACAAAGTCGACGCTTATCACTCAATGTCCTCGACGTCCCAAACTCTAGATCGCTCATATCTTCCTCCCCGCGGCGTAGACAACGACGACACCGCCTTCCTGTCATTGGATCCCGAGTTGAGAGAAATACGATGCGTCATTCTGCTACCTGGATCTGGAGACGACCCCATCGCCTGCGAATTAGTTTATACCAACATCAACGAGAATTCTAGTGCTCGCACCCCATACATTGCATTATCTTACTGCTGGGGAGATATTGAGGATACCGTTGAGATTATGCTTTACGGCCCCTCGAAGGATTCATCCGGCGCGTATCAGGAACCAATCATTGCGTCATTTCGGATCACACGAAACTTGCATATCGCGCTCATGGCCTTACGCAATGACAGCAAGCAGTATCTGTGGGTTGATGCCTTGTGCATTAACCAACAAGATCCGCGAGAGAAGACGCATCAAGTTCAGTTGATGGGAAAGATCTACTCGTCGGCTGAATCAGTGTTGGTGTGGCTGGGGCCGGACGATGAATATAGTCGGTTTCTTATGAGGCTATGGACGGAACACCTACATCCTCTCATAAACAGACTCGATGGCGAAGCATTGTCGAGTCTATACGAGGATCTTTTTAAGAGTCCGCATCCGTTGTGGGATGACGTGGCACAGGACGAAACACTCATCCAATCTGCGCTCAATCTCAATGATGCAAGGGTGGACGAAGTCTCGCCTGACCGGTACAAGAAGGCGCTATGGATCAGCTTCAACGGTGTCTTAGGTCGACCGTGGTGGAGCCGAATATGGATTGTACAAGAGGTTTTCTTGGCTCCAAGGAGCGAGGGAGGTGGCCGCAAGGTCCAATTTAGGATTGGTGATAATCTATTGCATTGGCAAGACACATTGCATACTAAGACTCTATTGCCCGGTTACGGTCCTCTCTCTGTTAGCCAAGTTTGCCACTCGTGGTACTCGCTTATCGATATGGACGAAAGGCTCGTGGACCTAGACATCGACTTTCTGCTCAGGTTTACGTCTCATTTTTGCGCCTCAGATCCCCGGGATAAACTCTTCGCATTACTCCAACTGGCCTCAGATACTAAAGAACGCATGCACGACCCCTTAATCAGGCCTGATTACACAAAGTCTCTGGCAAACGTCGTGGATGACTTGGTACGTTGGAAACCAAGTTTAAGTAAATATCGTTGTCTGTTTCACGTTGGAGGCATATGAAAGGACGATCTTCATGACCGATTGCCTGGGTCAAATGGAAAGAATGAATGCATTAAACATATCTCTTTTTTGTGCTAGCAACATCTTATAGGTAACTCCCAAGTAAGGAGAACAGAGGAGTAAGGAGAACAGAGGAGTAAGGAGAACAGAGGAGTAAGGAGAACAGAGGAGTAAGGAGAACAGAGGAGTAAGGAGAACAGAGGAGTAAGGAGAACAGAGGAGTAAGGAGAACAGAGGAGTAAGGAGAACAGAGGAGTAAGGAGAACAGAGGAGTAAGGAGAACAGAGGCTACGGTGTTTGTCTCATTACCAAGGACAATGGCAGTATAGTGCCATGAGTCAAAAGATCATGCTGAGAATTACGTCTCTTGCCCGGGCATCTCTTCATGCAACTGGTGGGACAGCGACTTGCGTCGAAAGCCGCCGCGTTGGCTGCGGCTAGGATGGCACTTGGCGCAATATGCTAGTGCACCATGGGGTTCACAGATACAAACCTACCGCAATGTAGGACTACAAACCATGTACTTTACCTTAGGATGATGCCTACGATCATGTGGCACCTCAGGACACGGGGAAATTCACAACGTGTTGACGACAGTGCCAGACTAGGTGGTGTCCTAATGTCAGTACAATGCACACACAGAGGGTAGCATACCATCATCACTGTCGATTGGAAACGTTCTATTGTAAAGATTCGCATTAATGACAGAGTTTCTAATGTACAGCTTCAGGAGCTTACTGACCTTTCATGTCCGCGACAAAATTCCGAGTACTTCTCGTTAGTTCGTGATGATGACGACGACATGTAAGTCCTGGAATGATCGAAAATCGAAAGTCTACTGCAGGCGGACACCAGCAGTACCCTTCTTCTTCGCCTGGTCATCGAAAGCATTTCCCAATCCACCACCTCCACTTCTACTAGCCTCAAGCGAACTCTCGGCCATCCTCTTCTTCTCAGCAGCAATCTTGTCAAGTTGCTTCTTCGTCTTCGTGTTTCCACTTCCTTTACCGTGAAACTGGTGACTGAGCTGCTTGAACGCTTCTTTCTGGTTCATCGAGCGGCCGTGCTCATCGACATATTTGAGCTCAATGTTGGGTGTGTACTCCTTGTTAAAGAGCTCAGCGAGGCGGCGGCTCTCGACCATGTCGGCGCTGGTGTTGTTCTTGCGGGCCCATTCTTCACGTTCACGTGGAGTCATGTTGTTCCAGCGGGCAGAGCCTCGTTCGCGTTCACGAGCGATCTTACGCTGGCGTTCTGCATCGGCTTCGGCCTTGAGCTTGTCGGCAAGGAACTTCTGGCGGTCGCGGTACATGGCGTTCTTCTCCCCAGCATCGGTCTGTGTGACTAAGCCTCGTTGCTTGAGCAGGGCAAGAGTGGCACCAAGACCTTGGTCGACAGTCTTCTCAGCCTCAAGACCCGTCTCAGTAATCTCTGTGGACCGAGCGCGAGAAACGCTGCGGTTGCGAGCCTCCTCTGCTTCGGCTGCTTCGGCGTAGGACTGTTCCATGTCAACATCGCCATCTTCGTCGGCAACTGGGATATCGCCCATTGACTTGGTGCCTTCAGAGATGTGGCTGGACTTTCTGCGTTTCCGCCGGGCCTCCTCTTCGTCTGCATCGCCAGCAGCACCCAGATTTTGTACAAATTCGGTAGTTTCGTCGATGACAAGGGCACCTTCACCGTCTTCAGTAGACTCCATAACGTCTGGTTGAGGTGTAGATGCTTCTTCGCGCAGTTGCCGTGCGAGGTCTTCCGGTCGCATCTTCTTGCGCTTCTTGAGGGCCTTTTGACGCTGTGCTGCGAGATTCGCTTGGAGGTCATCGTCATCCACGAAAGACTCGTCGAAAACTTTCTTCTTCTTTTGCTGTGGTGCAGAGACTTCACCACCGTCAAGATCCATGTCGTCGCCAGCAGCAGGTTCTTCCATGGCCATGACAGCCATTTCGTCTTCATCTTCGACGCGTTCTCGCTTAGACTTCTTGCTCTTCTTCTTCTTAGGCTTTTTCATCTTGACTTCCGAAATGTCCATGTAGTCATTGGTGGGCGCATCCTCTTTGAGTATGTCTAGGCTGATAGCAACCTTCTTTGGCTTCGCTGCACCTGTAACCTCGGCTTGTACATCTTCAACAGTTCGGCCCTTGCCGTCTAATGTGAACGCCTTGCCCTTTTTGCCCTCGATCTCCTCATCGTATTGTGCAAGTATCGACTTTTGGCCTGATTCGTCCATATCGTTGGGGTCGTATGCGCGCTTCCGCTTTTTCGAATCGAGTCGCTCTTGCAATCGCTCCTTTTCCCTCAAAGAAACCGCCTCCAGCTCGTCTTCTTCTTCCGCATCGACTGCAGTATCTTTGAGAACAAGGATCTGATCCTCGTCGTCGAACTGATCGACCTCGTGTCCGACTTTGACACCCGCAAGGTCTTTATCGGTGTACTGCATGGCCTCGAGTGCCTGGCGCTCGCGCTCTTCAAGCTCCTTGCGCATCTGTTCTTCCTTGGCGATCTTCTTCTGGCGCTTCTTGCTGCTCTTTAGCCAGGCCAGGTCATCGTCAACATCAGCTTCATCTGCAAGCCCCTTGCCCTCAAGCTTCGCAAAGCGCGCCGCCTTTTCGCGCTCCTTCTTGATCGCAGCAGCGCGCTCTTCGCGTCTTATCTTAGCCAGTCTCTCTTCTTCCAATTTCTTCCAGTTGTCTGAAGCGGCGGCCTCGCGTGTCTCGATGGTGCTCGCTGGCTCTTCGTCCGAGTCGTCGCCATTTTGCGCAGCCTTGAAATCGAGGCCTGAGGATGCTGCGGGCGCTGCAGGAGTACTTCCGCCAGGGAGAGCAGAAAGGCCCATAGACAGACGAATCTTGTTCGCCTCGTCGATGGATAGGTCCGCCATGGTTGATGTGATTGTAGTGTCGATGTCGCAACGGGATGAGGATTATGATTCTCGGCGGAAAGCTATGGTGGCGACCTAGTCCCTGGGCTTCAATGCACCGTCAAACAGTGTTAGGAAGCAGTCGTCGCGAAGAGTGAAAGCACGCCTAGTCTATCCCCAAAAGGTGATGTTCAGTGTTCGGTGCCTACTCGTGTGCACGACCTGCGGGCAACATCGCACCTCCGCCCATCTTTCTGCCAAGGCCCTAGTAGACTAGTGCACCGGGGATTTGCCGAGGGACATAAAAAAAGTTCGTCGCCCTCACCCATCGTCCTCACCACAACGACCTGTGTCAGCGTCTCCCGTCCACGTCCTTCGGGGTGTGTGATGGTTGAGACTCTGACAGTTCGTCCACCATGGAACTCTCTTTTCTTTTGTAGAGCGTTTCGGACGACAGGTGGCGGAGAACAACTTTGGCAGCTTCCGGCAGCCTGAGCTCACCCTTCACGGGGTTTGAGCTCGGTGTATGGTTGTCTGTCAGGCAGACTGATTCCGTTTCCCTTTTGCTAGGCCGTCGGCCACTGATGCTTGGGACTAACCCAGTCGGCTACATGCTTTTTCTTGCAAATGATGGCTTCTGCGATTGCGCGACTTCATTGCGCTGATCGATGCATGATTTGTGATGCTTCAGCACTTCACGTACGAGGCGCGCAGAACTTTGGAAACGCGACGCACGCGTTCACGCGTTTTGAAGAAATCGCATCATTCGCGAAGTCATGTGCATGCACCTAGTCTGCACCTGGGTAGAAGAGCGCGAGTTCTAGAAACAGATGCGGGATTGACTGCCTTTCTGATTGAGACGCTACTGCCTCGAACGCATCGGTGAGCACTGAGACATCATGACCCCTAGGCATATGGTCGCACATTGTCGTCCTATGCATCTCGTACAATATACATATCATACATAATCTCGGCCTCGAAGCCGCTGGATCGTAGTCCAAACGCAGGTGGGAGACTATGTAGCCTTCCCACATGTTTTTTATATGCAAACCTCAGAACTTGTCCCTAACCCAGGTACTTAGTTTGTAGCCGGTACCTCTCCCCTCGCCAACTTAAGCAGCTCTGCCTCTCTCCGCTCCTTCAATAACCTCTCCCTAACCTGCACTCTGTCCGCCTCAGCCCGCTCCTTGAACTCGGCAATCTCCTTCATCTCAGCCAACTCTTGCTCAGTCGGCTTGATCTCCTGCGCGCCTATCTTCTCTACCAGTGCCTCCAAGATCTCGCTGTCTGATTGATCTCTTATGTCAATTGTGTATGTGGGTTTCGAGGTATCAGGTACGAGGGTATTGCGCGGGTTCGGTGTGCCAGACGGTGGTGAAGAGTCTGACTGTTGGGCTGTGGGGGAGTTTGTGGAGCCAGCCGTGGGTTGGGTTTTGGTTGCCGTGTAGATATGGAGGAGCGAGGGACCGTCGGGATCGTTATGTCGCGCTATTTCCATCGGGATAGATGGGTTGCGGTACTTCATCCGGGGCAGCATATTGCGCCAGAATTTCCTGTTCGTAAGGTGAGCACACCCTATCGTCGAGTACTAATGCCAGCCCGCCGACGTAGTCTCCGACATAAGGCATCGTGTTTCTTCCTTGCTTCGGAACCAGCATAGAAGAGAAATGCAAGCGTACCTTGCCCCTCTATGTCCTCCGTAGATCTTGGTGTTGAACTCCATACTGATCTTCGATACCTCTTTTGGCAGTATAAGTGCGCCTGGTCCACATCGTATCCATAATAACTGTTGCCGGTATTATCAGCGCCATGTCGCCTTCGCAAGACTTGAGCATATCCGGTGGGATTACATGCTTCAGCCATGTTTTCGGAGGTGCTTGCAAAGGTTGTCTTTACGTACCTTCTGTAGTAATTGTTAGTTCTGCCCGAAAAGCAGACAATGCATTCGGAAATCAACCACTTGCCTCATGTAGTACGCGCATGCGCTTCAGTATGTGCACCATGATTGCGGTGATGTGATGTGGAATTGGGGTTGCGGAGTTCAAGAGATTCTTAGCGCATGGCCTGGTAGCGCGGTCGCATCTTGGCAGCTGCCGGCGGAACATGTCTTTCGACCCTTCACTCTGAAAATGGTCAAGATAGAAGATGATATGACTAAACGCATTGCATTGATTGAACGCCTTCCCAGGTATCTGAGCTACATTATTCTTCCTCTACACACGTTCACATCCCCGTTCCCACTTGCCGGACATGTCCACACTCCCGTCCACAACAAATCCAATTACAGGATTGTATATGTCGTACCACCCTACTGGGAATACTATAGGTTCGCCTACGAAGCTTGTCGTTTCCTTATCAGGCTGCACTAACCAACCGGAAGCCGGAGTGCACTGATTTATCGAGCAGGTTGTGCGTTCGCAGCGCGCGCCTCTGCAGGAGTTGGGCCCGACATGCGCTTGCTCCTGTAAAGTAGTCAGCATAAGATTCTGATCTGCACTGTGATTCAACTTACATGAACGACCTGCTGAGGAAGGAGATGATGATCATAGGCATCCATGAAGGCATCTTAGAAAATCCCCAGGTAACGTATCCGTAAGGAACAGCAAGGTTGTACTGCTGAAGCACACCGTTGAAGGGGTGGAAGGGACCCTCGTACGGGGTGACCTGCTCAATACCATTGTCGACGATGAGCTTCTTGAAGGTCTCGGTGGTGGTGCTTGTGCGGTTCAAGGGCATGTAGCGAACGGTGGGGACTGGCGCGGACTGGTCGGCCATAGGCTTGGGAACCTGGAAGTAGTAGAGCGATGGTGCGCCGACGGACCATGAGTTGCAGAGAACAGGCTCGGTTTCGCAGTCAAGGTACGCGAACTTGGGCGCGTTGGTCTTTGCGGCCATGACGGGAAGAGAAGCCTGAGTCCATATTAGTGTCTGTCGTCTACATGTTCAGCTACTGTACATACGTTCCATGCCTTGGTTGCGTTTGCACACAGCCCAAAGCAAGTGGTGTTGCCGCCAGTAGAGAAGATAAGCCAGTCCTGGGTTGTAGGAGGGCTAGCAGTGGGATCAACAGTCAGGACCTCCTTCCAGTTCTCCAGAGTAAGGGGATACTGGATTACTGCAGCGGCATTCGATGCTGCCTTGCTCGTTGCTGTGTCGACGGGCGCCGATGGCATGGAGGGGATGGATGCGGAGACGGCAGCAGTCGCCTTGTTGAAGAATCCCTTCACCTTGTCAAGGAGAGGAACCTGCTCCTCGGCGACAGCAAGCGCCGGGAGAGCGAGAAGAATGCCCGATGAGATGCGCATTTTGGTTGTGTGTGAGAGAAGGTGTGGTGTTGAACTGCGAAAGTTGCGGGCGGTACGCTTGCGCTCTTCTGCCGGATGATGCCACAGGGTCCAATTGGGGCGACGTTGAAGTAATGTGGGGGGGGGATGCAGCTCAACGTCAGAGGCAACCACTAACAATCGTGAAAGAGTGGTAGAAATGTACACTGAACTCTCGGCGAAGAATGCAAGGAAGTTCCCAAGTCGAGATAGCTAATAATACGAGGAATAGGGATGAAGACTAACAACCGGGTGTCCTTTGCACGAGCTTGGCGGTCCAGAGCTCTGCCGCGAAATTGGGAAGCCTGGGCCAACCGTTCGTAAACAGCATTCACTCTCACGGGCCGGATGCACACGCGTTCAGCTCTCCGCCAACCGGAACGCGTCACAACGTAGACACGCGCGCGACTAGGTGTACTTGCACAGATGCACCAAACGTGTCTAACACGAGAAGTGGTAGAAGAACTCATGTTAACTGTTCCCAGATGATGTTTCGCTATTCGATTTCAGCATTCAGTCTCATCTCATTTCAGCTTCATAATTAACACTTCCTATCCAGCCCACCGAACACTCCAACCCGGTTGCGCAATATGTGCCGCCAAAGTAAAGATTAGATCCTCGCCACTCTCTGATTTGGAAAACTGCTGAGGGGGAGTCTCTGCTAATGCGTTAGTACAATTTTGCCTAGACCTAAGGATACATCAACGTACTCTCGCCCTGCAATTTCCAAGACACATTGGCAATCATCGACGTCCTATAGCTCGCTGTTAGTGAGCTATCGCCAGAACCCCTTCGAGGCTGTGTTACAGGAGTGCCAGTACCTGAACCCGATGCCCTCGCCTGAAGTGCTTTTGCCAACTGATCTTGGAATGCCTTGTTAGATTCTGGTTGTACATCGTCTTCTTCGTTTACAGAAATGACGGTGCTCCATGCACTGTTTCCGCGAAATGGCGATTGGTTATTTGCTCCCCTGGCCTGAGCTCGCTCATGTTCTTCCACATCATGACTGTGTGCCGTCTCCTCGTACACTACCCTGCCGGCTCTCGGGCTATTACTGTTGTCTCTCTTGTCTGAATCTGCTACTTTGCACAATTTGAGCCCGCCCTGGATATCAACAAGCAAACCGGCCATCCCAGTATTGTTTGGCAGCCTCGCTGCAGATAGCGGAGGGGCTGGAGGAGGTCTGGGCGGAGGCGATGCTGGTCCTGGCAGAGGAGGAGGGGGGATAGGAAGTGCCGATTGCTGGAGAGCCGGCATCGGAATAATTCGCAAGAATGCGGGCGTGAATCGAGGCGGAGGTGATGCAGCTCGTGACGCATGCGACATGATTGGTGATGACGAGCCTGAAGGACCTTCTGATTCGACTAGAGAAGGAGGCGTATCTGGGTATGTGGGTATGATGGGAGAAGGAGGTATGTTCGTGTATGGCGCTTCATCGTATCCTCTATGTTCTGCCTTCTCGATATCTTCATAACTTCCTGGCATTGGTGAACGTGGAGCTTGTTCGTAGTAGCTCGCTGCTACTCCAACTTCAGACCGATCGTCCGCACCTCGAGCACTGGGCTCTCGCGATAGTGAAGCCTCACGCTCGTAAATTTCCCCACCATGGATGGGTGAAGGCGGTTGGAGAGGCGTATGCTGCCAGTTAGGCGGTTCTGGAGCAGATGGATGTGGATGGTTCGGAGGAGTAGAATGCAATAACTCGCGAGCAACAGGAGGCGGCTGACGACGAGGAGTTCCGATAGATGTAGGAGGCTGCAAACGTATCCCTAGAAACGGTGAGCTCCCGTCCTTCCTCTGGTCAGTATCTTCTCTTCGTCTTCCTTTATTCGGCTTGCTCCTTCGATGCTCCTCTTCTTCACGACGATGATGCTCCCATGCCTTAGTCTCAGCAACACTCGGTTTCCACTCGTCGCCACTCGTCTTTCCAGGATATCGCTCAGCCCATCTGACTCTTTCTGGCTCACTTTTTCGGATCTTCTCCCTCTCTTTCGTTCGACTACTCTTTTGTTTGCCACTGCTAACATTTGCGTCTGTTTTCTTCTTCCGCATTTCATCTAGTGCTTTCTCAAACATACCCTTAGTTCGGAGACCGGCTTCATGCTCGGCTTTGATGTGTTTGTAGGTATTCATGAAATGATCTCCAAAGCCAAGAGCTATGCCAGCTTTGCTTTGGTATTTAGGCAGGCTTCCGAATGGCGTGCCGTCCGGTCCTTTCTGCTGCCGTGTTGGATATGGCTGTTTGTCATGTTGACGGTCACACCGACGAGAGCTTGAGCGCTCTCTAGACTTCCGGCGATGAGATCGATGGGGTGTGTGTGAGCTCTTCCGTCCTGACCGTGGTGTATCCTTTCGCCCACGAGAACGGGATCGCGTCCTTGAACGATCTTTCGACGGTCTCCGCGCTGAGCGATGTGGTGTTGGAGCTCTTCTTCCAGACAGCGGACTTTTCTTTCTTTTTGGCGTCAAGTCTCGCCATGAAGTTTGGTAGCCACTCGCTCCACTTCCTGGACGATTTCCATCTCTAGGTAATGGTGCATTTGGCTTCCGGTGTCCATCATGCAACGTATCTGGTGGTCCTGCTCCACCTGTCATCTGATAGTCCGAATCACCATTTTGTCGGTTCTCGATAACAGGATCGCGAATACTGCTGTCCCCATTCCGGCGATGAGAACTTGAACGTCTGTCCCGGGATCTGGATCGTTCGTGGCGCTTTCCATGAGACTCATCTCGATGTCTATGTCGCGATCTCGAACGGTGTTCAGCTAGTGAACTACGTCGATGTTTCCCACGCTCTTCATCTCTCAATCTGGAACGATAACGATGATGTCGGTGCCTGCCACTCGATCCATGGCTGTGTCCATGCCCGCCATGCCTCTTATACCCGTCCTTCCTACTTTCTTCCATACCCCCTTCCTTCCTGTGTCTCCTATGCTTACCCTTCCCCTTATCCTTCTCTTCCGTCGCTTTCTTCTCCTGATAACTTCGATACAACCTCACTCCCTCAACCACAGCTTCGATAACAAGTCTTAACGTAGGCTTCTCGTGGCGCTCGGAAAGTAGGTCTTGCACTTTTCCCTGGATTTGCTTACGGTACTCGTCGTCCACTGGCATCGGGATTGTTTAAGATGCATGTGCGGAGACATGGTGATAATGTAGCAAGTTGGGGTATGAAGGGAAGGGTTGTGAAGCGGGAGTTTGTGAATATAGGAGATCATGAGGTGACGGAGTAGCAAGCGAATGGTCATGCTGAGTTTGTAGGATGGAAGAGGGTGGAAGGGGATGTTGAGCTGGCAAACGCGATAGATGTGTGAAGATGATGTGTTGGAATATGTAACGAACGAACTGCCTTCTAGCTACAGATTCAATGGTTGGGTATGGAGGACACTAGCGTCTAGCATCCAATAAGCAAAATGAAGATAGTATTAATCACCACCAGTCGACATACCATGCTCGCGTTTCATGGCTAAATTCCTACTCCTTGATGTGTACACCCTGTCCGTGACACGATGCATCACTGTTGACATTGGATAAGAAGGTCGAACCATGGGAAACATGGAGAATTAAGGTAGTAGATTGCGTTAGCATTAATTCAAAGCAAACCCAAGCAACCGTAAGGTGCTCTTGTCTTAGATGCCTGTCTTCTGATGTCGTTGTATTATCCCCGGCGAGTGCGTCGTCGCAAGCATGACCGTTGGGAATAAAGGCCGCTCGAATGTTCCAACAATCCACCTAGTATCTGCGCAGCCCGCGAAGCCTCGCATATTGGCAAAGCTTATTCGCCAAAACGCCATTCGCGTACAACCCGTGTCCATGTGCCCCTAGCCGTCTATTCCTATTCCTCTCCACCAAAATCATCCTCGTCCAGAACTCCACCGTATTGCCACCTTCATATAACGCTTCCTGTATACAAACCCTACTCTTTCTTCTTCGCTTCGCCCTTCTTCACCCGGACACCGCTGCCCCTGAAGTCATTCGCGTCTAGCGCTTCGCTCTTGCCCAGACCCAGATCTTCAGCTTCCTTCTCTAGTTGTTGTTTCTGCTTCTTGGCAGCGGCATTGAGTAGGTATGGCCGTATGAGGAGGTACGCGCCTACGATGGCGATGATGCGGACCCAGCGCTGAGCAGTCATCTCCTCGAAAGACTTGATCGAGTTGTTGACCAGGCGGTCCTTCCACTCGCCTACGTTGTCGAGTATGTAGTCCATCTTGGTATGCGATATGGGTGATTGCGATCGGGGACTCTTTGCGCGGTGCTGGGATAAGAGCGAGGTCCGTGTAGATGGTAATGCGATTATCAGCTTATGGGAGCTGATGTTGGAACGGCGTCTAACGTCTATGTCAAGGACTATGTGTGCGTAGAACAGTGTGAAAAATGCGATGCTGGTGAAGAAAGTAATTGCGCGCAACAACAATAAATCACTCAAAGCGTGGACCGTCAGGTGGCAGAACCCGGGCGGTGACCTCCTTCCCGTTCATCACCGAGGCCCCGCTATCGGCCCGCTTTGGACGCGTCGCATCACTTCTCAGGTCGACACTTACACGCGATTGACTTCAACCACTGGGCGACATGGCGTCAGATGATGCCAAGGCAGAGCGCGAAGAGGTAAGAGACTCGTGTATCAATGTGATGATGGGCATGTGCTGACGGTATCTATAGCGGCTCAAGTCAGCCCTCTGGTACTCTATCGGCCAATTCGTTGACGAGAAATCGTTGGAGAATGATCTGAACGCAACACCACAGTTCATTGGAGCCCTTACTGAGCTTGTATACACTCAAATTGGTAAGACTGACTCGCGCCTTCAAATACCATATAGCTCACAAAATGCTAATGTCATGCAGCAAACACAGCTCGCGACCTTGAAGTCTTCTCTAAGCACGCTGGTCGCAACACGATCAACCCCGACGACGTGCTGCTCCTCGGAAGACGTAATGAGCAACTTCAAGGCTTGCTAGAAAAGGAGCTCGAAAATATAAGGGCAGCTGAGGGCAGGCGGGCGGATGGTCAGCCAGCTGCTCGCGCACAGCCGGCAGCAGCCACAGCAGGGAAGAAGCGAGGCAGGCCTGCAGGGAGTGGCAAAGGCAAGGCGAAAGCTTGACTGCGCCTGAACAATAGTGACTGGACATGTCTGGACTATTATTGCACTAGGAGTTTTGGAGTTGTGGTACGATACCCTCGAGTACGGCTGGACAGGGCGCGCTCTGCACGTATGCCTCATGAATATGAATTTGACTGGACGTTTCGCGAGTCAACAAACACTTTCATGTTTACATAGTCCGAACATGACTGTGGTTGAGACTGCTTGATGCAGCCAGTAGGGCACTACGTCTAGACCCTGCATTCGAAGAAAAGCGCCGCACGCCAATCGTTGGTCAGCAAGGCCGCGCTTCACAAACCGTCAGATTCCCAAGCTACTTCTCACCACCACTGCATTCATCGAAAGGATGAAACATCCACACGTTGCTCCTCCCATAAGCTAATCAAGGCAGGTCTTTGTTCACGCATGCCACGCTGTTCGGTAATATGCATCTCCTTTATTTTGCTCATCTGCACAAAGAAAATGCTAAAACCCTCAAACTTCACGTTCACTCTTTGTAGAAACCATCAAAAGGCCAATTCTCTTTCTTACCGCCGTTAGAGATTCTTGAGATATTCGCCTCAACCATGGATGTTCAGAAGCGAACACCGTCAGGAGACATGGCCTCAGTCGGGCTGAGGAACATGCCTTCACCGGCTCCGACGTATACCTCGACCTTCGTTTCGCATGACATTCCTTTAACGCCTCAACACGCTACTCTTGCTGAGATATCAAAAAGTGGCGCATCGAACAGTCCTTACTACCATCCTACCACACATGATCTGCCATCCTCGACCCGTCATCTAAACACAAGATCACCTTCAAAGGATGCGGAGGAAGCTCGTGTGAAGCCCGATTACCAGGACACAAACCACCCCCACTTTGCACGACCAAGTTTCCCAATCACACTGCCCGCACGAAGTCACATGCCACGGAAATGTATTCTTGTGCCGTGGGTACTATTTGTCGTCTTCTTCCTTATAACAATATGGTTCACCTCCATCTTGCTTGGCGCACAATTTCTCTCCATCATCCATCCGGCATCGCCAACTTCTACGGTGCAGGAGATTCATTTTTACTTCGACGGAGAAGTCCTCCAAGGAAGCGCTTCTGTATCTACTAGAACTGTTGCCTTGCCTACGAGTACTGTTACCTCCACTACAAAATCCCCGAGCCCAACGGAACCAATATCCGAAACATTACCTGACATGAGTAAGGGCATGGACAGACTTTCTACGTCGATCGAGAGACGCACCGTGCCAGCGCCTACGGGTTTTACAACTATTACAAGAAGAGGACCCTGAGGAAGACTCTGACGCCCACCGATACTGCCCCACTTCAGGCGCCGGGACAGCGCGTCATGAAGTGCAGCCTCATCAAAGGGTAGCAGACTATAGATTTGTTTTTGCAATATCAACTGTTTGCATGGTCCGTACATACTTTCAGGTGCATGCTGTGCTATTCTCCTTCCAAATTATCATCTACTGCATCGAGGCCGCCTTGTTCAATTATTCCGGGTATCCACAAGCCTTCTAGGTACCTTTACGAGGTTCGGCAGGAACGATAGCGAATTTCTGATGTTCATAGTGACTCGCCGCAGGATCGTGTTCCCAGCGAACGGCTCTCAGAGACGTTTTGAAACATGCGGGTGCACATACGAAACGGCTTAGCTAACCCAAGTAGCCAGTTTGGAAACGCTCGCTTCCAGCTTTCTCCACCACCATGTCCACCCAATCTCGGATGGCACCTGTCGCATAAACAAGCATCGCGGACCATACCCAAGAAGAGCAAACTAGCCCTTCATTTAGATTTATCGCTGGCGTGTCGCCTCTTGGCATCGGTCAAGACGATGTTGTTCCCGTTTCCAACGACTGGGATAGCGTGAACGGCTGTCAAGGAGGATTCCAGGCGGTTCGTCCTGATCTCCGGAAACCATTAATCTTGTTCCAGGCGTGTAAGTCAAGCAAAAGATCGACGTGAGAGGAGTTTATAAGGTGCCGTCGTCCTGGCCTTCCACGCTTCATCATTCCAACGGGCCAGTCCTTTCTTTGAACACATTCGTTCCGGTTTTTACTACCACCTTCACTCTTTACCTTACATTCATTTTTCGTGATCAGGCATCACTAGTATATCCTTGCAAACCAAGTCATTGTACATACCACACCGACGAAACACTTTCAAACTTCAAGATGTTCACCAAGGCCGTTTTCGCAAGCGCTCTCCTTGCCGCCGTCTCGGCTCACCAGAACATGCACCAGCTCTGGGTCAACGATGTTACTCCTGGTTACCAGGTCGGCATCCGGATGCCACCTTCCAACAGCCCCGTTACCGACGTAACCAGCGACGACATCGTCTGCAACGTCAACGGCGCCAAGGTCCCCTCCGGTGTTGAGACCGTTGCTGCCAACGAGGGCGACACCATCAAGGTTCAGTGGGACCAGTCCGGCCACCCAGGTCCTATCACCCACATGCTTTACGGACCCGTCGACGATGCTTCCCAGGCTACCGGTATCGGTGCCGGATGGTTCAAGATTGACGAACTTGATAACGTTGACGGAAAGTGGGCGAACGAGATCATGGGAGCTAACAACATGACCCGCGAGTTTGCTCTCCCAACTGGTCTTGCCAGCGGCGAGTACCTGCTCCGCTCAGAGATGTTGGCACTTCACGGTGCCCAGACTGTTGGCGGTGCGCAGTTCTACATTGGCTGTGCTCAGCTCAAGATCACTGGTACCGGCAGCGAGGGTGCATGCGGACCTACCATTGAGCTTCCTGGTGCCTACAAGGCCGAGGACGACAACATCTACATCCCCAACGTCTACAACGGCTTCGACGTAAGCACCTACAAGGCTCCCGGTGGCCCTGTCGCTTCGTGCGGTGGTGCTGGTGGTGCTAAGCCATCCACTCCTGCTGCTGCTCCTTCCGCTGCCAACTCCACCGTCGCAGCCCCTACCTCCGCTGCCGCTGCGCCTACATCTACTCTCGCCGCCGTGTCGTCCGTCGCTGCTGTTGCCGAGACAAGCGCTCCCGCTCTCCCTACTCTTGCACCCGCCCGCCCCTCGATGAATGCTACCATCCCCAGCGCTTCTCCCGTTGCCCCTACCACTTTCGCCACTCTTGTCCGCCCTTCATCTGGTATCGCAGCTCCCACTGGTGCCGTTCCCTCCGGAACTGCTGGTGCTGCTAAGCTTTATCACAGCTGCGGAGGTATTGGATGGACCGGTCCTACTACCTGTGAGGGCACTGCCAAGTGTGTCAAGCAGAACGACTTCTACTCTCAGTGCCTCAACTAGAGGAGTAATCTCTAGATAGGGTGACTGGGGAATAATGGCGATGGAGACGTGTTGGAAACTATGATTGGGAATACTTTTTTGATGTTCATGTATATACCTCGACTTTGCAATTCTAGTTCATATTACTTTTGTTCAAACGATGTCCTCCCCTGCATCAAAAGTACACTTGCTGCACCTGCTTTTCCCGCCCGTTTGTGCTGACGCGAAACAAAGATGACGCAGCTGACACTCAGCCGCTGCATAGAAGGAAGGAGCGTCTCTGGCTGCTGGCTGAATAGGAGGGAACAAAGAAGTTGTGTAAACCTTGCTTGTCCTGCATATTGATGGTAGGCCTAGCGGCTCCTGACTGCCGCCTTTGGACTTATTCCCCGTCCTTTTTGCAGCCTTGGACGATCGCCTCGAAAACCGAGAGTAGTGCCGAAGGCTGATGGCGTATGAGAGTCGATGTAAGCCTCGACGCGCAGACCCGGCGGAAGACCAACAAGTGGCGGGCTTAGTGCATGTTTCAGATTAACCTTATGTTTCGCAGGCCATGGTGGGCTGTTTGTGCAACCACGGCGGGCAAGTGAACAGCTGGCCTGGAACTTATGGCTGCATATGCACAATCAACATGCCGACGTCATGCGCAGTATCAGCATTGGTGATTCTACGGACTTCAGCTTCAATGGCGGCCAATTATTGAGTGATGGGGCGGGGGTCTAAAGTAGGACGTGTCGTTGTAGGCTGCTCAGTGGCTTCCCCGAAGTTCAAGGCCGCGGCCAGGGTCGTGCTCCACTTCTCTAATTCACCAACCCACGTCGCTGTCCCGCTCCTAATTCCCCATCACCACCAACGACCACCGCTGAGCCCCCGACTTGTTCGCTGACCCCCGAACGATACTACTTTTTAATCTCTATTTTGTATTCAACACCTGCTCGAATCAAAAGTTACGCCGCGTTGACTGCAGCTGCCTTTCAAGATACCATACAGCGACCCTCAATAGCCTACACCGCCAACCCTTGCAAATATGGCGGATAAATCAGAAAGACCCACGAGCTCACGCAGTTCTGATACGGATGGTGTAAGCATTACCCGTTATATCTGGGTTTTGGACGAGGCCGTCGTAGTGCAAGTTTGCTAATATGTATGCGGCGGTGTAGGACAGTTTCGAAGAAGCATCTGAGATTACCCCTCGCCCAGAGTCACAATCCGAACGATCACAGTCACGGTCGCGGTCCCTCCTACAACGAGAGTCCTCCTCTTCAACCGTTCAAGGAGCCAAAGCAGTGTCACCCGCTCCTGCAGTGCCAAAAGTACCCAAAGAGGAAAGCGACGACGACGATGATGATGATGATGATGACGACGATGAGGAGGAGGATGAAGACGACGACGAAGAAAGTGACGATTCGGACAGCGAAGCCGAGCCCAAGGCCACGGAGAAGCCTACGGAGAAGCCCACCGAGAACGCACCCGCAGTCAAGTCACCACTGCTCACCGGACACAGAGTGTCAGTCACGTCGGACATGGACGACGTGTCGTTAGATAGCGGTGAGTACATCTACTCCGCTCGGAACAAAGCCTATGTGATGTGTGCATGTTGGGCGGTTCATGCTTGCAGCGCAGGAGCGTTCTGCACCCCTTCACTGGCCCCACCCACATACGCGTCTGCATACGTGAATATATGCTGGTCGCAAGACTCAAGCTAACGTTCTACAGAAGGCTCCAAGGCCCCTGGCATACTCCCAAAACTACCACCACGAGACTCCCGAGATTCCACAAGTTCCGCAAGCGGACTACAAGGCCTCTCTGGCAGGATGTCACCTGTAAAATTTCCTCCGCCGCCCGCACCACCGGCTGTACAAGAGAAGCCCGCGCCAGCACCACCAACGGCTAGAAAACTCACAGGCCCCTTTGCGTGGCTTTCGAGGAATAGCTCTAGCAAGAAACCCGAATCTCCGCCGGCGGCTACGACAACTGCAGAGCGACGGAATACTGGAGCGTCTATTGCAACCATCGGCAGTAACCCTGAGCTCACTTTGAGCAGGATCGAAGATGAAGGAGAAATGGGCTCAAAGAACAGAACAAGCCAGGGCAGCCTGCGAGATCGTTTCAAAATTCTGCGAATGAGGGAAGAGGCGGGCATAACACTGAGCGATGAGACAGGCGCAGATGGCAGTCCAGCAGTGGCTTTAGCATCGCCGGGCATTGGGCTCGGCATTGCCAGTCCTACGCCTATATCTGGAGAAGAGCCAGGAAGTCCTCCAGCTATCGTAAAACAACCTACGATCAACCCGAAGCTGGCCCCGGGAACTGCATCTGGATTCGCCGCTGGCCCGGCGGGAGACATAGCCGAGCCTGTAGATTGGGACCTCTGGCAATCAGTGGTCAATGAGGGCCCAGCAGCGATTGCGCGCACCAGCCCTGAAGAACTAAACCGCGCCATCGCAAATGGTATCCCTCAAGTCATCCGGGGAGTCATTTGGCAAGTGCTTGCGCAAAGTAAGAGCGAAGAGCTGGAGAGCATGTACAGGGAACTCGTAGCTCGTGGAACAGACAAGGAATTCATGAGCGTCAGCGCCAGCGCTAGAACGAGTACCCTCAGCAATGCGAACACCAATGGGAACGGCAAGGAATCAGTCGCTTCGTCCTCGTCTTCTGTGCACTCCGACTACTCGAGTCCGGCTACAACAGCTGCTAGTACCACTGCGCCATTAGGCTCACCGTCACTCACATCAGAGAATGAAGATCCAATGAAGACGCAAGCAAGGCTTGCGGCGGAAAAGAAACAAAACACCGCCACGATCTCGAAACTAGAGAAGGTCATCAAGCGCGATCTGGGAGCGCGCACGAGCTACTCCAAGTACGTCATGGCAGCTGGTTTGCAAGACGGTCTTTTCGGCATTTGCAAAGCCTATGCTTTGTACGATGATGCTGTCGGCTACGCCCAAGGCATGAACTTCATCGCTATGCCTCTACTCTTCAACGTAAGTTCCCATCTACATAATATTCGCGGTTTGCAACTGACTTTGGTAGATGCCCGAGGAAGAGGCATTCAGTCTCTTTGTGACACTGATGAACAAGTATCGCCTGCGCGACCTTTTCGTGGCTGACATGGCTGGACTCCATCTGCACCTCTACCAATTCGAACGCCTTTTGGAAGAGTTTGAACCCGCTCTCTACTGCCATCTTCGCCGGAGAGAGGTCAAGCCACAACTCTACGCTACGCAATGGTTCCTCACATTGTTCGCATACCGGTTCCCGCTACAGCTCGTCTTGCGCATCTACGATCTAATACTCAGCGAGGGTCTTGAATCTGCGATCTTGAAGTTTGGCATTGTGCTCATGCAAAAGAACGCTGAAACATTGCTGGGTATGAAGGACATGTCGACACTGACGACGTTCCTCAAGGAGCGATTGTTCGATGTCTATATCGACAAAGCTCCATCAGCTAACTCAATCCTGGAGAACGGCTTCTTTGGCTCGACAGCTGGCATCGACAAGGAGATCTATCGTGCTGACACTCTCGTGAAAGACGCAGTTTCCGTCAAGATCACGCCAGAGATGCTTAAGCAGTACACTGCTGAATGGAAAGAACAGCAACGCATAGAGAAGGAGCGCGAGACTGAGCTTCACGGACTGAAAGATAAGGTGACGTCTCTGGAACAGAAGGTCCGGTCACTCGAGCATCGCGCTGAGCAGTCCGATATGGAGCATGTTCAGGTCGCTTCTGAGCTCATCAAGACTAAGGTCGAGAACGAGAACCTCGCCGACGAGAACGAGACGTTGAAGACAAAGGTCGAAGAGCTGCAGAAGATCGTCGACACCCAACCCGCAGAGGTCGAGGCAAGATTGAAGAACGAAATGGAGACTGTCATGCAAAAGAACATCGTCGTCCACAACGAGAACCGCAATCTAGAAGACTCAATGGCTGAGATGGAGAAAGAGTTGGTTGACGTCAAGATGCAATGGGCTACAGTAAGTTCTAACTTCCCAGCTAGCCTGGTACTGAGCACGGCTAACCAGCATTCCAGATCAACGAAGAGCACGAAGCGCTAAAGCAGAAATGGAACAACATTTCACAGATGATGAAGAAATAAGCTTAGTAGTGGGCTCATATTTGCATCGAAGGCGTCGGGCTGATTTGCATACAGCATGCAGGCGCCGCCACCCATTGGGGATCAGATCTATTCTGTCGCGTCGATCGCCCTTTAATTCGCTTCTAATGTCTATATACACGTTCGCCCCGTACAGGAATATTCCTAGCGGGGCTTTGTTGCGCGTCTTCCTTTGGCATCGTCAGTTTCGCATCACTATCTATACTGGTGGCTTAGTAGGACGGAAAAAGGCACTTTCGATTAGATACGACCACAGTTTGAAGAACTTGCATGGCACAGGAGCAAGGTGTTTGGATGGCGGTGATTGGATTAGCATATGTCTATCTCTATAGACCCATGGAAAGGAGTTTCTCACTGTGTTGTGTTGGCCTGTAGCATCTTATGCTGGGAGTCGAGTTGGGTAGATCATCAATAGAAACGCAATATTGAGCAAACCTGTTCAGGCGGCTACATGCTTGTTGTCAGCGAATGGAACCTCGCCACGGCTATCAAGGTCAAAGTTAGTATCTTTTTTTCGATACGTAAGCCGTCTAGCACCGATGGACAGCCAGTCTATACCTGATCAGGTAGCCACAGTGAAGCACTAGTGTTCGCTTATCTTATCGTGAACCCTGCAGAAAAAGTTACCCAACCCCACAGTCCTTTCTGCAACTCATATCGACGTCCATTCAATCACAATTCAAGATGGCTGAACAAGCAACAGAAGAAGATATCCTCCTTGCCAAGCGCATCATCTCAGCGGCGGAGCGTCATGATGTGCCAGCGTTGAACATCCTGCTCAAGGATGGCTCGGCAAACGTGCAAGATCCCACAGCAACAGTATCAACATCACCGCTCCACGCGGCAATCGCAGCGTGTGGCAAAGCCGAGGATGGGAAAGAAGCCGGCGATGCTGCGGTTCAGACCGTAGAGACCCTCCTACAGAATGGTGCCATCTGGAACGACCTTAACAAGGAGGACGAAACACCAGGATGCATTGCTCTCCGCCTAGGCCAAAAGAAGATTTACGAGATGATGGTAGAAGCCGGTGTACGCGCCGAGATTCTCTTTGCTCGGCTAGAAGCGCTCGGCATGGGCGACAACGACGTAGAAGAGGAAGCCGATGAGGAAGAAGACACGGAGCAACCGGCCGCCAAAAAGCAAAAAGTGTCTACCGAAGATGCCAAAGCCGTGGAACAAGTCGTCGAAGAGAAAGTTCTCGACGACGTCTCCCTGGACAACAAAGCCTACATCAGAAGCCAACTCCGCTACAAACCCGGCATCTTGCTCGACGAATCCGATAATGCCGTTATGATGGACTGGGAAACTGAAATCATGCAACGCCATGCCGAGACTCTGATTCCTAAGAAGGGACTCCGCACCATGAATGTAGGCCACGGAATGGGTATTGTGGATACTGCTATCCTCACGCACGACCCGGCGGAACACCACATTGTTGAGGCGCATCCACAGGTGCACCAGCGCCTCCGTGAGCAAGGCTGGTACGACAAGCCCAATGTCAAGATTCATGAGGGACGGTGGCAAGACGTCCTGCCCAAGTTGGTGGAGCAGGGTGTTGTGCTAGATGCGATTTACTACGATACTTTTGCCGAAGACTACAAGGCGCTCAAGGAGTTCTTCGCTGAGTATGTGGTGGCGCTGCTGGCCAAGGATGGCAAGTTTGGCTGGTACAATGGGCTTGGTGCTGATCGCCAGATCTGCTATGATGTTTACACAAAGGTATGTCTATTTCAAAGTCTACATTTGGACGGAGGCGGTGCTAACGTCAGGGCAGGTTGCTGAGATGGACCTGTACGAGGCGGGTTTCGATACTGAGTGGGAGGAGATTAACGTGCCGTCTGGTCTGCACGGAAGTGATCAGTGGGAGGGAACGAGGAGGCCATACTGGACGATTGACGTTTACAGGTTGCCTGTGAACACTTTCGTCAAGTAATGGCGATGCCACGCCTAGCTTTGACAAGGCACGAGCAAGAAAGGCATACGCTCGAAGTACTGCAGTGACGATCTATGCATTGATGTCTTTGTTGTAGCGATATCTAGCTACACGGCTGGGAAGTCGTCAGATGTTCTAAATATATCTCGTAGCGGGCCACCACAACAAGCGGAACCTCACTTTAGTAGGAAAAGATACTACGCCGAAGAGACGGAAGCGCCTTCTAGCGTCACACCCCTATATTGCCAGTATCCCTACAAATCTTCGTCTTCCATTCTCACGTCCAATACCCGACCATCCAATTCCCGCCTATGGAACGTAGCAATAATGTTCTCCGCATTCTGCTGAGTCGCCAACTGCAGTTGCACAATCACTGGATCGCTTCCCATAAGCCTTCTCCCGATTACTTGCGCCCCGTGACGGTTCATGACAGCCTCTATGTCATTGATAGTCGTGCCTGAGACGAAACCACGAGCGACGATCGTGTAGGGTCCGTCCGTAGGGAAACTGGCGGGCACTTGCTGCACTTGGCTAGTTCCCTCGCTGTTGCGATCTACTGGTGGGGTAACAGTATCGGAGTCGAAAACTTCGGACTGGTCATCTACAAAACGACCTTGTTGGATGCCTTCTTCCTTAGTGATGATGTGTTCGCCTTCGTAGCCATGCCAAGGGTCGACGTTGTCCTCATCATCGGAATGCAGAACCACAGGTACCATGTCCTCTTGGATTTCTCGGACATCAATCTGATCTTGTCCAACCCTAGCGTCGGCTGGTACCTCATCCTCATCTACTGGATCGGTAGGTAACTGTGTAGTCGGGGCATCTTCAAATAGTAGATCTTCGTCCTGGCCCTCGCGATTCTCATCAGCCTCATCCTGTTCATCTTCCCAAGCATCGCCATCATCACCAAATTCTTCTGGGGGCGGGGGCGGAGGTTGGGGGGCAAACTGATCGAATGTGATGCCCTGGGTCTCGAACAGTGTAATACGAAACTGATCCAGGGCATCTTCGCGGGGCCCATGAGGAAGCTGGTTGATCATGGCGCGCTGATCAGGAGTCAGGTGTTGCAGGACTTCCCATTCGGGATCCTCGCCCTCATCGTCTTCACCTTCGCCCTCATCGTCGTCGTCATCCGCCTCGTCGTCTTCTTCACGACGACGGATCATTTCTTGACGACGGGTGAGACCCTCTCGGTTGAGACCGCTATCTCGATGGTAACCGTCCTGGTTGTATCCCTCCTCGTCGTAGACGGCGGGCCCATAATGCGGACAGCCGTGCAGACCGGGCCAGTTCTCTCCGCAGACGTAGCAGAATGAGTTACCACATTTACAGGTGATGTGATTGCATGCCTCGGCCAACTCTACAGTCGTGCCGCAGACGAAGCACTCTTGGTAGCCCTTCTCATCGACTGTTTGCTTGAACTTCTTTTCGTCTTCATTGTGTTGGCACTCATGGTTCTGGGTACCCTGGTCAAGCAAGGCCCTGCACTTGACGCAAGTCAACTTCCCGCATCCTTCAGCCTCGCAGATGGCGTATGTGATCTTGGTCTCTGGATCCTCGGCTTGCGATCCGGAATGTAGGAATTTCCCGCAAGTTAGGTTTGCGCAGTAGATGCGGAATCTGTCAGAATGTTAGCTCTGGATGTGTCAAGTGTGGGTTGTATTCGTGTAGTACTTACTTGGCTAAGACGGAATACTCGCCCTGCTGCTTCATTTGATATGCCCACGCCGTTTCGAATGGCACGTAATCCTCATAGTCTTCCAACATGAACATGGTACCGCAGCACTGTGGCGGGAACAGGCTCTCATCGTTTGTCGCGTTCTCGAAGAAATTTCCGATATCGTCGGCGCAGACCCAATGTCGACCGCAGGGTGCTTCGAGAAGTAGTTCGCCTTCGCTCTCCTCAGTGCCGCAGATTACGCAGCTCTTAGACATGATGGCGGCTATAGATAATGCAAGATGTGTATCTCTGGCGATCGAGGATGGTAATAAGAGGGGCGGACTGGTTCCTGTAGTCGGTTGGTAAGTTGAACCTTGGGTAGATTAAGCTCGGTACCAATGTAAAGGACCAGGTGTGTGGGGATTATGTAGAAAGAAGGGAACTGGCGGTAGGTGAGGCAACTAGCACTAGCGTTTGAGCTCTCAGATTCACTGTAAAGACAGAGGGCGAAGGGTGAATGTTTACAGAGTAAGGTCCTACTCTGAGGTTTCGGGAAGTATATGGGAGTCGGATAATTTAATCAGAGTACGCAAGGGAATGGCAACGCAGAATCAAATTCAGTGAAACAAGGTTAAAATATCAACTAGGATTTCAGGAATCTTTGAGCGATACCTCGAGGTATGTACTTCCCAACATCCATGCTTGAGATACCTATAGCGGGATGGCTGCAGGCAGCCATCGGCGGGCCTCGAGATTTGACTCGTAAAGCCATGTGTGCAGCCTGGCTAGATCCACACATATATAGTAAGGTCTCGTACTATTCAGGCAGAGTCTGTATACGAAGTGGTGTAGGGTCAGGGCTCAAGCTCTGAGGCGATGAATGTGTGGTGAGGGCATGTACGCGGCTCCATCCCGAAGTTTCGGGCGGCTCCCTCGTGCACGGCCGCACAATGATCCTCGTGAATCCTTCCGACTGTAATGTGCAGCATTCCATCATCAACGCCACATCCTGTCTCGCACATGAAAACCAATCAATGTGTCACATTGGATCGTATTGGGTTGCACACTACGAATGCGATCATTCCGAGTCGATTCCTCTAGTCGCTGGTAGGTTTCTGGAATGCTGCATGTACGGATTTATGGAAGAATCTATTAAAGGCCGTATACATTCATGAGCTAAGAGTAGCCCAGGTTAATATGTTATATATACAAGAAGATTATGAGTATATACTGTGCTTTAAGTATGGCACATACGTCCGTCCTTGCTGACGTTCCAAGCTTCACTACCAACACCCTTGAGGATGTAGAATATGTCCTTGGGGTCGTACTTCTTCTTGATGGCCTTCAGCTTCTCGTAGTTCTCACCAAAGAATGTGCTCTGCCAGTTTGGCTGCTGGAAATCAGCTTCGTTCAGGTACGACCCACTGCCCGGTGTGATCTTTTCGATCTTAGGCATAAGCTCATTGGTCATCTTCTGCTGGGCGGCTTCCATGTTGGCCCAAGGAGCGGTGGAGTCCCAGTTCGTGATAAGTTGCAGCTGAATCATGGCGTTCCTCCATGCTGGTAGTACACCGTTGTCGGCGGATCCCTCAGGCTTTTGGTAGTTAGCCGAGCTACCAGCAAGCAAGACACCTTCGGCAGCAAGTTCTTGGTAAACCTTGACAAGCTCTGCAGTGTTGTTCTCCACCACATCTCGGGGAATAAGACGGCCGCCGAATTGATATCTGTTGACCTCATATGCTCCACGTGGGAGGGGTCCCATGTAGCGATCGAAGTGGTCGCGGTAAGACAACTCGCTGTAGACAATCGGCGGCGTAATGCCAAGATCTGTAAGAGCTTTGGCATAAGGCGCAAGTACAACGTCCTTGACATACGCGGCTGTTGAGTCCCAAACAGTGACGGGCTTGATTACGATGTACTGAGTGCTGACCAGAAAGACGACCATGGCGCCGGCATCGATCATGCCGGGTAGGAGCTCGAGAAGCTTAGCAGTTGCTGCGGCGTACTTCTCGGGAGTGGTAGATGACGCCAGGAGTTGCATAGCAGCACCACCGACCTGCTTGGCTGGGTATGCTTTTACGGTCATTGAAAGGACGACGGCATATGTGCCACCACCACCTCCACTTAGAGCCCAGTACAGGTCAGCGTTTTCGGTTGCTGAGGCAGTGAGCATCTTGCCCTCAGCAGTAACGACCTACAAAGACATGGTTAGTCGTGCTCCTCACTGCTTATGATATAGAGCTTCTCACCTCGAAAGACAAGGTCTGGTCAGCACCAAGACCGAAGGCAGTGCTGAGAACGCTATGGCCACCACCTTGGGTGAAACCACCTGCCAGCCCAACCGTGGCGCATTCGCCAGACACAACGGTCATGCCTTGCTTGTGTACTGCCTCAAGCAACTCGTTGCCCATGACACCTGCACCAACCGTGACCGATGGGCCAGTGTAGTATTTATCCGACCAGTCACCAAAGGTGATGCTCTTGAGACTTTGCGTCCAGATAGCAAGAGCACCGGCTCCGGTAGAGCGTCCAAGAAAGTCATGCCCAGTGTTGCGAACAAGAACACGGATGTTCTTAGTTTTGGCAAACTCGAGAGCAGAGATGACATCGGCCGCCTCAGTAGCTTTGACAGAGTATGAAACGTAGTTGCCAAGAGTGCAAGGGATGCTCCTATCGGAGAATGGATCGCAGCTCTGGTTGGCGAAGTACGATTGCATGATGGAATGGGAGGACGGGGTGCTGCCAAGGCTATTAGAGTTCTGTGCAAGCATGTTCACGGAGCTCGTGCACTTACTGCGTTAGGGGGTTCGTCCATTGTGCCTTCAATGCGTCGCAAGCATCGGCATCGTACGTCGGATCGTGACAAGGTGACCCGATAGGAACAGTGGCTACGAGCTTCCCATTGACAGTCGAGTTCAGTGTCGACCAAGCCTTAATGGATGGCCACTCAGGGTCGCTTGGCAGACGGTAACACTGCTTAGTGTCTCCACGAGGAGCAAGAAGTAGAGTCCCAAGGAGCGCTGCGTTGTCGACGAGTCTCATGTTGCTGGAAAAGTACTCGATGGTAGTGATGGATACCAAGAGCCTTGCCCTGGCCCTCATATATACTCATTGCTCCCCTTCGTATTCTTTTCGCGTTGCCACGAACTATTCTTCTCATCTCGGAGACCATCTCAAAGAAGACGCTTTAGCAAATGTATGCTTCCTCTTGTAGGATGCAGCGCCGACAGTGTCCACTTGAGACACTGTGCCACAGCGGACATCACAGCAAGGTATAGCCTTGCACTGGGCTGGAAGCCGGCGAAAACCTCGTGCGGCAATCCATGGCCGCAGGCGCGGTGGCTCTACTGCAGGGCATGGTGGGTCAACACATCAATGGGGGGATTCAACCGGGTCGCCTAACGCTTGGGGGTGGGCCCTCAGCCACGGGATTCCTGCTAGGATTGGGAGTCGTGAAACCATGGGATTCAAATGTGAGCGGTAGGGTGGAGGGTCAGGAACCGGACACACGCGCACATCTTGGCAAGCGTTCGTCGTCTTAGTACGTTCGGAGTAGACGCTCGTTTCGGCAGTCGCGAAGCGAGCACAACTGTCCAGGTGCGCACCGAGCAACGATTATCGCACTGATCAACTCCACGTGCTCACCCGCCTCTACTCTTGCGCCATGCTTATCATAACTCCTTTGGTCACATCTTTGAGTACCCAACACTCTTCTTCGTTGACCGTGGGATCGTGGCGGCCGTCGATCGCATGTTGCGGTGGCTGTCGGCTGTCGCACATGGCGTTCGCCAGCCCATGACACACCGGATCGCTCCCCACATATCGGAACGGCTTGAACACGACAAGACCCCTTTCTGAATGACATGCCGCCAACTTTAGTTGATGTAACTTCCGAGCCATTACGCGCCAGCACTTGTTAACAAAGTTTGCGCTATTGAAATGCCATGGTCGGGTAGGCTTCTGCAGCCGGCAATCCACACCGATAGAGGTAGTTACCTTGATAGACACGACTCGCGGGTTTCAGTCCTGGGACCTTACAAGAGACACACTATAAACTGCATGAGTAAACCCTGCGCACATCATATTCTAGGAACACCTTCCGTTTCCAGGCGGGGGATAAATGGTAGTACCTGTCCCGCTGTCGATTTACTTGAGGCTCTTTTTCGATTTTTTGCCTACCAGCTACAAATCCGGAATTTAGTCCTCCCCGTACTTGGCATCCGAACTGTCGGGAGGTGGGAGCATCAGCATGATTTCTTTTCTTCGTACATGTAGCCTGCTGTGGCTCGTTACCGGCTTTATGGTCACTGCAGCACAGCAGACTACTCCGTCCAAGCTTCCGGCATGCGCTGTAAGTAACCTCCACTTATCGAACCTCTAATTCGTTATAAGTTCCTTGCTGATAGCTGTAGCAACTCTGCCTCAAGAGCGCTTTCGGTACAAACACCTGCGCTCCAACAGACCAAGCATGTATCTGCTCGAATGAAGTCTTCCAGAATAATGTAACGCTGTGTGTGAGCACCAGCTGTACCATCCCCGAAGCTTTAGGTACTTTTATCCGTCCTGATGGAAGAGAACAGACGACTGACCAGCATGAAGCTACACGAAACATCAGTCTTACCAACTGCGGAGCACCAGTACGCCATCGCGGAGAACACTATGTAACGTTATCCAACGCCATGGTATCCATAGCTGCCGCCTTCGTGGTGATTCGGTTCACCTTCAAGGCCACCGTATCAAGACTCGACTTTGGCTACGACGACTGGTGCGTCCTTGCGACACTCATAGCCGCTATACCCAGCGCCATTATCACTGTCTTTGGCACCGTGAAGAATGGCCTCGGTCAAGATCTCTGGGCCTTGACGCCGACGCAGATTACCCAGATGCTGCAATACTTTTACATCATGGCGTGGCTATACTTCCTCCAGCTCACGCTACTGAAGCTCACGCTGTTGTTCTTCTACATTCGCGTGTTTCCCAGCAAAGAAGTCCAGCGACTGCTATGGGGCACGGTCATCTTCACCGTATCATGGGGTGTTGCATTCATCATCGTTGCGGTATTCCAATGCCGACCCATCCACTACTTCTGGACGAAATGGGATGGTATGCACGAGGGCACTTGTCTAGAGATCAACGCCATCACTGCATCGAACGCTGCCATATCGATCGCATTAGACTTTTGGATCTTGGGTGTGCCTCTTTGGCAACTTTGGGGCTTGAAGCTACACTGGAAGAAGAAGGTTGGTGTAGCACTGATGTTCTGCGTCGGAACTTTCGTTACAATCGTCAGTATTCTGCGTCTGCAGGCTCTGGTACACTTTGCCGCTTCGTCCAACGTAAGTTGGGAGTTCTACGACGTCTCAGTCTGGAGTTCGATCGAGATTTGCGTTGGTATTATGTGGTAAGTTCTCTTGTCTCGATCATTATTTGGCATATGTTAACCTATCTCCCAGTGCTTGCCTTCCAACACTCCGTCTCCTCCTGGTCAGACTCTTCCCCATCCTCAGTGGTTCCTCAGCACGCAGCCGTCAACAATACTATAATTACGGTAGTGGCAACGAACTCAGGAACGTCAGCCAAAAACAAAAATCCTACAACGTCAACACTGCTGTATCGAGTCCTCGAACTGAATCTTTCGATGACAAGATAGAAGACGGCATTAGGGTCAAGACCTCATACATGGTCAAGCATAGTCACAGCGGAGGCGATACAGATGAAGCGAGCCTGGTAAGCTATGAGGGGCAGCAGAGGCGGTAGGGCCGAGATTAGGCGTGCGCATCCAAATGTAGTTTAAATGAAAATGATGTCTCCCACCACCTGACGCTCGTCGTATACACATTCATATCCCATGAATGTCTGCAACTGCAGCTGCCGAAACCTTCTCAAGACGGACTTCATCCTTCAATATCTCCTCGCTGAACGTAACTTCCCATCTGGGTGGTAACTGCCGTGATCGACATGCTCTGAAGCACCTACCTCTGGTTTTCTGGGTTTGCCCATCGAAGGGTAGTGCAGATCACCGGAATATCACCGATGACCCTCGTGGAAGATCACGCTAGTGTGACAGGTCCACGTGTCAGCGATCTCTGTAAGCGACATCGCGAAGAATTCTAATCGAAGAAAAGTTGGCCAGCTTCTTTCAGGCAACCATCCTCAATACTGTTGTACCCATAGCATGATTCAAGTCGTACCCGCCATGATCGAAAGCATGACGAAGCTACAACAGGTAGTCACGATGGAGAAGAGCCAATGAGTCGCAAGTTTGCGATAGTTCGTGGTTGCGGAAGCTTGTGAGGCACGAATTATAAATGTGGGACCGAATATTTGATTAGCCGAGATTCGGCTATCCGCAGACGGAGACTGCTAGCAAGTGCTAACTATTACTAGCGAAAGCACTTGGTTTCTGCGAAGTTGAGTATTGTGAGGTACAGGAGAGCTTACTCGACATCAGGCTGAAGTTATGCTTGACGTAGACCACTGAATCGGCCAACTTTCCAAGCTTTTCCCTCTCACCAGTCCATTGGTTGCGTCTTGATGATGGCTTGCTTGTCCCGTTCTTTTGGAGTCGAAAGTACTAGAGGAGATGTGGCTGGCAGTGGCGCGTGCGTTGCCATTACGTTACGATGGCTGGGAACGACCTCAAGGGTGCCGCCCTTGACAAAAAAAGGCGCTTGCCGACTCTGCACTCACAACTTTTTGGTGGATGATAAGTATACCTTGCGATGCACAGTTCTTTCATAGGCACAGTGATGTGGAAGAATCCCGCGCATGCCATACGGCACCCACTGCGTATGCTCAATACTCGAAGCGTTACATCTTCTCCATGGAAGAAAGTCTTAATATTCCCGTTGTCAGTCTCACTAAAATACCTCCAGTAGCACCACAGGCGAGAACTCGAGCCAGTCGTTCCACTCTATCCCTCGCGTACCCTGGCGACTTTCTACGGTAAGCGCTACAGGCTTCTTCACCGTCATATGACTTCCCGACAGTGGCTTGAGAAACGCGTCTTTAGCATCATATGCCAGAATAGCAGGGCCCACCCCTTCTGATGGCGTAGTTCCTATAGGTTCGGGAGCGTTTTCCAGGCTCTCAAGCGCCTCAGCATCAATCACTACACCCCGATCTCGTCTGGGACCACATTTTTCTTCAACCGGAATATCATCGTGGATCTCAGGAGGTCTAGGCTCACGCATTCTCCCTAGGTTTGCTCTCTGAGCATAGTGTTGGCGGAAATGCTTGCAGATGGCATTGAGCGGTGCGCCAAGCATATAACAAGCGGGCTCGAGACGTAAAGTACCTATCAACATTTGATTGTATGGCGTTGAGTCAGAGTAGTACAGGCTGTCGGCTGCGTGAGCGTGGGCATGGGCACTTACCTGCTCACTCACCCGTTGTCTTGGCCTTGTCTTCATCGTCATCTGAGTTGTCCTGCGCTTGTGGGCGCGTGTAGGTGCCTTAAATGAAGAAGCTCCAAGTCGGGTTGGCCCATTCACTACCATTCTGCAAGAAGTTCTTACGCACTCTGTTCTTGTAAGCCGATGGAGACATGCTGGGCCGTCCTTTCTTGCGCGTGCGATCGTTAGCAAGACTCAAGAGTTAAGTGTGCGAAGACCACCTCTTTGCACTGTCATGAGGGCGTTGTCAGCTCAACGAAGAAGAGTAAGTGCCCTTTGGCTCAGACTGCTGCCGGCTTTATCTTGCGTGGTTATGCTGTCGGCTCAACACTACACATCATCACGACCAGTGCGTATTCACGGTTATGTCCGGGCTTTATCGCATCAACTGTTGCTAGCGCAGCATTCAGGTTAGCTATGGTCGTGGAGATATCGCGTGTTGAAGGGAGGCGGCGGTGGTTGTAATGTTGGTGATGACAATCAAGTTCAGGGCGTTGCTCGAGATCGGGTCGCCCCGAATCAAGCCTCGGCATCCCACGGCGCTACGTTGTGGTGTAAGCTGTCTGGTGAAATCCGCAATTCAATGCAGATGGATGAAAGACATGTCGTGCCTGAGCTTACGCATCAAAGATCTGGTTCATCAGAGTTTAGTGTCGCCGTTGTTTTGTCTTGGTTCGGCGGGCGTGTCTTGGGTGACTTTCTCGAAGCGTCCATCGTCAGAGCTCAGCTTTAATATCGATTATTTGCCGGTAAGCTGTCAGCTTTGTCACATAATATTCTTTCTGCAAGTACAATCTACATACTTCCTAAATTCTGCCATACCAATTCACAACTTAAGGAAGACTGACGGCAATTTTCCGTTTCTGTGATCGATATCTACAGGTATTCTTGACAGTGTCAGCTGACGAGCAACTTCACCCAACTCACCCGTGATGATGTTCGCATGAATGTTACTGTGATTTGCAAAGTCATCGACACAATTATTACCAGTTTGTAGAAGAATTCTTTTGGTAGTCTTGACAATGCCTTCCGTATTCGCGTCGCTTCGAAACTTTGGACGAAGCTCTTGCTCAGAACAAGAGAGTGAAGTGGAGAATAGCCCTGCATACTCAGATGTTGAGATCAGTTTGGGCTAAAACAGACGCCGTAGTAATAGTCTGCCCACACACTCGATCCATTCTAGGTGTGCCCATCCATGCATCGTACCAATATTTGGTGTATCGAGCTTGCCATTCAGCGACTACGATGCTTCCTGCTGTCGCCAGCTGTATGCAGGGTACTATCGAGAAGAAGCGCAGTGAGCATCACAAAGCAGAAGGAAGTTTCTCATTTCGGAAACACAAAACTGCGCTCAACTACGGAAATCACGTATAAGTTCAAGCCAGACTCCGCTCTTATTATTCTTTCCACCACAGCATCCACACTACTCTTCAGCCCAGCAACACTAAGACGCCTTCAGCATTCAATATGCAGTTTATCACAATCGCTGTGGCTCTCAGCCTTTCCTCGGTCGCCCTTGGCGCCGCCATCGATGTGGAGAAGTCAGCATCCTTCGACCGATGGCAAAGAGATATACGCTAACTATAGACACTAGGCGCGCAACTGGCCACCTCTTTATGTGCAACGACATCAACTTCCAAGGACAATGCCAGAACGTCCAGTTTACTACTGGCTCTTGCAGTACGATGTTCCTAGCAGCGACAATACTTTTGAAGACGCTACTTACAAGTACTCAGTTAACATCGATCCTCCTTTCAATGACGGTATCAGCTCCTTGGGCCCGGACGGCTTCTCCTGCACCATCTGGAAGTAAGTTCTCGAATGCTTGAACTTCTGTGATTGTTACTTGGCTAATTAGGTGGTAATAATAGGGACAGCGGTTGCCAGGGTACGTCCGTTTCGGGCATCATCAGCCCCGGCATCACGGACTTGAGGGACTTCAACTTCAACGACCAGATGAGCTCTTTCAGATGCAGTTAAGAGCCAAGATCAAGACATATCGCTAGGATAAGATGGCAGTAATGTTGGAGTAGAGCCTCTTTCCAATCTTCTACTCATGGCCCAGTGGAAGCGTTGATTTCCTTCGTTTCGAGGTTGTTCTAGGGGATTAGTCCTTTGTTTGAATGAAACACATTAGACCGGTCTTTACAATAATGCCTTTGCGCGATAGACAGATATTCCAATTACTCTCCTTTTCGATACTCTACGAAAGCTGTGCACTCTCACTCAAGCCCCCAAAGTCTCCTCAAGTCCGCCGCTCTATTACACGTCCTCCACCCAGTCTCACGTTCGATCTTTGCAAGATGCTTCAAAAGTGAAAGCTTCTCCGCTGCATAACACACGTCGTCTGCACCGTCGCTCTCATCTGGTAGTCGCAAGGCATCCTGCTGTATGTCTGAACCACAACCAAATGCTTGCCCAGCGATGTAAAGAAGCTGTACGTGGTTCACCCAGTTTGCATGCGATGCATTTGTTGCACTGATGCCGCATAGCTCTCTTGCGTGCCAGACAGGGTCGTATACGTCAGTCCCAGTGTCCGCTTCGTCACAACATACGAGTTTCGTCCGTAGTAACAGGATGGCGCCTGCATGGTAGAACGTGTTACCGCATGCTGATGAACTGCCAGTGTGCACAACGGTTGGGAACAGGCTCCTTTGGTGTACTTCCGTTCTGATAAGAGGTAATACTTGCCTAGGACGGTGATGTCGCCAATCCTGGAGTTCACTCCACAGTTCTTGCACGTCAGACCGACGTTTATCGTAATTTTTGGCGACCATGTTAGTTATCTTCGCAAAGATAAGAGTGGTAAGATTGCAGTAAGCGTCGATATTTGCAGTAGCTGCAATTGACTGTGCATTGTCGTCGTCAACCCAATTGGCGGTTGGTATCAAAGTCTGTTCTTTGAGAACAAAGGCAGCTGACACGTCTAAAGATAAATCAGTAAGAGTCAGTGACTCAATGTGGTCCCAATATACCTATACGTGCGAAAGCCCAGAAACAGGCGTTGACTAGTCCTGGGCTAGAGCCATTCCAGCCTTTGTTGGTCAAATTGAAGACACAGCCCTGTAGATGACGTCTTCCGTCGCTGAGGTTAGAAGCCATCATTTCATAGAGACTCAGCAGGATGCAAGTGACTAGTGTGGCCTGACCACACTGGGATGGTTCATAATGGAGTAGGGACTGCACGGCGTGCTGATATAGGCTCAGTGTAGTTTGACGCTTGTCGTTACGGAGGGCGTCAAGCTGCCGTGATGCCAAAGCCATTGCTGCGCCTGCAAATGGCTGGTTCTCCATGAGCTTATGGACATATAATACTGTGAAGTGTCTGCTAGAGTCTGTAGCCTCGCACCATGTGCCCGTTTCTTGAAGATATGCGCTGAGGAGCCGAGATTGTTCCGCCTGTGATACAGGCACGATATCAGTTTCCGATGACACAGCGCCAGTAACGGTTCGGTGAGGCAGGGTTGAGGAGGTCGATGTATTTGATGATGAAGCATTTCCTTGGTACGTTTGATCGTTCCAGGTTGACAAGGGAAAAGCAACACCACCACTTTCCGCAAAAGCTTGACTTTGAGAGGTTGCAAGAGGACTTATCGCGAAGTTCAGATCCGACACAGTCGATCTCGATGAGTTCAGTCTTGAATCGGCGTACTCTGCAATAGTGTCTTCTGACCAGGGTGCGGCCGCCCTCGTCCTCTCAGGCTCTATAGATGCAGCAGCGGAAAAGTCCTGATACTCGTGTACTATCTGATAGGTATCGTCCACAATCTGGATACTGTCGGCTTGCGTGTCAGGTTGGCCTCGTTCTCTTTCGACAGCAAGCAGTGCAGCGCAGTGCTCGCTGGATAATTCTAGCGCTCTAGACGGATGGAATGTCACCTTCAGACCCCAACGACACTCATCACCGCGAACCTGGCAACCACGACACCTTGGCTGAGCTCCATCACCTAACAAAAGTCAACGAAGAGGGAAAGAAGAGCACCGGAGACGAACGCACACTTCCGCCTTCTGCGACGACAACACAAGCTTCAGCTTGCAATCTCAGCGTTGTGACAGGGACTGATGACGTCGTTTCGAGCTTACCATCCTAATCGAGACCGTTTTCGACTGGTTTGCGTAACAATACGTGCATTGCCTATCATGGGAGCGATATTTGCAATGACGCGTTATGTCATGTAGGAGGGAAAGTGGAAGCGCTGGGGTTAGTGGAGGAGTATTGGTAAGCTCGAGAGTGCTTCGACTTGCCTTGTCACTAGGATCAGAACGAATTGCCGAAGTCGGGCCGTGAAAAAAGGGCAAGCTGAAGCACTCGCCGACCGGAATGGGTCAACGATCAGAATAGGAAAGCAATGTAGAAAGGGCCATTCCTCGCAGCTTTTTTGTGCTGCTCGTACAGGCGTGTCCTGCAGCCAGATACAGCTCTGAATCAGCATGTAGTCCACACACCGCGCGTCTCAATCTAACAGATGACTAAAGACCTGGCGGTTGCAGTTGCACCTTGACGATTTGCATTGGAGCGCACTACAACCGTAATAGATAGATATAAAGGCACACCAACACCACCATCAGTTTGAGTGCACAGTACTTCTTCCGATCTTCCTACGTCTCTCATCATCTTCTATCATACCTTTCACGTCTCAGCTTCTTACACAAACCATTCATCATGACTACACAACGCGTGTTCCGCCTGCCTCAGCGCACATCCATCCAAGACCTCCAAGTCAACGAAGAAAAGGTGCCTGAGCCCGCCTCCCAAGAAGTCCTGATCCGGATCAAGAGCATAGCGCTCAACTTCCGCGACTTCGCCGTTGCTACCGGAAAGTACCCCTTCCCAGTCAAAGACAACGTGGTACCCTGCTCTGACCTGTCTGGCGAGGTCATACGTGTGGGTGACCAAGTTGAAGACTTCGCCGAGGGAGACAAGGTCATCGCATCTTTCGACTTGAAGACGTTGTACGGTGCCATGCCGGATTGGCACCATAGCCTGGGTGGCTGCTACGATGGAGTTCTTCGAGAATATATCGCATTGCCTAGCTCGGCGCTCGTCAAAGTGCCATTGACTAGTGGGCTCAGCTTCGCTCAACTTTCGGCTTTGGTGTGTACGGGTACCACCGCTTGGAATGCGCTTTATGGCAACAACCCTCTGAAACCTGGACAGACGGTGCTCTTTCTTGGTGAGAAGACTTTACTCTGGGCATCACAGCTGTGACTAACAACATTCGTAGGCACCGGTGGCGTTTCGATCACTGGTCTCATCTTAGCCAAAGCAGCAGGTGCTGTTACGATCATCACCTCTTCATCTGACGACAAGCTCGCCCAGGTCCAAAAGACGTACGGTGCCGACTATACCATCAACTACAAGTCGACGCCCAACTGGTCTCAAGAGGTGCTCAAGATCACCAATGGCCACGGTGCGGACTTTATTCTCGAGAACGGTGGAGCTGGGACGATTGCTCAAAGCATTGATGCAGTGGCTTATGGTGGAAACATTGCAGTGATAGGGTTCCTTGCCTCATGTCCACAAGAGAAGATGCCCGATGTTGCAGCACTCGCCCTCTCCAAGGGTGCAATCGTTCGCGGCATCATGGTGGGGTCTAAGCAACAGCTGGAGGATGTCACGCATTTTGTGACTTCTAAGAACCTCAACGTGCCTGTGGAGAAGGTGTTTGGTTTCGAAAGAGAAGACGTCGTTTCAGCTTTCGAGTACTTGGTGTCTGGTCAGCACATCGGCAAAGTCTGTATTGCTGTGAATTGAGAGAGCAGAGGGTCAACATGAACACAATGCGTTCTTACTGTACATACCTCAATATCGCTAGAACTGTATGTAATTTTTGAAAGTCGCTATTTGGACTAGCTCTTATCGGTCCATCTTCCACCACCCTCTCCAGGTCTGACTCCAGCCTTCTTCTCACTACCTGAGAATTTAGCCTCTTCCTCTTCCCACTTCTTCCTCTCTTGTCGTCTCCTGGCTGAGTACGCCCGTGAAAACCTCCAGGCTTCTGTATCTGCCAGGTTCCACTGCTCCACAGCTTCGACTACTAGCTTCATGTTCCTGTCCTTGCTCTTGATAGCGTCGCGTGCCTTCTTCAGGCGCTCTTCCTCCTTCTCAATCCACTTTTCATCTGGTACATCTACACCTTCAATGGGCTTAGGGGGTTCTGGTCGAGGGAAGATGATAACTTCGGACTCGTTGCTCGGTGAGCTGGGCTCGGCAGTTGTAGAGGCATTCTGCGGTAGACCAAATCCAAAAATCCAATCCAAATCGTCCTGGGTGATGCGCTCAGCTGTGAGCCACAATGTATGCGCAGGAGCTGCCGCTACTAGCTCCTTGAACTTAAGTACGCGGAGCTCTTCGGTATGATCACTTGGAATTGATTTATCAGTCAGTTTTTGAATCCACAGATCGCGCTTCGCACTGTTGCGCAAGAAGTTGGTATCTATGATGTCGCGTGTGTAGTGTAACGAAGTAAGGGTATATGGATGCGGAACGGTTCCGATTGTGAAGAACTTGGTTGTATTCACGAACTCGGGGAATTGCTGAAGCTTCATCCCTTTGTTGGCATCGCATGGTTTGCACTTCGGCCGGTTGGGAGGACACGTCTTGGGCATTGGAGAAGCGGGACATTGGGTAAGGTTGCGCGCAATGTCAGTCGTCTCCCGTAAAAGGGCGGTCGTATGCTCTGGCACTGGCTTCACAATGGCTACACCTTCAGGGTGTTGCTCCTGCCACGTCAGATGGAGATGCGAGTTTATGAGAGTGGCAAGTAAGTCCAGGGCCACCGCTTGGGTCGTGTTGGTAAACTTATCGGCGACCGTCTTGTACTTGCTGGAAATGGTAGCCATATTGTAGGATGCGATGCCGTTCGCCTTGTTATCGACATTTATGTCCTTTGCAGATAAGAGATTGACGACTGGGCCGCCCTCCTTGTTAGCCAGCTTCGAGAGCTTGTCCTTGCTTGCGGTAACATTCTTCAGCAGCTCGTTGCCCATGACCTTTTTGATAGCATCGTCAACAGTCATCCGGTCTCCGAAAAACACGGCGTTGTCCAAAGATTGGACTCGTGACAACTTGGGGTACTCATTTCGTCGCAAAAAGCTCAGCATGGGGTTCTCGTACTCGGCCATGGGCAGTGCGAGCCAATTGACAAGAACGCCGCCGCCCATATGTCCCCAAGCCAGCCAGCGCATAACCTCGAATTCAATCTTGGCATCCAGCTTCATGCGCTGGAACAGCTGGTATTGTGGGTGGTGCATAGCTTCAGCCCGGGACAAAACAACGGGCTTAAAGCCTTGTGCCCACCATGCCCGTCGCCATGCGAGGATGAGCCGTTGCTCTGCCGCAGACACATGTTTGTCCTGCTTCTTCGGTACATCATAGTAGGTATAAATCGGGGGTCGTTCGCGTAAGGGAGGTAGTAAGGCGGTGTTCTCATCGAGAGTTACGGCGGAGGAGAAGGGGTTGCGCCATTTGAAGTCACTAAGCCATTCTATGGCACCGTAAGCACTCGCCGTAGTGCTGTTGGCCTGGACAGGTGGCTTGTGTGCTGAGGGGCCGAAAGGTTTAGGTACAGCTGGCAATTCGCCCAGGTCGGGCAGGTGAGCTTGCGGGTGCTTTACAGCATCGGCTACTTCGTCATAGGTAGGCAGGCTGTCGCGTGACGGTGGTCCGTAGAAAGAGAAGTTTATCACGAAGAAGAATAGGACGATGAAGAGGATTTGAAACCTCCTCGGAGGCATCTGCAGCGCAATGGGCCGGCCCATGAAGGTGTGCTGGGTCGGCATGGCACAATTAGGACGTGGAGATAAGGTGAGTAGAAGGCGAAGTATGGCAACATAAGCTCGCTCAGGCTACGACGAGCCGGTATCTGTGGTGGGCCTGAAGTTGCTGCTCCAGCGTAACACAGCGCGCAGGACAAGGGAGCTCAGCTCCACAAGGCGATCCAATCAGCCTCTGGAGCGGCTAAACAATTAAACGAGCGACGGGAAAGCACAACAAAACACGAGTTGCAAGTAATTCCACAAAGCCGGATGACGCGTCGTGGTAAGCGGGCGTTTCCAGTTTGGCGAGAACGAGTTGCAAGGCTAGCGCAGGGCTGATGATGCTCCCCGGACATCCCACGCGCGTCGAGGCTTCGCTAGTGGGGGTCGCCCTAGCCGATGTCGCGAGCATTTTGACTGGATGCGTCATACCTCTTTCTATCCCTCTTGGTATCCGAGACTTTCCTTTTTCCTTTCAAACTTCAATTTTAGAGGCTGTACGAGGACAAACTACATTGTGCCCAATTTCCCTACTTTTTTTCCATTTGACCGCGTTCCAATTGGACATTCCAGAGTTATCTATACGCATGCGCACTCACAACGCGACCCCGCCATATATTTCCCCAAGACATGCAGGAACAAGTACGCGCGACAATGGCTTCTCTTACCAAGGGAAGCATCCCCGATCCGACCGCAGACCTTCACTGGTCTGACTTCAAAGGACCAATCCACGAGATCTTCGCCGGCAATGCTCGCAAGCATCCCGAGCGGCCATGCGTGGTTGAAACCGCCACCAGCAAAACCCCAGAGCGCAACTTCACATACAAGCACATATTCGAGGCTACCTCGGTTCTAGCTCATCACCTTGTGCAAAATGGTGTGCAAAGAGGCGAGGTGGTCATGATCTTCGCCCATCGCGGAGTAGATCTAGTAGTAGCCATCATGGCTGTCCTGGCGGCAGGAGCGACCTTCTCAGTACTAGACCCACTGTAAGTCTAACTCATCACATCCACATGTGTATACTGACATGGATTAGATACCCCCCAGATCGCCAATGCATCTACTTCGAAGTCTCCCAGCCGCGCGCCCTCGTAGTAATTGACAAGGCCATCCGCGAAGCCGGTCCCCTCTCAGAACAAGTCAGGAACTACGTCAAGGACAACCTACAACTCCGGACCGAGATTCCTGCGCTCGAGCTCAAAGATGACGGAACACTCGTTGGAGGCTCAAAGGACGGAAGGGATGTGCTAGAGGAGCAACAGAAGCTCAAAGCCGAGCTCCCCGGAGTCTTGGTCGGTCCGGATTCGACACCCACACTTTCCTTCACTTCAGGATCCGAAGGAAAGCCCAAGGGTGTCAAGGGTCGTCACTTCTCGCTGACACACTACTTCCCGTGGATGGCCGAGACCTTTGGACTGTCTGAGAACGACAAGTTCACCATGCTTTCTGGAATCGCTCACGACCCAATTCAACGAGACATCTTCACACCACTTTTCCTTGGTGCACAACTACTCGTACCCAGTAAGGAAGACATCCAGCATGAGAAGCTTGCCGAGTGGATGCGCAAGTATGGCGCGACTGTCACACATCTTACACCTGCCATGGGCCAAATTCTCGTTGGAGGCGCTTCGGCAATCTTCCCTAGCCTGCATCACTCATTCTTTGTCGGTGACTTGTTGATCAAGCGCGACTGCAGGAGGTTGCAGAACTTGGCACCAAACGTACGCATCGTCAACATGTACGGAACCACAGAGACACAGCGCGCCGTCAGCTACTACGAGCTACCAAGCTGTACTGAAGCACCTGAGTTCCTTGATAGCATTGGTGAAGTCATTCCGGCTGGTCGTGGCATGAACAACGTCCAGCTTTTGGTAGTAAACCGTGAAGATAGGACAAAGGTTTGCAAGCCCGGTGAGAGTGGTGAAATCTACGTACGGGCTGGCGGGCTGGCCGAGGAATATCTAGGTCTGCCTGACATGACTGCCGCTAAGTTCGTCGACAACTGGTTTGTAGACCAACAGAAGTGGGTAGACGAAGACAACAAAAAGGTGGAGAGTCAAGGTGCCGCTGAACCATGGCGAGAGTTCTACAAGGGTCCTCGAGATAGGCTCTACCGCTCTGGAGATCTGGGCCATTACTCTGAAGATGGTAATGTACATTGCACAGGTCGAGTCGACTCGCAAGTGAAGATCCGAGGTTTCCGTATTGAACTCGGCGAGATTGACTCGCATCTCTCCGCCCATCCTTTGGTGCGCGAGAACGTCACACTGTTGAAGCGCGATGCCTATGAGGAGCCAACACTAGTCAGTAAGTTTGAGCTCTATTCTTATAACACTGAATCGCACTAATACCACAGGCTACATCGTTCCCGAGATGAAGCGTTGGTACGACTGGCTTGAGGAGCGTGGTGCAAAAGACAGCGATTCCGTCGATGACACTAGCATGGTCACGTTGTTGAAGCGCTTCAAGTATCTACGAGATGATGTGCGAGAGCATCTGAAGAAGAAGCTCCCTGCATATGCCGTGCCATCCATCATCGTTCCACTCATTCGATTTCCGCTGAACCCGAACGGCAAGATCGACCGGCCAGCGTTGCCTTTCCCAGAACCAGCGCATCTAGCAGCCGCGGGTGCAAGACGTCCTTCACAACTTGGTGCAGCTTTGACGCCAACTGAGAAGAAAATGGCCAGTATCTGGGCTGAACTTCTTGGCGATCGCGGTGTGACAGCCGACAGCATCAGCGGAAGCGATTCATTCTTCGACCTCGGTGGACATAGTATCATCGCACAACAGCTATTCTTCAAGATCCGGCAAGAATGGAAAGACATTGACGTACCTATGACTACCATCTTCCAGTACCCTACATTGCGTGGCTTCTCAGCAAACATCGATCAGGCAATGGACCCTATCGGTCTGCGTCTGGACACCGCCGAGGCCATCGACGACGACCCAGAAGACGAGGCATACTCTGCTGATGCTAGGGAACTCGCCAACCAATTGACTGAGTTCAAGACTAGGGAACCGTTGAACCCAAAGGACGAGGTACATACTTTCCTCACTGGCGCGACAGGCTTCCTGGGGGCTTACATCCTACGAGACGTCTTGTCTAGACCTGGAAAGGTTACGGTGCTCGTCCGCGCAAAAGATATCGATGCTGCACTTGGGCGTGTCAGGCAGACGTGTTCTGCATATGGTATCTGGGAGGACAGTTGGGAGTCACGCTTGGAACCACTTGTCGGCGATCTTGAGAAGGAAAACTTCGGCCTTGAAGCCAACACATGGAACAAACTCGTGGACTCCGTCGATGTTGTAATCCACAACGGCGCGTTGGTGCACTGGGTATTGCCATACTCAAGACTCCGTGGGCCCAACGTCATATCCACCATGACAGCGCTCTCAATGTGTGCTGCGGGCAAACCCAAGAAGTTTGGCCTTGTCAGTTCAACATCAGTTCTTGACACAGATTACTTTGTAGAGTTGTCTGAGAAGAGTCTAGCGAATGGTGGTACTGGCGTCCCTGAGGAAGATGACTTGGAAGGTGCCCGTAAGGGCCTAGGAACCGGATACGGTCAGTCTAAGTGGGCAGCCGAATATCTCACGCGACAGGCTGGTCAGAAGGGTTTGAGTGGGTGCGTTATCCGTCCCGGTTATGTTTTGGGGGATCCAGAGTACGGCACCACCAACACCGACGACTTCCTCGTGCGTATCCTCAAGGGCTGTATCCAACTCAAATCACGACCCGACATCAGAAACACCATCAACATGGTCCCCGTGACTCACGTTGCGCGTGTTGTTGTAGCGTCGTCGTTCAACCCGCCTATCGCACCCCTCGGAGTCGCGCAAATCACTTCTCACCCCCGTATCACCTTCAACGAATTCCTGGGCGCCCTCGAGAACTTTGGCTACGATGTCCCTCTCGTCACCTATGACGAGTGGAAACAAAGTATGGAAGCCTATGTCTCAGATCGCTCCGGTACAAAGGAGGAGAACGCTCTTCTACCGCTATACCATTTTGTGACTGGAGACCTGCCTGCTGATACCAAGGCACCTGAGCTTGACGATAAGAATGCAGCAGAAGCTCTGAAGAAGGATCAGGCGTGGACAGGTGAGGATTGGAGCAAGGGTGGCGCGGTGACGGAAGACACTGTAGGTGTTTATGTCAGTTACCTCATTGAGCTGGGCTTCATGCCCAAGCCGGAAAAGAAGGGCATCAAAGAGCTGGTCATGAGCAGGTTGACAGATGCTATGCGGGAAGGCATGAAGCTAGTCGGTGGTCGGAGGGGCGTCTAAGTCGTTTCTACCAGGCTTGCCCTACGCATTGGGGGTCTATTCAGTGAGGGCCACGATTTCGGCTACCAGATAGGAGGAACATAGAAAAACAAAAGAATGCAGATACGTCATCTAACCGACAAATACTGCATTAGACTATCAGTAGCAGACTTATAAGCCAGGATAGCTAGAACATAGTAGTTTGTCGCAATATCCTCATCGAGACTAAACTGCTGTTTGTTGACGTTGATGTATACGTCCCTTCCATCGCGACTTCCAATCACATCGAGTGACATCAGAGCTCCACCACCAATACAACAACACCCCGCTCAGCGCTACATCGCACCCTTCTCACTGGTAGCCCCTTGCCTTTACAGCTTGCAGTTTCTCTTAATATTATACTCGGCACTTCGCTAAGCTAGTCGTCGGGGCGTAGGAAAACTCCGCCAGTCGTGGATGCGGTCGCGATACCGTGTATTACCATCGGCTGTGGCTGCAGCTACAGCAGAACGCCTATCGCAACGTGGTTCGTGTCTTCGATGCGAAAGAGCATGCTACGAATGCAACTATATTCATAATCGACGTCACTGCAGCGCTTCCTGCTCGCCATCGGAATTTGCCACGTGTAGGCAGTACCAAAGACACGGCAAGTTCAATCCGGTCGCTGGTGTCTTCTAGAACAAGTTGTGAACAGCATGGTGAGAATGCGACGGATTAATCAAGGCAATCAAACCAAAAGCAAATTCCATGATGGATATCGAACCAGCGTCTGCCAGGACAACTGGCGCATTCAACAGAGTATCTGAGCTTCTCATGTGCCAACGCCAAGATCGAGATCAGCAAGACCAACTTCGTTTCAGCCACGCTTGGAGTCCGGATTCAGACTCAGCAAAGCAACTTGCACCTATTCCCGCCAACAAGCGCTATCAAATACGTTCCGCCGCCTCCGACTTGGTCTGACGATGCGACACAAGAAGTGCTCGCAACGTTGCACCGCGGGACCCGCAGTCGGCCGCGTCGTTCTGTTCCTATCTAGTGTCTAGGCGGATTGGAGAACCGTACTAGATTCATATGGAGAGTTATGTCTGTGGTACAAAAGTCCAAGATCCTCGGGTTCGATATTTCCTAGGCACAACATCACGCAGCCAGCGGACGCCCTACACGGACCGTGGTAGCGCTTGTTACCGGCTTGGCGTGTTTTCAGAGGACATCGCACAAGACAGTGACCACCAACATACAGCGGTCCGTTTGCTCAGCGTTCCTCAGCATCGTCGGCGCAGGCCAAGACGATAGGTAAAGATGATGAAGATGAGAGCTGGGGGCTCCAAAAGCACCAGGCCAGGTCGTTGCCGCGAATCCCGTCTTCGGCCTCAGCAGCGCCTGGACGAGAGTTGCGCTGGGTCCTCTCAGGCGAGCTGTGATTGGCCGTCCCCGTCTTGAGACGCTGTGCCCAGCCGTAATGCCGAGCCTTGGGGATGAAAGCCAAGCCCAAGACCTTCTCCCAAGGTCTTGAGAGCGTAATTGTATGTAACAAGAGTCTTGCCTCTCCTGAGGGAAGTCTCCGCCTCTTCTATAACATGCCCGACACCTCATCGATTTCGCATGTCTCCAAGGGTCGTCTAAAGCCCGTCAAACAGTGACGTCGCCCACCAATTACTGGCAATGGAATCCCAGCGTCCGCCGGCGCCATGTTCGGCCACATCCCCCCAGCAGAGCCAACCGCAGCACCAGCTCTCGACGAACTCTCCATCTGACGAGTACAACTACGCATACAATGAGAAAGAGCCGTATCAGCGACAACATAGCATCCGCATAGACCGTCATAGCAAATCAAGTTTCGGCCGTGGCCATGATTCCGTCATCTCGTCGCACCCATTTTCGCCGAAGGCCTCCTCTGCGCCAAGCCCCTGTAGCAGCATCTCGTCGATAGGGCCACAACGCAATTCCACACCCGAGATCCGGTATTCCAGATCGGACATAGAACAACGAAACATACCATATCCCCAACAAGCGCATCTTGATCCCGAGAAGCATGGCTATGGCTCGTCGCATGGCGGCCGATCCCCGAATCACGCGTCTGCGACAGGACTAGACGGCGATGCGATCGTCTATGACAAAGGCGCATACCATGAGAAAGGCCCAGAGGAAAAGGCATGGCAATTATTGGTATGTGAATCATTATCCCCAAGTCTTCAGCAGCCTGGCTAACAGACATATAGTTTTGGCTCTGCGCCCCATGTGCCTTCCTTTCCGGCGCCATCGCACTCTGGACCATCTTCGCTCTCGTGATCTCGATCGTACTAGCACCCCTGCGATTCTGCACCACACGCCCGCAATTCTCGGAACAAATCACATCCTTCCTCGCACCAGCACTCAACCTCCAACTACACTTGGTCTATTCTCACGATTCAACAACCGGTTACAGCGCGCCTATGCTCGTCGTCGTTAACCTCTTTTCACCAGTTGTTGCATTTGGTGTCGCAATAGCTGCATGGACTGCTGCAGGGTTCTGGTTCTTCTCGTCGATATTAGGAGACCCTGGAGGTCATGACGGCCACAATGATGGCAGAGAGACTATCGTCAGTGTGCGGAACTGGTGGGAACGATGGCTTTCGAGGGCACTGCGAGAGACGAATGTTTGAAGAGGAGGCTGTCACTTCAACGACGAGTTTTTGTTTTTTTCGTTCGCCCTAGGACGGCACGAGCGATGTTTAAGCGGCATATACCAGGGCGTACTTTTGTTTTCAAGGGCAACGGATATGATAGGGATGCTGATCTGGACGACAGCACGGCGTTATTGGGCCTCTCTGTATGAAGAGAAGGAGAGCGGACAGAGCTCGACATGATATACCCCATTTTACTCGAATTATACCAACATCTCTATACTATGAACTCTCCATCTCACACACGTGTTACTCAGGCAGTAGTCTATTTTCATATGAGTGCACCTCGTACGAGACACTTTTACTAGTCTGACTTTCCAAGCAGGCAGACCACGCTTCCAAGCCACCATCCAAGGAGCCAGACTGGCGCACACGCACACACTTACTCAGCCCCCTCCAAAGCTTCGAGGAACGCCACGCGCGGACACAAGACTCCTGGCAGAGCCCTGGGCACCATACAGCGGAAATCCGTCTAGCCCGACCGCCCGATCCAATCTAATCCCAAGCACACAAGACCCTGCGATTAGAGTTTGGATTTCACCGCTCCGCCATTCCGCTATCTCGAGACAGTTATTCACCGCAACGTAACGTGCGCACTGCCCACGGTAGACCTGCCATCCAAGACGTTGCCAATCCCGCCCAGTTTCCGCCGCGAATTGACAACTCTACGCCATGGCTCTATCAGACTCCACGCTCGGCCTTGTCGTGGAAAAGAAAAAGGTTCCAGAAAAGCATGCAGAGCGAAGATAGACTAAGTCATAATCAGAAGTACATGTACAGTGAGATGATGAAAAGCTTCGTATCCGTATATCGTAAAAGCGTGCTATGATGGGCTTAGGCATGGGCCTTCCAGCCAAGAACATCCCTTCTTCTAATTTCCCACTATAGCACGGCAGGCAAACCATGTAAGCTAGAGATAACTCAAAGACAACTTCTAAGCGGAAAATCTCCCTCTCATGAGCGGAATAATCACTCCTCAGGGATGTTCCGTACAGTAAGAAGCCAAGTCGGGTTATGGTGGGTTTCGCCGAGCATCGTTTCACATAGTTTGCGCGTCACGTTCATCTTCTGAGCAAAAAAACACTGCAAAGGCGGATACAAGACGGGTATGTCGGCTCGGTGTTGGGCTGAACCCCCTGGGTAGGGTTTATGTAGATCATGGATGTCGCGGGTATGCAGTTGCCAGTACCCGTTTCTCGGAATATATAGGTGGTGGAACCTGGCAGGTACGTAATTAGCTGAGTTTGACTGCAGTATCATAGCCTGGAAACGTCAGTATTGATTTACATTACTGTGGCGGCGGTGAGCAAGTTTGGCCAAGAAACAATGTTACACTTAGGAACAAAAGGACCGAGGGAAATGACGTTTCTCGGTCCTTCTCTTTTTCCTCTTGAGTTGTCATGCCTTGACGACTATCGTGGCCGCCAATGTGAAACTTGACGGATCTGACGTGTGTCTGGGCGAACGGGTATCACGGCTTGCGTGGTTTATGCGACGAGATGATCAACACTCAGATGTAATGAAGAGTGTGGTTCTTAGATTCAGAAGAGCTTCTTACACAGACATACGCAACAGTTACGTGTAGACTTTGAAATAAATGACGCTCTTAACGATAGCAAAATTGCGACATAGTTCTGATATTGGACTGTATATGTATGATCGTTCGTATGGTGGTATGCTACGATCCTGAGGTATTCGAGAAAGACATTACGACATTAGACGTGAGAGTAGAAACTTATGTGTACAAAAAAAGCGTGTATGATACACGAAGAAAGGTAAAGAAACAAAACAACGCGCCGTCCGCGTTCATACCAAGGCTTAGCCTTTTGTGTAGAACGTATTTGCGGGGCGAGAGATGCCATGTGTAGGGTCTTTATTGTGGTGTTTGGACTCGAATATCAGGTTGGTAATACCGACGAGCGTGTTCGTGTCATAGAGTCGCGTGATGCAGATAGATGTAGGTCGCTCGTACGCAGTCGTTTTGTTATCGCAACTCATGATGTAGTTCGTGGAATATGCTGTGGTTTCGCGTTCCGGGCAGTTCAACCGCTTTCCCTAGAGTGTACTTGTCGTATAGTAATCTGACTCCTCATCTTTTTATGACCCCTGCCCCGCATAGTTTCTCTTGCCATGCAATTCTTCAAGCACTGCTCAACAACCGAAGGATCGCTCTCTAGGAACTGCTCGTTCAAGAACCAGCTTGAGCTCCTTTGCACGGAGAGGCGCAAACAGCTTCTCTCACTGCCAATTTGCTTTTGGAAGAAATGATCGAGGAAAGCGTATGAGTCGTCGAAGGTCTTGTAACAGCTGTTGCATGCGAAGGTTGCTTTATCGTCGGTCGCCATTGGGTCTAGCGCAATATGCGAGGTGAAGAGTATACATCTATACGCAGGAAGTCCAGAGTGGGAAGCGACGGAGATGCACGCATCGCATTCTGGACAGATCTCTCGGTCATCGTATTTATCGTGGGGTGAGGCCTTCTTCGCTCGCAATGTGCTCGCCTTGGATTCCTTGAGATCCTTCCGAAGTTTGTCTGCGAACGGACAGAACTCCACTTTGAAGCGCGGGGGAGGCAGAATGGGAGATAGGATGGGCGATTCGAGACGTGCGTATTGCTCGCGCAGGGCAGTAAGACAGGCGCGACGGGTGCTTTTAGCGATCGTAATTATGTCGTCGATGGGTATTATTGGTGTTGAGGAGAAAACGCTTTCGTAAAGTGGCTGTCTGATTTCGTATTGGATTCGCAAGAGTTGCGCTGAGAGGATTGTGTGGCATTTTGCTGCATATGGTCAGTTTCCATTCCCTCAGTATTGAATCTCGAACTTACTGTCTCCTTCCTCGAACCGTGTTCCAAATCTTTGCTTGCCCTGCTCCATGATTCTTTGAACCTGCCGCCCCAGGCTCAGAGCTTTGCCAACAGCATCGTCCCGGTTCTTCGTGCCCAAACACGCCCACTTAGACCGCGAGCGACGGTGGCGTGCTTGCCATTGCTCGTACGCCTCATGAGCATCTTGGAATTCTCGATCAATATCCCATAGCGTAAGATTGGTGTGTTGCGGTTTATCCCAGGAAACAGCCATCGTAGACATTAGATAGTGATGCGCGTATAAGCTCGTCGCAAACAAATAAACAAACAAGAGAGAACGGGGAACGCGAGCGAAGAACGTGAGTTTCAGAAGGGGAACAACTATTCTTAATTAAGGAAGAGGTCTGCCGTATGGGGAAGTATACCCAAGTCGCACGATCTCGATTAAGACGCAGAAACCTGAAAACGCGATGGCCCTGAAGAAAACAGGGTCCACGAGTCTGCGGGTGTTGCGCTGGCTTTACATACTCCTGCGACTGGCGCAACATACTGCGTCATGTCTGCTGCAGGTACCAGGGCTATCGCATATGAACACTTAATCGTGGAAATTAATTGCCTATCCAATGTTGTGGCTGTGTGGCGGGTCTGGGCGATATTGAAGGATGGAAGAAGCGAAAGTTGCTCCGCTATGCCATACTCTCCTTCATACCTGTGCGTATACAAGCCCCTCTGCAACGCTGATGAGGAACGGCAGGTCCATGTGGGAACATGCTTGTCCGTGAAATTCACAGAACGGAACTATAACTGGAAGTCATATGATGGGTGCCGAGGATCGTGATGAGGATGCAGGGGGAGGGAAGGGACGTGAGCTGTGATGCAGCAATGATCCCTCCGCGTCATGGTCCGAGCACTCCCGTATCCTCCGACTAAGGACGCCTTTGTCGAATCGTGGCACGCTACGGTAATGATCATCACCTTCGCATTGAATCCGCCTTTGATACGGTCGTCGAAATTTGTTTATGCGAGAGGGGTGTCGGCGACTGTCAGCCTATGATCGGTGTTGTTGATGGAAGCTTCGCTACCAGGGTCGCGCCGAATCGAACCCCACGTTTCTCGTTGTATCTGCCCCACCATGGAGAACCTCGAGCTTTACTCATGCTTGCTGGCATACTCTTTACCAATTGATAATCATAATACCGGTCCAATATAACAATGTCTCACAGCCACTCACATGAAAGCGCGTCGCATTCGCACACTGCCGCGGATCATGGTCATACGCACGAGATTCTCGATGGACCAGGAAGTTACTTGGGGCGCGAGTTGCCCATAATCGAGGGAAGAGACTGGGAAGACCGCTCTTTCACCATTGGAATTGGAGGGTACGATAGATTCCGCGTGATATGCAGATGGCCCTGCACTGCTCGGCCGACGTCTGGCTTTTGGCAGGGTTGACATGGCAAGATATACGCACAAGACACTGACCAGTCTAGACCAGTAGGCTCCGGAAAGACAGCGCTCATGCTAGCCCTCTGCAAACACCTCCGAACACGATTCTCTATAGCCGCAGTAACAAACGACATCTTCACGCGAGAGGACTGCGAGTTTCTGACCAAGAACAATGCCTTGCCTGCGTAAGACCAGCCATACGTTACGTCTTGATAGCTAGTATAAGTCTGACACACTCATAGTGAGCGCATCGTCGCTGTCGAAACAGGAGGCTGTCCCCATGCCGCCGTCCGCGAAGATATCTCCGTCAACCTCATGACCCTTACGAACCTACACCAAAAGTTCAATACCGACCTCCTCCTCATCGAGTCCGGCGGTGATAACCTTGCTGCAAACTACTCGCGTGAGCTTGCCGACTTCATCATCTACGTTATCGACGTGTCGGGCGGTGACAAGATCCCCAGGAAGGGCGGGCCGGGCATCACACAGTCAGACCTGCTGGTCGTGAACAAGATCGACCTCGCCGAGGCTGTCGGCGCAGACCTGAACGTCATGGAGCGGGATAGCAGGAGGATGCGTGAGGGTGGTCCCACGATATTTGCGGTTGTCAAGAGGGATCAGGGTGTGGACGCCATTGTGGACTTGATCCTGTCTGCGTGGAAGGCTTCGGGTGCAGGACAGGCAAGGAAGGAGAAGTTCGAGCCTACGCTCATGGAATAGAACGAAGAGATAGAAAAAAGAAGCCATAGCATAACATAACTAGGCTTCACTCGACTCCATCTCCATACATGCAAAAAGTAGTGGCGCAATGTTTTATTGCATGGACTATGACTACAAAGAGGCCCACAATAATGTTGGCTTAGAACGATTCTTGCATCACTATGCACGCAAAATTTAGAGTTTTCAAGATGTTCGTTTCAATTCCTCAAATAATTGCACCTAGTCAAATCCCAGCCATATCACACCACCCCCAGCAGTGGGAGTTGTCGCTACGAGTGCTCAGGAAAGACAGTAAAGCAACGCCATGATATCGCATCCGAAATAGCAGACAGTAGTTGTCACTAACAACAGCTTCTCGATCAGGTGAAGTTGAAATCGGAGTTGTCCTTCTTCCAAGCTTCAGCGTCCTCGTTGAGGACGAGACATCTTTCCCCTCGGACCTAATGTCAGGAAAGTCGTTTCAGTAATCCTGGATCTGAGCGGCACACTTCCCCATTTCAACCTGTAAGTACATATTAGCTACATCACCCTTGTAGGTGGAGCAGGACTTACCCGCTTTGGGTAATTGACCAGCTTCCTTCCACTCTTCGGCTTCCTTCTCGATTCGCGCATTCGTGCGTGCAAAGTAAGACGTAGTGTCGTACTTGACCGCACGACGAATGGCATCTATATGGCTCAGTTGCGAGGTGAAAGGATCATAGGTATGGTAGTCCTCGCCGGTGCTAGGCTGTGCAGGATTAGTCGCAGTTGCAGCAGTCTTCTGGTTCTTTTTAGAATTCTTCTTTTTCTTTTTGGGTGCTGCAGTTGGTGCAGTGTCGGCCTGGGGTGCTTCAACAGAAACGGAAACAGGCTGCGAGGGGTCTGGGGGATTGAGTGCAGGATTGGTGTGACCAAGTGGTGACGTTCGTTCCTCTTCTCCAACCAAGGTGGAGGGGGAAGAACTGCGAGACATGTACTCTGAAGAGGGTGTATCTGGGCGCAGTGTCAGTACCTTGGGATTTGCCATGGCATCGAAAGAACCTTCTGACTTACCGTGCTGGGAGGGAATGAGGTCGTCGGCGGTTGAATACAGAAGTTTGAGACCCGAATTTGAGTCTATTTGAGAGACTTGAGAGCCTGGAGTGTGAGTGGATTGATTAAATGTGTGCTTATAGGGATCATTTACTTCCTGGGTGGGCATCTTCTGGGAAGGGACCTGTGCTTTGAGGGTCATTGGAGGGGTAGGCGGTGCACGTGAGGGAGTGGGTTCAGGAACCCATTCTGCCCCAGAACGACCCGAGGATTCCTGCTCGACTGGCTCGGCGTTGGAGACCTCCACCTTGTCCAACTTATGAGTTACTGAAGGGATCTTCTTGGGATTTTTTATAGCACCATCAAGCTTACCAGCCTCTTCCTCATTATTAACCTTGTTCTTGCGATCTGCAGGGCTGGCACCCGCTGTTGGTACCTTTGCCTTCGCTTTGGACTTCTTGTTCCCTGTAGTCGTAGCGCCTTTGTCCAGTTTGGTAATTGCGTCTGTAGTCGTGGACGAGTTGGCCGAGTCTGTAAGCGACCCAGTATTGGGCTGAATGGTGAGATCATCAACAGGCTTTTTCGAGGATGTGGCTTTCTCGGCCTTTGCCTTAACGATACGATCGGCATCTTCTTTCTGCAGAGATCAAGATCCAAAGTCAGCGTATGTCTCACATATATTTAGAATCTCTGCCACTCACCTTCTGTTGCTTCTTCTTGGCCTCCCTCTGTTTCTTTGCCTGGGACTTGTTCTTCGCAAATGGGTGGAGCGACTGCATCTGCGGAGCGCCAGACTTTCTAGTCCCATCGGCAAGTGAGACCTCTGTGGCTGTCGACAGTACTGCGCTATCTAGAGCAGAAGTGGGCGCAGTATCGCTTGTGGTACTCGCTGCGGACTCTTGCGTATTGTGCAATTTTGGAACCCCAGGTGTTGTCGCTTCCTTTGGCGGCGCGGATGCGGCTCCTTCGGACTGGTTCGAAGATCGCTCAGTGTGCAGTGTTTGGGGATCACGCAGGTCGGTCTCGGTAGCTGCAGGCGGTGAATCGGAGATATCTGCATGTGTGAGCTATTGCGAATCAGAATTGGATCTAGTGTAACGCACCCCACTTCGAAGGCATAGTCTTGTCTCCAATCTTTGACTGTGCTTCCACATGCACAGAGTCAGGCTGAACTTCTGGCGCCAAATGGAAGCTGCTGTCGTTCTTAGCCTCATCATCCGAGACGCTATCATCTGCTAGTTGCGAGGATGACTCCTTTGAAGGTGTGTTGGAAGATTCAGCACTCGTGCTCTTACCACCATCAGCAACCCGGATACTGTCATGTGCAGTCTCTGAAACTCGGAACTGGTTGCCCGCAAATGCAGGCGAGACATCGGAGCTGGGCTCGGTTGGCGGCTTTCCGTCTTCACGCACAATATCGGACGCCCTAGAATTCTCGGGCAGTTGAAAAGTCAGGTCGTGCGTTGTGTTTTCTGACTGATCAGCAGCTAGGATAGCGTCAATCGTAGGGGTTATATGGCCCTGGGCCAACGTAACAACATCGGTACTTGCTGGCTTCATAAGCTCAGTGACCGTATGAAGAGGCTCTTTGCCAGTCTGATTCTCTTTAGTGATAGCCGGATGATCGGCGTTCAGCTTTCCAGACGTCTTGATAGTCTTTTCTGCTGGATTGGTCTTCTTGACCGGCGATTCGCGCTTAGCCTTTCCCTTGTACTTCTTCGTAGGAGACTTCTGCTGGTGTTTGGGCATCTCAAGTTCGGTATTTCCTGTCCTTGTGTGATCGGTGACTTCCGACTGCGTCGGTAGTTTCTTCGACAGTCCGCTTCTAGCATCCTGGGGAGAGTATAATGCGTTTCCTTTCACCGCAGCCGGGTCTGTATCTGGGTCCCCAACAGCCTCCTCTACTTGCTGAGTCGACATACGTGTAGCGTCACGATTAGTGCGATCGATTGCCTGCCCGGTATGCGTCTGATCAAAGTAGCCTGAGGTTGGGGGTTGGTCCTTCTGGTAGAAACGCCTCGGTACTGTCACGATAAGACGCCCACCGCGTAGCTGAGGATTGAACTTTGTGATGCCCAAAGCTGCCTTGGCGTCCGCAGACGAAGCAAATCTAGAGGTATTAGCGTTTTCAGAGAGGCAAAGAGGAGCAGACTTACGTAGCAAAAGCATGAGTACCGTTTTGCGGAAACTTATTCCTCAAGGAAATTGCAATGGCAGTAACACCAACAGTCTGCTTGAACAGCTGTATGAGCTCGTCTTCACCCACATCTGCCGGTAAATCCCCTATCCAAAGCTCACTAACGGTTAAGTTCTTTGGTCCAATCCACGTGTGACCGCAACCAGAGACAGAGTCGCCGGTGATGGTCGGGTCATCCTCAGAAAGACGACGTCGAGCGTTAAAGTCAGAGTTGCGAGATCCGCTAGATGAGACGTTGGCATTGTAATCAACGTTGGTCCTGTGATACGTGTCACGTCCACCCATGTTCGACACCTTGCGTCCACGACCAGGCTGAGGCGCGAAATTGTTATTGGCACCCTTCCGACCCCCGTTGTTATATCCTAGCGCACCGTTAAACTTGGGATTGTTGCCACTATAAGGATCGAAGAGGTCTTGGATATTGCGCTGATTAGGACGACGAGGCATCGGCGCGCGAGGATCCTGGTGTTGAGACATCATATTATTGGCATGGTGCATGTTGTTGGTCATGTTGCCCATGGAGACATACTGGCCATTTGGCTGATGAGGAAACACGGGGTTCATAGGCTGAGTCTGTATCATGCCTTGCTGATAGTTGATGTGTGTACGAGGAACCATCCCAGGATCATGTTGCTGAAACCCATGCCCTGAATGAACCACTTGGACGTACGGTGACGAACCCGCTATCATCGGTTGCGGGATGTGTTGGCCCGTTGCCATCTGCGGCGACATGAAGTGGTGTGACTGCATGCTAGGCATAGTACCAGAGGGTTGCCGCGGGTACGCTCCGTACATAGTACGGTTGTTGTTCTCGACCCAGCCGTGTTGCTGGCCGTACGACCCAGATCCCATGTTGCGGTTGGCCTTCGGAATATTCAAGGGTAGTGCATGCATATTGGGCGATACCCTAAAAGGTCCCATGACGACACCCGCATCGCCGCCCCTCATAAGTCCAGAATGGCCTCCAGTGTGTACAGGACCTTGTGGTGGAACGCGCTGAAATACAGGGCGTGTATCGGGCGGGTCTGGCGCTCCGGAAGCCATGACCGTCGTGAGGTGTGGATCTTCGACAGCAGACGAAGATTCTGTCGGTATTGTCAGTTTGCTGGACCGAAATCGTGTTAGTTTGCGATCCTTCTTACTGGAGTTCTTCTCGTCAGACGCATTAGTAGGGGTGGAGGAAGGCCCCGCCTGTCCATTGGCGGTCTTTTGACTCCCAGCCCGTGCCTGTGGCGTCAGGCTCATCCGCACTGTCGTATCGGTCGCCTTGTTTGTCTCGATCCAAGTAGCGATCAAGATGTGAGCAACATGCCAAAGGAACACGCGAGGGAAGTCTATAGGCTCGCCGAAGATGAAGATTTGGTCAATGATCTCAAGCGGATCATTGATATCGTAAACGTTCCCCATCTCAAGCCCTGTGAAGTCGATTCGATCCGGATGCGCTCGCGCCCAATCTCTAGCGAACCTATCCGCCATGTAGTAGGTGCTCCGCGAGATGAAGGTCAACCTCTCATCGCAGAACTTCCTGCCCTCGACATGAAGATCTTCGGCATCCCAGAGGTCTTCGACGGTCCATCCTTGGGAAGGGAAGATGCAAAGACATCTAAATGAGTCAGTTTCATTTCAAGCTAGCTTGCGGCGGGCAACTTACTGGCTCTTGTACTTGGTCTGCCAGTACGTTGCTGCATGTACCACGACTGCTGGACCTTGGACGCTGCGTGTGATGACAGACGTGCAAGTAGGATCTAGCGAACGAGCGGCGCGAGCCCCGAGCCCCGTAGAAAAGAAGGCTTGACCGACGCCCGGGCCGAACTTGGGATCCTTAGTTGCATGATTGACTGGATCGACGACAGAATTATTCATTTTGGCGGGAGGCGCAGGCTGCTCGTCTGTAGCTGTTGGATTTGGCGTATCTGTAGCGAGCGGAGTGCCCAACAAATGGGCAGACTCCGACATAGCTGAGCGTACAGTGGGCTCAACAGGAGAAGCGCGAGCGTATTCAAGGCTTTGCGTGAACAATTAGATGTTACCTTTGCAGGGAAAGAAGGAGTTAAGCGGCGCCAAATTCGCTCTGAAGGAGAAGGCAGCTGCGGTAGGAGTAGAAGCAATAGCAAGGGAGAAAGCGCAGTTGCAAAAGCGAGAAAGGCGAGGGAGAGAAGAATTGAGAGATTCACGGAAGTAGCGGTAGTAGCTCAACAAACAGAAGTTCCTCATTGCTTCAGGTGGAAGGAGCAACAGGTCTTGGCGCTAACAGAAAGAGGAGGTGAACGTGAGTGACGAACACTCACAAGCTGCGCGCGCTGCCCCTCCACTCATGCCATTGGTCATCACATACAGCTGTGGGACAGAATGCAAAGATACGGAATGGCTGGCGAGGACATGATGGGGAAAGAGACTAGCCACTAAGAAGATTGGAAATATCGAGACGTGGAAACATGATGAGCGACAAAATGACACCATACTCACACTTCATAACAAATCGAAAGAAGCTTTCCTGAGCCATGTTTTACATATGCATGTGTTGGATCAATGTCCTACTGATGATGCAGCCGCCAGTCGCCTAGCAGCGTGTCTCTTTCCGAGCTAGTAGCGGGGGAGCCTTAGGACATGCTGAGTCCGGAACTCATCTCAAAGACTAAGCAGTCCTGTCCAATGCGTAGATCCTAGTATCACGAGCTGAATAGGGTGAGTGTAGTACAGGCCATGCCTCTCCGCCCTCTACACTTTCTCCGTCTCCTTTGGTATCGAGCGTATCAGCTTCATGATCTCGCTCTCATTCTCTCCAGCGACTATAAAGGTCAGCACAGACAACCTCTCTTCTCCTCCACCGATACGTACCAGCTTTTCCTTGGTTCCAGTCCACGACGAGCGGTCTTTGAAACGCCCCTCCATCCGCCTTCAACCTCCTCATGGCATCAGTCTCATTCTCTGCTCCGCTGATCACCTTGCCTGCTGCGCCTGGTCCGCCCAAGTAATCCAGGATGTTCTTGAGCTGGTCGGTTGTCGGTGGGGCCTCTGTGACATCGAGCTCGAACTCGGTGCGCTCGGCTTTGTCCTGCGCTTTATGCGAGCTGGCCTGGTCTTCAGTCGCGTGCGCAACAGATTGTGCGTTGGCTTGTTTGAGAAGAGTGAGGACGCGGGTGGAAGCTTGGTTCGAGGGCGCGTGGAACAGAGTTACGACGTTCTTTGCGCCGTGCTGGAGATGGTTAGTGTGTAACACTCAGAAACAGTTGAACGTATATTACCTCTCCAAAGATTCGCTTGAACATGATTGCTGTAGGTGTCGTGCTGAAAATAAGTCGGAAGGTGAAGTTAGCTGGTGCTCCTGCAGCTGAGGTGGAGTGAGGTTCGGGTGTGACGTAGACAGCCGCTTGGACCTGCCGTTCCCGCCGCAGCTTTTATCGTAAGAGATCTACAATGCAGAACTTTGGAGGTCAATGAGTAGACAAGTAATGCAGAGTTCAGGAAGCTAGGAGTCTACTAAGATTGGGAGGAACGCCGTCCGGAATGCGTCTCTATGGGTGGACAGTCTTCCATTTTGACCCAGGTAGCTTTGGCCGCCTTCAAGTACAACAATAGCGTTACGGAGCCAGTGCTCAGAAATGTGAGATCGAAGTATCGCGCGAGATCATCAAACATTGTATGGAAAGTCTCAAGCAAACGCGCAAAGTTATCAAACGCAGTGCAAGGCAACACATATCACGCAGTTGAAGATGGCCAAGGTTGGGAACACAAGCAGCTAGATTTCGTGATGCAGCTGTGCAAAAAGCAGAATGTACATGTACGCCATGAATATGCCCCCATCATCCCAAAGTGTGGGATCATGCTGCTGCTGAGGAACGTGCCGTGGCGACGTCCGTGATTCCCACTCCCTCTGATCCAGAGTCATAGCCATCCTGAGGAAACCGAATTCATGACCGTATTCTCTAGCTCATCGTGCTCGTTTCATACGCCCGTCCTCTCATGCTTGGCTTATGAGGTAGGGTTGGGGTTCATCTGAAGTATGTCAGTCCTTGCCCATCACGCAGGTTTCCAATCTCTACTGACCTTGCGCTTGCCACCGGTCATGGTGACGTTCACGAAACGGCGGGTGTATGTGAGCCTCTTCTTGGCGCGGCCCTTGGGGGTCTTCTTCTTCTCCTGGGGCTCAACCTGTGTCGTGTGTCAGTCGGCTGTCCATCATCCAAATCGACTCCATCCGTCTCCGCAGTTGTCGCGCTATCGTGCTTCGGCGTGTCGCTGTCTGTCGAGGAGGCGTGTATGTATCGAAGGGTATGAGCTTACCTTGGGGGCTATGCATTGTTAGCAGACGCTCTTCAACCATTCCACATGAGCCAAGACTTACTTTGAGACTTGACCTTTCCGGCACGAGCGAGGGATCCGTGAACCTTTCCCATATTTGCGGTTGTTGATGGGTGTGATGAGTCGTTCGAAGTAGTCTGTGTGGTGGCAAAGTCCAATTAGCGGTCTGGCTCGTAGTCTTCGAGCGTCGGGTGCGGGGTGTAAGAGTCTTGATTTCGCAAGGCCTCGCTTCTGATGCAGATGTGATCGTAGGGATAGGCGGAATACGTACAGGTTGCGGTCGTTGGGTGTTCGATGACTAGGCGGCGACGAGAGGGTCAAAATGACTCCAGGGCTGTGGACAGCGGCTCACCGGATTAGCCGAGATCACGTGCTACGCTAGCGTGTCGTTCGGAGAGCGTGAACATCGGTACCATCGACTCGGCCATGTCTAATCACTGTTACATTTTTGCATAATGAAATGCTGGCGCAGAAAGTCTACAATATTTCTACTAAGATGGAATCTATCGTATACGTTGTTGTGGTATCTGAAGGCTCCAGACATTAGGGACGGACGACTCGCCTCCACAGCTGTACAGAGATGATCTGATAAGATAATGCGAGCCATCACCAAGTGGAACATAATACAGATTAGACACGCGAACTTCCCCATTAATCTTCAGACCACTTTTACGCAGCGCGGCCATGCCCTGTCTAGTTGCCTTCTACCAAGTTGGATTCATGCCAGTCGCGGTTATGCTTTCCGCAACGGACTTTATCGTGACCCCAGCCGGAGATCCCCGCCGTGGTTGGGGGGTCGCATGATGCGCATGATACGTCCCGTAGCTTCGCTTGGACGCGTCGCTGTTTGCCATCAACCACCACCTTCACCGACAGCTCGTCGAAGCTATCTAGCTCTGCAAACACCCTTCTGAATCTCCAAGCTACTAAAGTCCAAACATTAACAATATGCACCTCCAAGCTGCCCTCGTCGGCCTTATCTCTTTCACTGCAGCGTCCAACCTGCCATCACCACAGAACTTCTTCGCGAACCCGTCCTCCAGCGATGGATCTGGTTTCAAGATCCCAACCGTTCACGAGTCCGCCGTTCAAGCCCGCAAGATCATGAGTCTAGAGACCATTGGTACCCTATCCACCGTCTTCCCCAATACCCACACCACCGAGCAACGACCCTCGGATGTCGGGGGCGCGCCCATAGGCTTGATGGACTACTTCGGCGACTGTGAATCCGACTCAGGAAACCCGACCATCCTTGCCATCACCATCGCTACTTCTTTCAAGAACGTAGACGCCGGCTCCAACATTACCCTGAGCATGCGGTGGCACCCCCAAGACAATAAATGGCGCAGTCCTGCATCGCTTCCCCGCTTCTCGCTCGTGGGCCGTCTCGAAGACATTGATATGGATGCTATTAAGAAGCTGGGTGTGACAGCCTGCTATGTCAAGAAACACCCGGATGCTGCGTGGTGGCTACCGGGCTCTGGCATCCACGAGAGCAAGTGGGTGCGTCTGGTCGTCGAGGAGATATACTGGATCGGAGGCTTTGGAGACCGTGCCTACATTGGATGGATCCCGAAGGAAGAATGGTACAGCGTTACCCAGGAGGAGATCGATGGCACTCAGTTGCCAGGCGAGAAGCAGAGTGCGTGGAACGCCCTCGGAAGCTGGTTTGGAATGGGTCAGCAAGAGCAGGGTGTGTTTGAGCTCTAGGCTGAGGCTATGAGAATCGCAACCTTCACATGCGCGTTCTGCAGGGTAGCTTAGCTGGATTCATGGATCATCTTTGAGGTGTGAGTCAACCTCGCGGTACTGGTTCATATCGCAGTAACGGAGGCTATCATGGTAGGTAGTGATGTTGTTAATTCCAGCTGACTCTAGTTCTTTGTGTGCATCACGGCTACGTTATACAAAAACTCGATCTCCGCAGTGCAACATTCCTCTATCATTACTTTACCTATACCAGCATTACATATGAAGTACCTTGCTATAAACCAAGGTCAGCTTCTTTTCTCTACCATTATCGTGGTTCATTTACTTTGTCGTGGACTTTTCGCAAGCGTGAAACAACTATGATCAAGCTCTCGGTCAGCCGCCTCGCGATGATAGGATTTCACCTGCAGGATTCCGCTCCCATGGCTTGTTCGCCCAGCCTTGTCGCATCTCACTCGTGCCTACGATGTTGCACTACACCACTACTACAACAACAATCCTTTCACTATAACGGTTACACTTGCTGCAACATTCGATACCGGATATTGCGCCTGACAATTGGCGGAAGAGTTGAATCCTAACTTACTAACAGCATGCGCCTACTCCATGCAACTGATCTCAAATTCCATGAGTTCGAGGGCTCCTCCGTATCACCATATGCCATCCTTTTACATTGGTGGGAGAGCGAAGAGGTCACATACCAAGAACTCAAACTTCGGACGGCTGCCACTGAAAGAAATCTGGCTTCACAAAGATACTACAGTGTTGCCGTCAAGCACTAGAAGACATGGTAAAGTTTGTGTGGGTGAATACATGTTGTATCGACAAGTCATCAAGTGCCGAATTATCGGAAGCCATCAACTTCGTGTACACGTAGTATCAACGATCGGAAATTGGCTATGCCTATCTATCGGATGTGCAGGTATGGGATTAATACATAGGCGGAGATATCTCGGGGAACTATGTATCGCGGATTATGAAAAGTCAATGGTGGACACGGGGTTGGACACGGCAACAACGGATAGCCCCACGTAAACTCTATTTTTATGTAAACAAGTCGCAAGGCTGGAGCAAGATCGGCTCTAGAATTTCGCTAGTCAATTCGATAGTCAAGAGGACAGGGGTCGGCGAGGGTATATTGCGTGATGAAGATGCTATGAAGTGCAGTGTTGCACAGCGCATGTCGTGGGCCTCCAGGCGGGAAACGACGCGGACGGAGGATTTGGCATATTGTCTGCTTGGGCTTTTCGGTGTCAATATGCCTCTCTTGTACGGAGAAGGCAACAAGGTATTTATTCGCCTTCGGGTAGGGCAGAACTACTCTCTTGATAGACCAACCACTGTACTAACACCGAACAGGAAGAGATGATGGAACAACCCGACGACCAAACCCTTTTCGCATGGCAGATTGGGTTCGAGAAAGTGAATGATGACATTTGCGGGCCTTTAGCTCCATACCCCGCAAAGTTCCAGGGCGTAGATTATCTGCTACCGGTCCTTGATACGGAGGCCCAGAGCCCGTATTCAATGACGAACAAAGGCTTGAGAATCGAACTCCAGGTTGTTCATCAAAATGAAGACGCGTACAGTATGGCGATTTTACATTTCAGTACCTACGGCTCGTTTGCTAAACGAGTTGGGCTACCTGTTCTACGACTTGGTCATCCAGGAACCTACCGTTACGCTCGTGATGCTCGTTACATCGGACCCCTGGTTGCTGTGGATGTTGCAACCGTCGCTCCAAAGACTATTTTCCTGAAGCAGGAGCCCGATCAAGCACTTACTGTGTGCATAGGTTCGTCATTCAAACCCAGAGACTTTTTTCCGATCTGCTGGACCACCGAACCTACTGTCTTCAAACCAGAGAACACCCACGGTATTACTGATTATCTCATTCCTACTAGTTGTCCCAGCGGTGCGATATCACTATGTGGTCCAGCTAACACACATGTAATCGTGTTGTTCAATATGCGGTCCGCGTCTTGCCCAGCTCACCATCCACCGATGAAGATGACATACCTGCGCCTTTGCAACGATCAATCCGGGGCCTAGAAAGCGTTGTACTAGTCGCTAGCAGTTTTTTGTGGAATCCGGTTCATATAAGCCAATTATTTCGTGAAGAGATGGCTGCAAGGGCAGATTGGAGTCAGATGCTCTGTAGTCATCATCCTTCTTCGTCCAACACGCAGTCCCATCGCATTCTTGTGCCCACCAATGGGTTCAATCTACGTTTCTATTGGACTACAAGATCTTAGCC